GGATGGTCTGCTCCGAGCTTCGTCTTGCTCGTCTCCATCACCTGCACTTCTAACTCTTCTGCAGAGTCCCACTTTCCCCCAATTTTATGGGCACTCGCCACCATCGCTAGACCCCATATCGTGTCTTCATGATCTCGCCCCAAGACCTTCTTTCGTGCCTTTAATGACTGCATTACTAACACCTCTGCTTCACCTGCGCTTCCTTTGCGCTCCGCATACTATGCTGCGCGATACAACAACGTAGCCCACTGCACCAGTGAAGATGCACCTTCTAGCTTGTGACCAGTTGCTGCCTTAGCGTGCGCGAATAGCGCCTGGCACTCTGTCCAATTCTCATACTGTCCCGTAGGGAACGCCTCGCAAAGGTTGTTAATAAACTGGTCTCTGTAGCGTCCTAATCTTCCGTTTGCCGCAAGCCATGTACGTATTGATAGCTGCACCAGCGCGTGCATCTCAAAGGTTGTGCCGTTAGTGCTAATAGAGATGAAGCAGAAGTTGCGCAGGGCTGTAATGTCTTTAGAAAATGCATCGTCTTTAGAGTCGTTGTCTTCAAAATCGGTATCATCAACGTCATCTTCATCATCGCCATCGTCATCGAAGTCGTCGTCCTCAAAGTTATCTGTAGAATCGTTCCAGGATTGATTTTCTACGTCGCTATCAGTGCACTCAAACTGTAGATTATTATCGTTCTCGCTGCAATCTGCCTTGGTTGTATTGAATTTGCGATTATATTTATCCTCTTTGTGCTCGGCTTGCGTCTGCAGCATATTCTTGGGAATCCCTTGGCGGTCGAAGAAGCTTATCAACGATAGCAGGTCTGCTGCCGACGGCCGTGTCTGCTGTATATACTCGAACGAGATCTGCCATGTCGTGATGATCGAGTTCTTCGCCTCCCGATCGCGCCGCAGATGGTCTTTGTCGTAGCTGAGAAGGCTCGTCCGCTTGCGCTCGCTCTTCCTAAACTGATCAAGGTACTGCGCTACGGAGCACAGCGGCGCTCTTTGCGAGATATATGCAGCAGCTTGAACTAAGGCAAGTGGCATGTGTTCAAGTATTGTAGCGAGCGCGGTGAGCTCGGCGGCGTTACTGCTAGCCGCTTGCACCCCAAGCTTCTTTGTGAGTAGAGTTTGCGCCTGTAGTGCATTTATTAGATCGAGCGTAATGATGTCGCGCTGTTCTACTAGCTGTAGAGCGGCTTCTTTATTCCGCGTTGTGATAATAACACATCCGTGTGCGTAGTAGGGAAGGTATTCGTGCAACGGCTTGGCTGCTATCTTCGAAGTGGTAGCTTGGGCGTCAAATAGAAAACCGGCATCATCGACATTATCTAACACAAGCAGCCACCGCTCATCGGTGTTGCACATCCAGTCATGCACCAGCTTGAAAATGTTGACCTGTGACTCTCGTCGCCCTTCGATCTTGACACGGTCGGCGATATCGTGGAAGCTCTGCTCGAGCCGGGCGGTGCTGCTGGCATGCGCCCATAGTACCCACATCCCTGACGATGTCTCATGCATGCGGTAGCAGTGCTCTATGGCAAGCTGCGACTTGCTGTTCCCTCGTTAGACAAGGTGCGACTACCGACCCAAGGAACTGCCAGAAAACCTACCCCACACCTCCTACACCAACCAGCGCCAACCAGGATGCTGGCGCAGAGCATTTTTCTTTGAGCTCGTCGAGCAGCGTACCGCGATCAACAAAGTCGGGGTCGCGACGGAAAGGAATCACAAGGGATGGGCGAATTGTTTGGAGTCGTTCTGCGAAAGACTCATCAGCTATCTGTAGCCACATATAGCTATTAGTGCCCACTTACCCGTGTTGTGGCTTCCGCTGCTTGTCTGCTTAGTCATCAATTCTTGTTGCTGATCCCGAATCTCCTTTCTAAGCCGCCTTATTGCATGCTCTTCTCCTTCTCCACGTATTACTGGCAGGAACACCCCAAAAATGCCGAGCAAACAGTACGCTCGATCTTCGTTCACAGTTGTCACGCGTGAGGCCACCCAGCTCATACGCTCCTCAACGCTGAACTCGGCGAGGTTCTGCCCTCTCAAAGCGTCGATAGGTATCCTAGTAATATCGTGTATTCGTTGTTCTAGGGTTATCTTGCTGCCTAGACGCTTGCCCTCCCTAGAAAAGAATTTAACACTAGCTGGTGCCATGAGCTCTTGTAACGTCCATCTGCGTCTAAACCATTGGCTGCGGCGAAAGGCGTCTGCCCATGTTATTGGAAAGGCCGCGGGGTCGTGATCGCCTACGGAAACATCCGACAGGTATACATAGCATTTCGATGAGCGCTGGTACCATCTAAACATGTAGTTAATCGCCGTATCTAACTCGCCGATGTTTGTTTTGTCGATGCAGCAGGTGTCGACCCAGAAATACTGCAGCTTATCTGCTGCTGCTCGTTCACGACAGAAACGGATTTTCTTGAACCCCGTCTTGTCTCTGCCTGCACCAGCATTGAGCTCCTGATATGAGACTTCTTGACCCTGCTCCCAGGTATGCGAAAGGATGGCGTACGGGGGCGGATCGTCATGGTCGAAGTATGTCAGCTCGTAGGTGCCGCTTGGCAGGCGCTGGAGCAGACGCATCGCGGCAGACGAATGCTCTGTAGACGCGAGGGCCGTTGGCAAACGCTGGCTGCGGTGTAGGAGACGGATGCAGGTGCATGGCTGCTTTCAAATGATCAGGCTGAGCGCTTGGGGCTGTGAGCCAGCTCCGCATGACTGCAGCCTCGCGCTTCGATCCCCGCTTGGGTAACTAGTCACGTGATGCAATAAGAAACAGGGCCTCGATCGTCTTGGCGGAGGGGTCAGATTACCCGCTTTAAAACATTGAGCTCATATTAATACATGCGTGCCACTGGGGCTCTATAAGGAACCTCTGCAGTCCTCTCCACTAAAGTCCATCCTCCGATCGCCTGCGCTTCTGCAGCTCTCGCAGACTCTTCTGTGGCAGTCTCGCTAGTTTTACTACCTTTCGCCACCCTCGCAGTCGCTTCCTATAGCCCGTGCCTCACTCTCTTCTTTGACCTCTGGCACAGTCTACAGTACCTTGAGCTTCCGCTACGCGTGAGGCTTCTGCTGACTCCACTATTGTCCCCAAAGACTCCTTCATTGTTGTCGCAGAGCGCTTTGGCTTACGGCCGCGTTTTTGCTTGCCTTTAGCTTCTATAGCAGCCTCCTGCTCAGCTCACTTCGCTCGTGCGATTTCGATATCCTCCCATTTCATGACCCTGCTTCTATCAACTATGTTTGACTTTTCTATTCGTCGAGTCTTGGCTTCGTTGTTCATACTCGATAGAAACTCGATCTGGTCCTGGTCGAGGGCCTGCTGGGCCAGCGATGTCTCGGCGGCGTTCGCGAGCTTCTGTACGAGCCTCTGATGGCGCCGTCTGCCTGGCTCATCAGAAGGATTCTGTCTGATCAGTGTAAGCAAAGATGAGAGAGCTTCTAACGTGACGGGAGTTATCAGAGTTTAAAGTATTTCATGCGACGCGGATGCTTTGGTTGCTTTGTTAAGGATAGATAGGGGAGCCAACGGCTTTGCCAGAGTCCTTAAAACCCTATCTAGGTTGAAAGGGAACAGTCCAGCCTTAGCCCACCCTGCAAGAATGTTCTTCTTGCTCATGGCTGTCTCTCTGGCAGGACTATACAAAGAGGTAAAGTGCTCCTTAAGGACTATAGTCACTCCACTCTAGTATAGTCGTTCTACTTGGTCGCAGTAGGCAGTCTTCAGGGGTCCAAACACCACAACATCGCATAGTTGAGTCTTATGTGAGGTGTGAGAGGGTAACAGGCATAGAAGAATGTTATTCTCTAGGTAAAACTCCAGGACTTCGAGGGTTTCGTGCGTGCCAAACCCATCGCAGATTAGTACACGTGGCTTACCATTAGCTTAGGCTTTTGTCTGGGGGTCAAATACTCGTTTCATCCACTCTAGGGTCAGATAGGAGTCGTTATAGCCAGTCTCGAAGGCGTAGACCCACCCAGGCGTAGGGTAGGTCGTCCATTACTCCAGTAGGTAGAGGCTGGCCAGATAATCATAGGGCTTAGGGCCTCACCGCTTACTAATATGCATTCAATGGCAGTCACCATAGTTCGCTTCACGCCAGCGCCTCTATAGTCTCGCCAATCATCCTTACCTACGAGCACTTTGATAGCGCCAAGCATAGAGAGCATGACGCCTATCTCGTCCATGTTATACCAGTTCTCGGGCTTTATATCTAGCTTATCGAGTTCGTCCTTAATTACCTCAAACCATTCAGTAACCTTATCATATATATTCTTGTCATGGCGGTTCTAATCCATTAGTCTATTACTCCTGTGTTTGAGTTCTGGATGACGCTTAGTAAATACCTAAGGCCAGTTCTTGCACGGCGGTTTCGTCGCGGGCGTCAACGCATTCATCATAGGCCGCCGGCAGGCGATGCTGAAGGCCAGCGAGGGTAGGTACTTAACCCGGACGGGGGTTCCAAGGGCAGCCATATGTAGGAGGTACTGTACGAGAGCTTTCTCTTCGGGCGGGGTAAGGTATTGCTGGCTTTGGCTTTTGGCCTTTCGTGAGGGCCGTCCATGGTCTCGATGCCACAGCGTGGAGCGAGGGGTCTTTTCGCGTTGTGCTCGAGTAGCATAGGATTCACGTACGTTTGATGAAAGGCTCTGTGCCCGCGCAGGGCTGGCGGGCTCCATCGCTTACTGTATGTTGGCGATGCTCAGAGAAGGACCGAGATGTTGCGCGCAACCACTAATGTCCTCCTAGAATAGGATGGAACCAAACAGAAGCGGACTAAAAATAGAAAGGCATCACATTAATAGCTTAAGTCCTGGTCTCTACCAAGACGCTAGTGTATTAGGCATAGCTTCGTATTAAGATACATGACATAATGTAGGCCCTACCACCGATGCTTTACGCTTGAAACTACTCCTACCCTTCCGAGCTTTCGGACTTTGCGACCTTACGCGTTCGGCTTTGCAAACTTCATAAGGATAGACTTTTTGAGTTTTATTCCTTGCTATGCCTCCGAAATTGAATATCTCTTTGACATGTTGCCTAGACGGGACTTCGACCTTGAGACGCGAAAAGTCGCCATGAATTGGGCGATCGACAGCACGCTCACAACATGGTCTCTCCCTAGAACGACTGGTGTAAAGTGGAAAGTGCAGGCTATTCAATGTATAGACAGGCTTTATAGACCCAGGATCATACAAACAAAACTATGAATTGCACTAATAGAGGGTTTTGTTTCGGCACAATGGGTGTTTCGTGAGAGATGGACGTACGTTGCATCATCTCCTCAATCTCGAGCTCCTACTCACACACCCAACGTGTCCATCTCTACAGGCGGGCCCTCAGTCAGGCATTCCTAATTTTACTAATGTCCACTGACGGTCGCCTCCCCCTGATAAGCTTACTCATCACCAACCCATTCCCAAGCCCCACCGTGGTCCCAATCGTCCCATGTCCGCTACTCACACACCCCGCCTCTCCCTCCAAATCCCCGTTCCGCATCTTCCTTTCCACAGCGAAGCAGCCCCATCGGCACTTTCACAACAACAGGCCTACCAACATCCAGCACCGGCCGGCATCACCTTCCCACTTCCCATATCTCCGGCCGCTCTTCGCCAAAATCGACCAAGTGCATGGCAATGGCTTTCTTCACTGCAATCCACCTACTTGCGGCTTGACATCCCCCGGCGTCGGCGAGATAACCCCCACTGAGATGCGCCCGTCGCGGTCGTTTGCGATGTCCACAGGTGCGCCTGCGGTGTCTTCAACGTAATCCTGGTAGCAGTGGGCATCTCCTGAAGCTCGTACAGCTTATACTCCGGCTCCCCCCACAATACCCCACCCCCACCCCCCTTCCCTTTCAAACTCAGACAATGTCTCACGGTCCCCGCATTCCCCCACCTCGCCGTCCCATCATACTCTTCCGCAAGTTCCTTGTGCAGCTTGCACGAGAGATTTCCGAGCGCCGCCGCCCAGCGAGAAAGTCGTAGTCCGGCAGCACCCCGTTTGCCTCTGGGGAGGCCACGCTCAGGAGGTCCGGGGCGCTGTCGATGCTGGAGATGTCGGTTCCGTGGCCCTGGGCGAGGGCGAGGCAGTGCGCTATTGAGAGGCTGATGATGCCGCCGCCGTTGATGATGGTTGGCGAGGAGGAAGACATGGTGCGTTGCGGCGTGGTTGTGGGACAGGTTTTGATTTGGCCGGGAGGAAAGCGACGGTACGGCAGGGCGATAGGTCTTTTTGATACCCTGGTTATAGATATGTATTTCAGAAGAAAAGGAACAGCGTTCAAGACGATGTTCATGAAATATACTTTAGGTGCAGAGTGCATCACTTTGTGAGCATAGAGAGGCTCTAGCCGAAGTAGGCAAGGCCCGCGGCACTGCAAAGTATTCGCCTGTAACAGAGGAATTAGACATGAGCATTAGGAAGACGTCGCATCTAGGTATACACTCGTGAACAATGATGAGTCCCCACCGACATTAGTCACACCACTCAAACCTCGACCCACGTGCCCTCTTGCTTGATCCAAATCCTGCCCACCGTAACGAACTTCCTCGGGTATCCCATGTCATGACCTTTCTGGATGCAGCATCAGCCAAACTGCGGACAATCAGTACATTTACTCAAGCTGTAGTAGTGCTCTTCGTGCTGGTCCTGCTTAGGTCGTCGGTGTCTATATAGATGGGAGGGTTGACATCGGGGTGGAACGGCGATTTGGCCGCACTCGCCTTCTCCTGGTCAAAGTTCCACAGCCCGTTGGTCGCGTCCTGGTTACTTTGTTCACCGATCTTGGCGGCCTGGCAACTCATTAGCGCACGACTTCTGTCGTTGTAGTATGAGCAAACTTACGAGCTCCTCGAATACTGGGTCCCTCTCAACACGTTTGAAGAACTTGCGCTCCCACTCCTTACCCTGCTCCTTCTCCGTCTTGCGCATAGCGCGTTGGCGATTTTCGATGATGGACTTTTCGGCGGAGGTTGTGTCCAGATCGCCTTTGTTGATGGCATCGGCAACCTTCTTCCACGCTTTTCGCGACTCGAAGTCGTCTTGCTGTTCGACGGGAGCAATGTTGAGGGGGGTCGGCTTGATTGATGTGTGGTCGAAGGTGTCCACGATCTGCAAGGCATGTGTTAGTATGTACGAGAGCGAACCGACGTTAGAGAGGACCGTCTTGTATGACAAGTACTGGTGTCGGAACGTACCTGTTTCGTCTTAGGATCTTTGAAGTGGAACTTGCTGGTCCACTGGCCCTCGGCAGTATATATAGGCTCCTTCTTCTTGTCCTCGGGATAAATGCTGGCGGTGAAGCTGTTGGACTTGCCACTAACCCAGCCGCGGCCGCTGTATTCGATCTTCGCAGTGTATCCGGAAGAGGACTGGATGTAGGTGGCGCTGTTGAGCTCTACGTAGGGCGATCCGACCACCAAACCTTCTATGTGCAGCGGCGGAAGCGTGATCAGATAGTCTTCGTTGAAGCCATCGATGTGGTACATTGCGTGCCCGACTTGCTTTACGTTGATGGTGGTCTTGAAGGAGGCCTTCTGCGCATTGTAGCCCTGGAGGCGAACGCCGTGCTTGCTGTTCCAGATGGAGTATGCCGTGACGGGAGGGTGGTGGCTGCCGACGTTAGCCAGTGCCCACAGCTTCAAGCCATGCGCGCAGCCTACCTGACTTGCTCGCTGATCAGCTGTGTCTCGCCGGCCTCGTCCTCCCACTTGCCAAGGAACAGCTCGCCCAAGAAGGGGTTCAGCGGCTTCTTCTCGCTGCCCAGCTTCTCGCTTCGGCTGGCATATTGCTGCTTGAGGGTGCTGAGGAACCACTTCGTCACCAAGAGCATGCGCTTGGCGGGGTCTTTCTCGGCAGCGGGCGCGACGAAGACGGAGGGGTGCTCGGTCCAGTATGAGGAGAACTCGACGAGGGAGGTTGTGGAGAGAATGAAGGCGGGCGCTGTCATGGACGCCAGGTCGCCATTAAAGGACGCTATGGACTTCGGGCGTGTTAGCAGCTTTGCATGGTGCACATGGGTGTGCTGTTGACCGTTCACCCCTCATGCATACCTTGAGGAAGCTGGACCAGGAGCCCTTCTGCTTGGTGGGCACGGCCGACCCTTCTTGGCCTTTGCTGGAGCTCATGGTGAATGCTGGACTGGTATCCGCAGCGGTGGTCAGAAAATTGGGCTCAGAGAGAGTTGCGGGCGGTGGGAATGTGGAGGAGGGATGGTGCAGCGAGTCAGTGCTACTAAGGTGGATCACAGCGCAGTCCCTGGTTCGCGTGCGTGGCTGAGCGCGCGGATACGTCATAAAAACACGCGCCTATTGTGCGCCCGCGCCCCCAGCAACGAGACTACGCGATCGACGACGACACAAACAGATAGCCGAACCGTGGAGGCGAACCGGCATCTGCCGCATGTCCTGGCCTTGCCTTGCTCATCCTGCGGTCATCGCATCTTGGGTGTTGCGAACCGCTGCAGTGCACGCTTATGCCAGGAACCATTTCTGCGCCCAGCTGCACACATTTTATCAACCGAAGCCCGCCTGACCGATCACGCAGCACATTAATATACACTGGAACTAGCTTCTACGCCTGATGCGTTCACACAAGACCAACCCATCCGCCGGACTTGATATTGCGACACGATAGATTTCTGCCTTTCCCTAGTTGACCACACAGGGGCAACCGGCGACCACTGGACATCACGTGCTCACGCTCACCCAAGACCTGGAGGCCGCAAATGTGGCGTTTCGCGGCGCGCGTCGCCTGGGGGTGCCGCTCTGGTTCGGGCGGCACCTCGAGCTTGTGGGACAACACACTAAAGCACCAGATATCAGCTCTACTAGTTTTGGGTAGGCGTTGCAGATGAGAATAAATGGAGTCCCTACTGTGTCTATGCCAGCGTCTGCGAGTGGCGATTACTACCAATCCCAACAGCATCAACATGCTCCTCCAACCACCGCACCCGCAGCCCCGTCTCGACCCGTGAATACATTGCCATGCACACATCTCTCGCCCGCAGCAGCTCTAGATCCTGGCTCTTCTCAGCCAGGATCCGGAGCGTATTCAAGATACGCGCGTATTCACGCATAGTGTCAGAATTCAGCGTACTATCCAGCGCATGCACGTGATGCGCCAGCACCGTGGTCAACGCTGCAATTACAGGGCGTTTGATCATCCTATACATGTCATTATTCTTGCTAGGAGGCCAGCGTACATGCATCACACTCACCAGCACACCCCAATATCGCCATGCGGAATCAGCGTTAGATGCGTGAGCAGTCTTTCTGCATCCTTGTACGCCCCGTGCTCCTTCGTGCCCGCCAGAATCGCCAACACGTCCGCTGAAAACGGGTTCACGAGGGGATTCTTGCCCAACGAGAGGAACGCATGGATACGGAACACGGTCGCGAAGTACGAGGCCTCCACCGCGAGTACATGCATCAGGTCCGAGCGGTACAGCAGCTGCATCAGCTGCTCGGGGCTGTGCCGGAAGACCTCGTTATCGCGCCAGGCCTGCAGGCGGGATAAAACGTCCCGCGCCGCGGCCTCGCGGTCGCCTCCGCGCGCGCTGATCGAGAAAACTTGTTCGATGGCGTCGGACTGGAGGAGCGCGAGGCGGATGCGCAGCGCGAAGAGGTTGACTTTCCAGTCACCCTCTGCAGCAGCAACTGAGCCGAGAGAATCCTGTGGGTTTTCGTCGGGGAAGGGGGCGCGGATGTCTTCTTTGCGGTGGGTGGTCGGGGCGTTGGAGAAGATGGATTCCACAGTGTCGAGCATGAATGCGCACCAGAAGACGCGGCGTTGCTGCTCGACATCGACCTTGGCGACTTGGGTGGAAAGATCATCACCGTCTTCCTGCTCGTATGCGAGGAATTGCGCTATCCGGAGCGCAGTCGATATGAAAACCCCACTTGGTTGTGAGTGTGAAGAAGTACGGATGAGCATGGCAAGCCCAATCAAACACTGCACCAGGCCCAGCGTTGGCGGCGCAATCAACAAGCCAGACACAGTCGGTAGAATCCTGTGGAGGTAGTAGTCTGCGAGCTCGTTATCCATGGGCGTGGCTATGTTGCTCTGCGCACGCGCTCGATGAGCAATACCCAGCACAACGTAGGCGCTCGCCCACGCAAGGGCAGTACCGTCTGAATACCCCTCGTAGCATATCCTAATGTGCTCTGCTATCTCATTAGGGCGGTAAAGTCCATAGACCGTGTTAAAATCGACCAAGAATTCGGCCAGCAGCGACGCTCCAAGCTCCGGTTCGGGAAGGCTCTTTGCGCACATGGTACTCGGCACAATGACTGAGTCGTTCACAGTGAGGTCTTCCAGTCCAGATGGTGGTTGAAACAAGGGATCTTGTAGTAGCGCTGCGTCCTCTTCGAAGTCTGCAGAGGGTTCGTAGTTATCCACAGACGGGAGCACGGCTTCTTCGGAGGGCTCGTGACTGACTGAGGTGTTGAATCCGGACATAGAAGATGCCGATCCTGTCATCCGATACGTCCCTTGGTAGGTGGAGGGATCGAGGTCGGAAGAGACCTGAATGGGATACTGTTCAACTTCTGTGCGGAGGGTGTCTACCCACATTGACAGAGATATCGATTCACTTGGGTCGTGTAGCGGGAGAGGTTGCAGGGGCTGACTTTGGACCTGCGGTTGCAACTCGCTTCTTTCTTTGAGCAGGTTCTCCAGGTTCTGGATGCGTCGTTCATATTCTACAACGCGTTCTCTACCATCAATCAGCACGATTGCAAAACAAGATCCCATGCACGCCATTTCTCGTAGTGCCCGTCTTCACGCAACACTGCGCGAGCAACCTTGGGCACCGTTGAATAAGATTGGCAATATGCAAGCGCCACACCCAACCTACCTTCTCTGCGGCTTCGACCTCTGCTTCCGCACATAAGTAGTCATGCACTCCTCTTTTAATTGCGTACAATAATTGCACTTTTCCGCGTCCTCGTCCCACAAACACCTTCTCTTCCTTTTCCGACATGAGTCGCAAGCCTACGCGTGAGTCAGCCCCACCATTGACACAATACCTCAAGTTTAAGTCAACACACCCGCACAGTCGCAGCAGAGCCTCGTTTCTGAACTCCTGATGAAGACATTGTTGTCGCAAATTCGGAATATGTCAATCAGACTTGGGCGAGCGGAATGAGGCTGAGGTTATGGCTGGAGAAGACGTAGGGCTGACGCTTATTAATATCTCTGGTAAGCGAGAGGAGGATTACTTCGTACTTTGGCTGGGCCTTCTGTTCGAATTCGGGCATCTCCGGAGGCCGTTGAGAGCGATGCTGCAGGCATGCATTACTGCTTCTCCTCGATACCAAAAAGATATTGCCCAGCTATAGCGTCGTAAGTTTTGCAGTATGAACGGACCCCTGTAGCTATATGCTGAAGACCATCCTTCTCATCCACTCGTCCTACTCTGAGCTGCGATCTTCGAAGATACCATTATTCAAAGAAGACAACACATGTTTCCATCTGAAAAGTTGATGTATACCGCTCAGGTTGTGCATCTGTTTGCATCCTGTAGATGTTTATATTAAAGCCGGAAGCAGACGATTTCTTCTGAGCGACATTCTCGCAGCGGCGGCTATTCCAATGCCGAAAATACTGCGAGGTAGATAAAACTTGATGAGTCAGCCGCAGGCGATGTCCTGCTCACATATACTATATGGTAAGCCATATCCTTCGGGAAGGAAGCCGTCCCGGGAGGCCACCCGTAGCGAAACTAAGTCTGGCAGTCGAACGCAAAAGTCCATACGGAGTCCAGAGGAATGATCGGAATGCTCAATATGCCAGATTACCAGCTCGGAGTGAAATGCGCGCAGGGCTGGCGTGTAGGGCGAATAAGGTGAATAGACGTAGTCACGACGTCGACACCAGACCCCACCACCTCGCCTGCCTGTTTGAGAAGAGGCACGAGCAATGCAAGCCAACCGAAGCGCGAGCATCCAATTTCGTCCCGAACCAGATGCGCACCAATAATATGGCTGCCGTAGAAAGGACTCTTCCCGTCGGAGAACGCACTAACTCGTGCGCACAGGGTTCACAGGTGCTAGGTTGCGATAGGCAAAACCGCGAGACCGTGAGTGATGAAGAGAGTCATTCTGCGCAATGAAGGAATCCACATGTCAACGCGAAAGGGCGTATCCGTACTCCTATCGCAGTTAGGTAGCCAACAATTCCGAATGCGGGGTCAGAACCGTCCGGAGTGGGCTCCACATTTCGCGAGCCCTGCCAGTAGGGCATTTTTAATAAAATTTTGATTGTGAACAGTCATTTTAGATGGTGTCGATAAATAGTTGGAAAGGCAGACTCCACCGATTCTGGCTGCATCGACGTGTGTGATACATTGACATAATTCAACCGTCCTAAACTTGTGGAGAACCCCGAGTTCTTCTTGAGCAACAGAGATATGGATTCAGTGGCGAACCCAGCAGTCCAGCTGCAGGAGATGCCTGCGGGTGGAACCACAGCGAACGAAGAACCGAATATGCTGGAGAAGGCCATCTCCAGATTATCTAGGCGAGTAGCTGTTCAGACGGAGAAGAGCCACCTTACTACAGCGGCGCCTATGCGCGAGCGATCCTCGTCAAGAAAGTCAAGTGTCGGAGGAGTCATTGACGAGGAGATAGCAGAAGAGGCCGATACAGAAAATGTTTTTCCTGAGGGCGGACTGCGAGCATGGCTTGTGGTCGCGGGCGCAACTCTGATGCTGTTGCCGTCATTCGGATTCATGGTCAGCATCGGTACACTTCAGGACTACTGGCACCAAAATCAACTATCGGATTTCACGGCTCGCGACATTGGTTGGATCCCTTCCGTCTTCGTATATTTGACTCTCGGGTTAGGCCTCTGGGTGGGGCCATACTTCGATCGATACGGGCCACGATGGATCGCTTTAGTTGGAAGCGCGGGCTACGTGGTGATGATATTCTTTCTGGCCGAATGCACAGAGTTCTGGCAGATGATACTGTGCCTCGGGATATTGGGGGGAGTGACAGCAGCTATGCTCACCTGCACTGCACTAGCTGTTGTTGCACAATGGTTTAAGACTCGAAGAGCGCTCGCGCAAGGCATCGCAATGGCTGGAAACTCTGTAGGAGGGCTGGCGATTCCGTTGATTCTGAAGTCAACGTTTCCAGCGTATGGATACGCGTGGTCTCTGCGGATTCTGGGCTTCGTATTCCTTCTCTGCCTGGTAGTCAGTAACATCCTGCTCAAGGCTCGCTTCCGGCCCTCAGCTGCAGCAAAGAAGAAGGCCATTATATCCTTGCATATCTTCGGAGATCTTCGCTTCAGTCTCTTCACCATCAGTGTGTTCGGCTTCGAAGTCGTGCTGTTCGGTGCCTTGGGCATCCTGCCCACGTATGCATCCATATCCACGGATTTTCCACCTAATACCGGTTTCTATCTTATAGCTGTCTTGAATGGAGTTTCCTGCTTCGGAAGAGTCCTACCAGGTTACCTGGGAGATAAACTTGGGCGTTTCAACACGCTACTCATCATGATCGTTTTCACCCTTGTGTTCATGCTGGCTTTGTGGCTGCCATTGGGAACGGAATCACTACCTGCACTGTATGCATTTTCAGCCTTATTCGGGTTCGGTACTGGAAGCTGGATGGCTCTCACACCAGCCTGTGTAGGCCAGCTGTGTAGGGCGGACGAGTTTGGACGATACTATGGCAGCATGTACTTTGTGGCTTCACTCGCGACGCTTGTGTGTATCCCCATAAGCGGAGAGCTAGTACAGACCGTCGGCCCCGAAGCAATGGTTGGCTTCTTCTGTTGCATCCTCGTGTTGAGTTTGGTAAGCTTCATTTTCAGTCGATGGGCATGTTTAGGAAGGCGCTGGGTCCTCATGGCGAAAGTTTAGAACAATAATTTACAGCGACGGCGTTAGGGATAGAAGCAACACGTATACAACGAAAGAATGATGTTTTCTTGAAGTGAGGCTTTGCTGGAGACAGCGTATGTACAGGGGAGATTGTCGTCAATGCCAAGACGCTCGCTTGGAAAGAACTTTCTGTGCTGGCGCTCACGCCTTCCTTTCCTCACCTCCAGCGGTTACCGCATCACACCCGCAAAGTATCTGCGGGCTGCTGGGACGGCGCATCGATACGACATTTCAGACCGGCAACCAATGCGCTGTATCAGGTCGGTGTGGGCCGGCGTCATCCGTCGCTAAACTATAGGTGAGTTTCAATGTGTTCTTTCCCCACCCCAAGTCATGATGATTCAATCAATCACAAGTTTCAAGACGGATCGGAGAGGCTCGCCTCACTGAATGAGTATTTCCATACTGAAGAATCACCCTTTGTTCTGTCGCATCTATCGTCATTAACGTACGCAAGCTGATGACGCATCACAGATAGAATAATACAGTTTTTACTTTTTCTGTTGGCGACTTGTAACGTGAAAGCTTTTGAGACGAGCTCAAGGAAATGCAGACAGCTAGTTTACAATTCAGAGACGGACCTCCGAAGAGGTCCTTGCGAACGAAAGACTAAATCGACGAAGCTCATAGTAATAGCATCCATGCGCCGCCTTTTCCGCCAAATATGCCCTCAGAGTTTTCACCACTACCTCCCCACGCGAGACCTGGAAACCCAAAAAGGAAATGTGATTAAGCATAGTTCATTGGACGAAACTGAAGACTTGACATAAGTGTCGGAGCTTCCTGCGTCTCACGTCGTCACCAGGCCAAGGCCAGGGCCAGAACTCAAGACCTGTTCCTACCTGAACGCCTGGGCTGGCCATCAGCAGTAGCGGCCTTCTTTGGCTCCTTCTTCTTCGCAGGCTCCTTCTTCTCTTTCTTGGCGTCTCCCTTGGGACGACCTGGCTTCTTCTTGTCCTCGGTCTTCTCCTCGTCGGCCTTGGCCTTCTTCGATGCATGCTCTTCGTCGCCCTCGGCACCGTTTGTCTCGGCAGCTGATTCTTCAGCTTTACGTTTGTCGCCAGTCTGCAGATCTTCTTCGGCCTTCTCATTCTTGGAGGCAGACTTCTCTTCCTGAGCCTCCTCCTTGGGCTCTTCCTTGTCTGCGTCACCCTTGGAGGCCTCGGCATCTTCAGCGGCACCGTTCTGCTTCTCGGAGTCTTCCTGATCGGCCTGCTTATTTGCCCCGCCATCATCTGCAGGAGCGTCCTTCATCTCCACGTCTTTCTTTTCTGGCTCAGCCGCCTCCTCATCCGCCTTGTTGTCGGACTCGGATTCTTTGTCGGCCTTTCCAGGCTCTGGTTGCTTCCCCTCGGACTTGGAATCGCCGTTGGTCTGCTCGGAGTTGCCATTGGCCTTCTCCTCGACTTCAAGCTCAGAAGCGCGCTTGACGACATCGTTGCCAGGTCGCTCGATGTGTACCGCGGGGTTTTCGGGGTCGGCGTTCTTCTTGATGGTATTGCCTTTCTTGGACTCGATGGCGATTTCGCCCTGTGTTTTGACCTCGGCAACCTCACCACCGGGTTGTCCTGAGCCCCATTGCCAGGAGACTACAGCATTGAGATTAGCATTCGATGTCTCAATATTGACGCGCTCAAACGCTGGGGGGTGCAGATGTCCGTGCGTTCTTTGTACGTGCATACTAGCGCAAGAATGGCAGTGGAGCTGAGGGCAGACCGCGGACCACGGCAACTGCTCGGCTCCAAAGCTGAACAGGAACAGGATAAATTCGTGCATACCTTTGTCACCCTCTTGAATTTGGGTGTCAGCCATTGCGCTTGTAGTTGCTTGATGAGCCGGGAGTGGTGGAATGACGTTCAATCTCCGCAAACCGGACTTAAGGGTCGCGAAGTGACTTTAAGCTCAATTAAGTCGCGTAAAGCTGGAGCTGGGGCGCGTAGCGATGGGAACGATGCGCGTGCGGTGGAGGAGAGTGCGCTGTGGGTGAAAAGGTTGGTGTAAGAGTGGAAGGTCAGGAAACCGTGCGCGATGTGAGGTCAAGCTGTGGATCGGAGAACTGCGAGCAATGGGCGATCTGCTGTCGTGATTGGCTCGCCTGCAAGTTATGGGGAAAGGTGGCTGGTCCACAAAGCCGGTCACAGCATCAGCGTCATCGGCGGCTCGTGCAGGGATCCGCTTTGGGCTGTTTCGAGAAAGCTCGAGCACGGCAAAGGTAGGCGAATGAAGGATATGATAAAAATTGATGAGATACAGATGGGTACGAAGATTGGTGTGCACTTATGTGGTAAGAGTGGTCGTCTTTTTCTGTTTTGAGGCACGGAACGTTACATAAGCATGTCAGCAGGAAGGAGCTATTCAGCCCTGACCGAAACATCGTGTTGGCAGGAGCGACGCCAGACACGTGACCCCAATACGACCTAGAGCCCATTGTTCCGATGACAACTGAGACAATTAGGATCGAGCAGCGGCAGCATCAGCGCCGAAATTTTCCCTGAGTGTGAGTGGAGTTTGAGCAGGTCGTCTTTGACAATTTCTTCCCTCCTTGCAAACAAATCCTCCACGTCCCAGTTGGTGGCGATCCATCGTCCACTGAGGAACTTCGTTTTCTCATGACACAGCCAGACAGCTGTACCCCCTATGAGTTCCGCACTGGCATGGTCGAAGAGCGTGCGGAAGGGCTCGCGAAACATGTCTGTAGGAACGAAACCCGGATACAAAGATGTCGCAATCACACTCGGATACTCAGCTGCAACGCAGGTGGATAAATGATCGAGGCTAAACTTGGACATGAAGTAGCCGTTCATCTGAGGCACAATGAAAAAAGTCTGCCATGAACTTACGTTCACTATGACCGTTGGCATATCAGGATATGGCGGTTGGCAGAGGAAGGCGTGTATCAAGAGGTACGTGAATTTGCTGTTGACCTGAAAATTTTGCCACTATGCTTCCGGATCCGTCTCGTGGAGCTTGGGGCCTTCATCGATCGCAGCGCTTGCAGCGTGGACAAGAAAATCTGCATGTCCAAACTGGGCTTTGATATCAGCAAAAGTATCTTCAGCATCCTTGACCCAGGTTATTTCTAGGGGACAAATCAGAGTATCAACGGCGGGATTGATCTTTTTGATCTTCCGCTCAGTACTGGCAAGCTTCTCAGCATCGGTAGCCAGCAGCGCGATCGCCCTCACACCCGCCTTGGCAAATGGTGGTACCATTCCCTACTGCCATTTAGACTAACTAAGGGTGGGCTGTAGTCTGCTATTGCACTTACATCAGATTCAATACCGCGGGACGTGCCAGCGATGACCACGACTTTCCCACTCAAGTTATTTGCTGGCACCGTGGGATCAACTTCTGGGTACACATCGAGGTGGGTGTTCTTAGTGAAATGCAGAGCCGTGGAGGGGCAGTCTTGCGGAGCATTGAGCCAGTCGAACATCGTGGAATGTATGCTAAGGTTCGCTAGCCGTATTGCGTATATCGTAACCCCCTCTATGATGCAGTGCTTTGCAAACTGTGAAGTTTTGGAAGTGATTCTTGATCAAACATTGTCATATATGAATTAGAACCCATGAAAAGTCAGCGTAAGCGAAAAATGAGTGCTGACAAGATTGCGCCCACGCGAAATGCTTCCACGGAAAGATAGTGAGGGGCATGCGAAGTCCCACTGCGGTGAGGATCTTGCCGATCATACACCCAACTTATCAAAGCTGCAGGCTTCCGCCAGGTTCTAATAATAGAAGAGTATGAGATCTACTTGTGATAGTGAGATCTTTCCACAGTCGCTGCAATTGCTAGTGCTGATTGAAAGAGGTCATCTTCGACTGCTCGGTCGCACTCGCTGCACTTAGCTGATTGGCCTCTTATGATTTCAACAACACATATTGCAGTCATGAAGTGCACGCTTTGTGGGAACCAGAAATGCCCAAAACACTACTAATTTGGGACGCCAGGACTTTGTTGAGGATGCGAGCAGCTTTCCAGTGGCGGAGTGAACAACGCCACCGTAAGCAAAAAAATTACTCCTTCAATCACCTACACCTATGAAATGCGGTCAGGCACTCACACATATCGCATACACTATTAAAGCAACGTCAAGCTTCAACTAAACATACGAGACTGAGATGGAAGACGATCCAAGTCGGCATTTGCCACGCATGTCGAAAAGCCTGTCGTCAGTTCGTTCTGATGGCCACGCGCCAACTACAAGAGATTCAACATTCTTTGCAGTTTCTGAAGGAACCTAATCAAAGGAAAGGCTACATTCCTACTAATTAATCCCTGTTGAAAGAAGTCAGCAGACTTTTGCTGATGTGGCCGCACTAACTTCGATGGTCAGGGCCAACGCCAGTGTTGAGAACTTCTCGTTTTGATTTCGGCCTACTTGCTTGTAGTGATCCGCCTGGGTTGCACTGTAATACATAAGTAGGCCGAAATCAAATTAAAGGACTCTTCAGACAGGACTTTGCTCGTTGACAAAATTTGCGCAGTGCCTACGTGGTGCTTTGGTCTGAACACTCGCTGGCTGCATGGCCTTGCGTTGGTACTAAGAACGGTGTTTACTATCCTTCCTATAACTATACATAGGATTTCGGGGCCACGGCTGATGAAAATGTATCTGTTGCATACTGTAGAATAGTCGCAAAGTTTGCGCATACACCAAACTGGACAGGGTCCGCTGCGAGCGTTGCACTCATTCACCTGACCTACGGGATTATACTTTTCCGCGAACTGGGATGAAACTCCGGCCCTACCCCAAGTAATCCCCGCAGCCCACAACCCCAGATTTAGTCCAAGTCTACGGGCTTGGCGTCGCACATACAGTACTTCGTACATCTGAACTCGACGCGGAAAGACCGCTCGCCGATTGGCGGCTTTTCCTGTGTCGATTTTCCATCCCCATGGGGGCGGTAGGTGCCCCTTCAAGAGCATGGTTTTCACGCCAATGACACCTCGCTTTCTGTAATACAACCACTTTCGACCACACGGGGAATTGAAGGATCTGCGAGGTTAATCTAACATTTCAGGGTCTGCGAATGTTTATAGTTATGTGACCTAACTCGTTCAGCGGCCTTCAGAGTTCCCCGGACGGTCTTTGGTGGACAATTGTGTGCGCGCTGTGCGTAAAGTTTCTTCTCTGAGCAACTCAAGGTATGTTGTCCTATATGAGATCAATTAAAGATACCGAACAAGGGTCACGCAAAACAACTCGGGTATGTAGTGATCCATGGATATAAAAGAGACGATACAATCTTCGAAAACAAACCATCTCACTCTTGACTTCCATACAAGATCTCTTCGACTGCTTCATAAGTTTTGCTTGCAACTTCACAATGCGCTTCATCGACACCGCTACTCTGGCTCTGGCCGCCGGTTCTACCGCTTCAGCGAGCACCCTCAAGCCTCGGGCTGCCGCTATCGACCAACTCGTTGGCTATGGTGCAGGAACCACCGGTGGAGGATCTGGCGCCGGCACCACCGTTACCACTTGCGCTGCGCTGACCGCAGCTGCAAAGAACGGCGGCGTGATCAAGATCTCCGGAACCCTCGACAACTGCGGCATTGTCAAGCTGACGTCCAACACTTCCCTTCTTGGTGTGGGTTCCAGTGCTGCTATCACCAACGGCGGCTTGCAGATCAGGAAGGTCTCGAACGTCATCGTCAGGAACATCAAATTTCACCTCGCCCCCGAAGGCAAGGACCAAATCGACATTGATGCGAGCACCAAGATCTGGATCGACCACAACGACTTCTCCAGCGCGGGCATCACCGGGGACAAGGACACATATGATGGCTTGTTGGACGCAAAGCACGGCGCCGACTCCATTACTGTCTCCTGGAACAAGTTCCACGACCACGTTTGTCTCATCCTTCCCAAGGTTGACTCCTAGCTAACAGCCATGCAGTGGAAGGGCTCGCTCGTCGGCCACTCCGACTCCAACGCCGCAGAAGACACCGGCCACCTCCACGTCACATACCACCACAATCTCTTCCAGCAAGTGAGCTCGCGTCTGCCCTCGATCCGTTTCGGAACCGGCCACATCTACAGCAGCTGCTACATCAACAACCCAACCTCTGGTGTCCACTCGCGCATGGGTGCGCAGGTCCTGGTCGAGCAGTCGTCGTTCACGGACACCAAGCGTGCGATCATTACCAACCTCGACTCTGATGAGGATGGTTATGCGATACAGAAGAACAACATTTTCACCAACAGTGATATTAGCATTACGCAGACTGGTAGCTTGACGATTCCGTACTCGTACACTACGGATGCTGCGAGCGGTGTTTGCGCAATTGTTAATAAGAGCGCTGGTGTCGGTGTCGTAACATTCTAAGCGTTGAGAAACGATGGTGTAGGCGTGCGGGAGCGCTACGTTCTTTGTAAATATTGATTAGGCCGAGCATGTACATATGTTTTCCGCATCAGCCCTTTGCCCCCATTGACACAAACCCAAGCAGAAGAACGCAGAACAACACCACTTCCACAACTCAACATGGCTTCTCGGAAGCCTCCTTATACTCATACCGATAGCAGTATAGCCCACTTTGACTATCCATAATCTCTCCCAGCCTCTTCGGCGTATCCAGCCACCCAAAATCCACAACCCAATCCAACGTCGCATTCTGACTCGGCGGATTGTTCAAGGTCGTCACCGTCCCATCCAGCGCGAACGTTCGCGTCTCGCGATCCCGAAGCTGCCATTGCGCCCACATATTGTCGATCATGCTGTGGTGCAGATAGAACACCGGATCCGACGGCGACGCATACTGGTCCTGCATACCCGTGCCTACGGACCAGTGGCCCGCGCTGTGCGGTGAGAGATGACTTGTGTTCCGCACCGTGCCGTCCATGACACTCTGGAACGCACGAATGCTATCCGCGACGAGGAGTTCGTGCACAACCTCAGGCTGGTGGCTGGGACTAGAGATCACGCTGTTAAGGTCGCGAGTCACGCAGTGCGGAGCGTAGTCCAGAGCATCGGGGGGCAGGGTGCCAGCGAGTATCTCTTCGTTTTTGAAATTGCGGAAGCCCGTTGTGATGTTCGCGAAGGGGCCTTCCTTGATGCAGCCGCCGCCGTGACCGCGGGGGAACGTGTAGTTGCCGTTGCTGAAGGGTGGCATGCTGGCGTTGTAGTAGCCGTCACCTCCGAGACTGGTTGCGCTGCCGTCGAAGAGAGGGCTCGAGAGGAGATCGTCGGACCACCATGGCCAGTTCCAGTAAGGCAGAGTGCCTTTGAAGCCGCACTCATCCGTCAGGGCTTTTTGGAAGAGGTACAAGAAGTGGCGGTGCCAGGCGAGGAAAGGCCCGTTCACGTGGATGAGTAGGGTGTTGTTGATGTGGGTTGCAGTGAAGTCATCATATCGGGATGTGACACCAGGGGCAACCTCTATTGGTGTCTTTGGCGGCAGGTTCATTAGGCATTGAACGCTACGAGTGAAATCGATGCGCTCAGCCGGTTTCAATGCACTCCTGCTCCGGTTAGCTTTCAAACCCGAAGTATATGTCGATGCATGGGTATCGGTACCATTCCTTGCGGACCGCTGTATTTGAATCGGTGCATTTAATAGGTCGAGTCGGATGGAAGTATGGTGAAGGCAAAGCATATGAGCCAGCGCAGAGTAAGGCTGTTATCGAGCAGATTTGGGAGAAATTGAAGCGCATGTTGAACAGTATGAATGTACTACTTCTTGATATGGAACACAGTGGAGCTAGAAAGCGAACTTGTGGTCTCAAAAGGTGCCCTATAGTCGTGTTTATATGTAAACATTATTGTATGGCATCTTCAGTGCTCATGGCTGACCTGTGTTGTACCAAAGGTGGGGCGGGGCTTATTAAGCAAAAGACCGAAGTCCTGAGAGCTTCGTATGCCTTCCTAGATCTAGTATTCATCTTACCGCTTCTATCGACGTACTTTCTGATTGTCGCTGGCGCTACCTGTAGCGAAAGCTGCTGTTGGCCGAAAAAGGGCTGTGATCGCTCTGGGTTATAGATCATCCCGCCGAAGCAGAGGTCGTACGAGCTGTGGTACCAGTATACGAGGAAAGTGGCGCGTGCAGAACCGTGCATGATGAGCCTGACGCCAGATAAGCTCTTTTGACGGTGATATTGGAGGATCGGAGGATTAAAATCGCTCCGTCGTATCATTGTTGATAGCGGCTTGGGCTTGAAGGCTGCGTGGAAATTAGTATCACTCCGCCAAGGGGTATACGAGATCCTAGGTAGCCACAAACTTATACAAGACGACTCCGGGGAGTCCTTGATTGAATGCTACTGTTTAAATCATCAAGGTGTTTGAATCCATCGGGGATGGCGGGGGGGTCTTCCTTATGTACTGCGTGAGATGCGGTGGTGCACCGTGGCCAAGGCTAAAGGTTGCAGCCCTCCCGGCAAGGGCAAGCACATCCGACGCGAGTAACAACTGCCGCCTGTCGTTACCACAGTGCCCAACAGTGACTTCAACGCTATGCAGAAAGCTCTCGCCACAATAAGAACTGCTGCTAATATAGTGCAGTTCGTTTGTTGGCTCAAGTCCCCTTGGTCGACGGGAAACAGGCCCAGACCCAGGTTGACCGGTGGAATTCCTGAGGTCTTCCGCTACGTCCAGGCTGCCCATGCTACTAGACGCGCTTCGCCAAATGCAATCAGCGATCGCTAATGGAGTACAATATGATAACAAGAAACGTTTGTTCCAGCCATTGAAGGATGCAAGTCTCAAACTACGTTGCTAGATGATATTTACTAGAGATACAGTGCACAAAGGTTCCCCACCTCTATGGCTAAGGAGTACCGTCTCGGTTCGTGGACACATTAGATCCAACAACGTACAACCTCTCCTCATTCGTGTCCCGTGGGTCCACCTCACTCCTTATGGTAGTCAGCTTGATAATCCGGTGTGGGTCGGGACGTTGGGCCTGTGACCGTCCGTTCCACTGCCGTCCGCTTCCAAAGCTATTGCTGTGTGCAGTTGTATCTTCTAAGGTTCCCTTGGAAAGCCACCTATATAATGGCCGATAGGTCGGGAAGGATGCCGCAAAAATACCAACAGAGAGCTCGAAGGTAGAAGTTATACCAGAAGGAATGCTGTCCCCTTTTAACCCTGTCAGCTACAGTTATTATTCCAGTTAATAAGAATACTTACATGTCGGATCCGGTGTGGAAGCAACTCTAAGGACGAAGAGCAATCGTACTAGGCAGACAATACACGCGCTGCGAGTGATGTCAGAAAGGCTCTCTTGGTTGAGGTAATCCGCTACTCACGATCCGCCCATAATGAAGGATAGGCTCACTAGCCATTTCTGGGTTTTGTTGATCCGGAGGCCCCATACGACCGGCAATGGTAGAGCAAGCATAAAAATATCGGTTAAGATATTGATGCATGACATAGCGAGCGCAAATTTTCCGAACTGTACACACCGGCCCGACTTCTCTGGATTCCACATTTTCTCCAGTGGTATGCACTGAAGCAATTAAACAAGTATGGACGTTGCGGTCATGCCGCTGAGGAATATTCCGAATGCTAACAGCACATAATTAAACCACTGCAGGGGGAAGATGCGACGATAAAGGTACAGAAGAGATATCTTGATGGTGTGTGAGCGCCGCGTATATTCGACAAACTCAGAAAACCTGATTGACACTCGATCTGCACCACCCGCTGTCTGTTGAATTATTCTTAGCAGGCAGACTGAATACTTGGGCAGCCCCTGGCGGTGTGATGGTGTGCAGTCGCCGCAAGCATGAGCTCAACTAACGTCACTTGCTATCATCATTCCAGCAACTTGGTAAACAACAATTTTTGATGCCACCAAGTTTGTCTGGTCAGAGGAGTTCGATGCTTAATACTTGATTTGGCCTCGACAGGTCATGAAGGGCGGTGAGCAGCGCCGGGTTCCGCAAAGACATTTTTAAATCTTCCTAAGAACAGGCTCAGTAGAGTCGAGACTAATAAGTTTTTCATTTTGTAAAGCCTTCTCAACTTCTTCTGGAAAGCGCTGCCTTTACGAGTTCCCATGAATAGGATGTGTGCTGACAGCTGTGCGCGAAGTAGATTGTGCATGACGCGCCAATGCAGCGTCTGCGCTAAACTTATATGAGTCTGCCCCCCCCCCCCCCCCTTTTCTAACGTTCTCAATTACGCCGCATTGCCTGCGTGAACGTCTGACATGACGCTCGTGGACGGGTACCGCCCTTCTGGCGATACTATGCGTCCTCGGGATTAAATATACGGCGCAGCCATATCTAGCATGTGCCTGACTAATTTCCTTGCAGGCAGTGTTGGCATCAACTGCAGTCATGTGGCAAACTTGCACCACCGTTTTCTCCAACGAGGCCTGTAAGGTATATGATGCACCTCTTCCTGGCCTCCAGCACGGAGCCTGAGAAGTATTCAACTAAGCTATTTGCAACATGCCCACAAGGTTTATTCTCATCCTACTTAACGGCGTCGATCTAGGCCTGCTGCCCCAGTTCTATCAAGCTGCCATTGATGGATCGTTCAACGACAGTATGATCCCAAAAATAACAATTCTTGTTACTCTGCTGGTATTACAGTTCGTGAGTCTCACATTACCTTCCACATACTCCATAAATTAATATAGCGTAGCTGCTTCTCAAGGCTACCTATCGAGCAAGCCTGCATCCGCTCGCCAGATACCCTGGCCCATGGTGGGCTGCACTAACCGACTGGTATACTGTGTACCATATCATGAAAGGAGATCGACACATTGACTTCTACCACTTACATGAGAAATACGGTATGCACAAGAAAAGCACTCCGTAGTTGGGATCTTCAATCGAGCTAATGCTACGATAGGAGACATTGTCAGATTTGGTCCCCGTCGCATTTCCGTTCGGTCCAAAAACCCGCTCAAAGACATCTATGGCGTGAGCGCCAACGTCAAGAGATCACAAGTCTACGCCTCAACGGCTGCCTTTTTCGGCGGAACGCCTCATTCTAATACTACGCCTGATTGGAAGGAACACGCGTTCAGGCGCAGAGTGAATGTTCGTGCACTCAGCCCCGCGAACATCAAAGGCATGGAGGAGAAAATCCTGCAGAATATTCGATACTTTCATGATACCCTTGTCGATGGTGAAGGGCAGGACTGGAGCACCCCGCGCAATATGAGTGAGCTGATTGGATACCTCATCTCAGACATTATGGGCGACATGACGTTTAGCAAAAGCTTCGATGTCCAGAGAAAGCCCGACAACCGCGATGTTATGAGGGGTCTGCCTCGCGCTGTCGCGGATATCCATGCAGTAAGTGGAACCTGCGATTTCTTTCGGAACATCTGTTAACGTGAAATACAGGTAGGTTATATGCCAGAGATCGTTACGTTCGGCCTTCACAAGATATTTTTCCGAAACATGATCGCTGACATCACTCGATTTATCGCCCTGAGTGCATCTACATTCCAGTGGCGCTTCACCCAAGAAAGCTGCAACGACATCTTCTCGACGCTGTTGCAGGCGCGCGATGATAAGACTGGGGAAGGCTTCTCAACTGAGCAACTCGTGGCTGAGGCCGGGCTCTTCACGGTTGCTGGATCTGATACCACTGTCACCGCGACAACAGCGATCTTTTTCTATCTTTCCCACTATCCCAACTGCCTTTCTCGCCTTGAACAAGAAATCCGTAGCACCTTTTCCAGCGTTGACGATATCCGCATTGGTGCACAACTTGCCTCTTGCCATTATCTTCTCGGATGTGTCGAGGAGACACTCCGCCTTACTCCTCCTGTTGGGTCTACACTGATGCGTGAGGTGTTACCAGGAGGTCTCTCTGTCGATGGAAAGTGGTTTTCCCGGGGAACGGACATAGCTGTGCCGCATTATGCTCTGCATCACGATGAGCGCTATTTCCCGGATCCCTTTACTTTCAAGCCCGAACGATGGCTTTCACAAACTACAGGATGTTCCAACGCCATCGATGTCGGTGTTGCCCCAGATCTGGAACCAGAACCGGCAGACAGTGTGCGCGAGAAGAGTGCAAGTCCAGGAAGCCTTGCAGCCAGTGTCTTCGTCGCCTTCGGCGTCGGCAGGACGTCGTGCATCGGGAAGTATCTTGCATATCAGGAGGTGCTGCTCGTAATTGCGCGGACGCTCTGGCTATTTGATATGCGTCTCGAACGGGGGTCCACACTTGGGGAGGGGAGCGTGAAACTGGGGCCTGGAAGGGAGAGAAGGGAAGAGTTTCAAACATGGGATCGGTTTGTGAGTATGCATCAGGGGCCAATGCTACAATTCAGGCGACGAGAGCTTCTGAGTATTTAGCTCTCGTGCGCTGGGTCGACGAGTGGATGAAGAGCGGTACGGAGCTGATGTCGGAGTATAGCTGCCGTAGTGGACGTTCTCTGACACGAATGTGGTCGACGTCCCGACATCAACTCTTTGGATTAGTGGGTGCGATTCAAACCTTACAGTGGTCTTTGTAGTACCTTACAATGAAAAGGAATGAACTCGTGGAATACAGATTTGTGTTCAAGAAGCTGAGTCATCGATGTATTCCATTGTAGCAAACTGGTTCGAATAATCATGCACCGCAGTGACTACGCCGCAACAATACAAGTCCTAAAGAGCTCTAGTCGAAACGACACAGGTTCTCAATACGGTCTAGCCACAACGACACAGATTCCCAAAACGCTCTAGCCGTTAAGTGTCCAAATCTTTAGACTGTTGTATATATTACAGTTCACCGTCGGACCCAAGTGTTCCTTTCAAATATGCTGATTGAGCTGCTTGTGAGTGTGACGCTGTTCTATGCGACATGGAGCATCGTCTCCTTACATTTCAACTATCGCCGCGCACGACTGATGGGCATCCCACTCATCAAACTCCCTATCGACCCACTCAACATCCTCTTCACAGTCCTCGAGCCACATCTCTCCCGCTTGTTCCACCTCCTTCGAATTCAGCTTTCCCCCTTACTCTTCTATCTGCATCGCGGATGGCACTTTAGCGACAAAGCCAATACCCACCTCAAACACGGACCAATATGGGCTCTCGTGACACCACGCGATATCCAAGTCCATGTCTCTGATTCCGAGGCTATACAAACCTTTATCTCCAGACGTGGAGAGTTTATTTGACCGAGGGCAGATGTACAGTGAGTTGTTTACTCGTGGTTCGAAAGAGCATAGTTCTAATGCCTTGCAGAACTATTAGAGGTGTATGAGCCTTGCATCTCGACAGCTAGTGCGGCAGATTGGCCTCGTCATCGCAAGACTCTCGCCGCGCCCTTCAATGAGACTGCAATGGGGGTCGTTTGGTCGGAGTCTTTGCAACAGACAGAACAGATGGTCGAAGCGTGGAGTTCACCATCCTCGGGAGGTATTACGAGTGTGGCAAAAGATATACGTATCTTGTCTTTGAAAGTGCTTGCTGCTATCGGGTTCCGTCGCTCCTTCTCGTTTCGACAGGCAGACGACAGCGTTGGAATAAGGGAAGGTGTGGTGCACTCGTATCGCGACGCACTGCAGATTGTGCTGGAAAACTTGATTCTCCTGATGTTGATTCCATCTCGACATCTTGTCTATCCTTGGCTGCCAGCTTCCCTTCGCAGGATAGGAAACGCAGCTCTGGATTTCAAGAAGCACATGGTAAAGATGCTCGATGAGGAAAACACGTCCATGAACCGAGGCGACAAAGGTTCGGGGAGCTTAATGACTTCATTTATTCGGGCCTTGGATGAGTGGAACAAGGGTGTTGAGAGCAATTGTATCTCAGGGGCTCTCAGTGATGAGATCTTAGGTAATCTTTTCGTTATCAACTTCGCCGGACACGATACGACTGCCAATACGTTGGCATTCAGCACGTTGCTTCTGGCAACCTATCCTGATGTCCAACAATGGGTCGCCGAGGAGATAAACAACGTCTCTTCGGAGATGGTAAGCGCAGACTGGAAGTATGCCGACGTTTTCCCACGCCTGCTCAGGTGCCGAGCTTTCTTGGTAAGCTTCATGCCGATCGTGTCAAGCTGAGCTTATAGAGAGTGTGATAGGTAGTTGCCTCGGTGCAGTATGCTGTTATAATACCTGTATTGTAAGCAAGGGTCGTGGAATCAAGCACACATGGTTGTTATCGTGGAATAGTGTAGAGAATTAGTCGCTATATTATCGACTGAAACATCGACAGAACCCGGGGAGAGAAAATGCACCTTCCTTTATCTGGCATATAAAAAGCTCTAATAAATCATATTATACCCAAGCCTGACTTCGGCCCATACGTGTTACGCAAGCGTAAGCGAAACATTCGTCTCCTTCGACGCGCAAGTCAACGTGAGTTTCTCCTGCCACGGCCCCGCATCTCGACTCGTCAGCCCGGAGAACGTTTGCACCATCCGCGCCGTCACGTATCCCGCTTCGGTAAGCGCGTATTGTTCTAGGTTTAGATCAGCTGTTGGCCTTCAAAGAGAGTTGGAAAACTTACGGCCAATGCAAACACGCGGACCACCAAGGAAGGGAAGGTAGTCCTGAGGCATCTCGTTAGCTCATGTGTGTAATGATCTATTTTGGATAGAGTTTTCCTACCCAAGCACCAGGACGCAGTGTGGCCCAACGATCAGGATTCCAAACTCCGGCGTCCGGACCCCAGATGTCTTCGCGTAAGTGCATCACAGCCATCTGGCAGAAAATCATCTGTCCTGCCGACACGAAAATCGGGGATTGGCCATCCTTGCCGCCTCCCGAGGGAAGTGTGGTGTCTTTGTTGGCGTTCCTGACGATCGTGGGTACAATGGTGTTGACGCGGAGTGCTGCAATGCATACTTAGCAACCACAGCAAGGTCGGGTGAAAAACAACTTACTTTCTTTCATACAGTACTGCAGCAACTTCAAATTCTTCAACTCTTCGAAAGTCGGTTTCGCGCCGTGCAGCTCAGCGGCCTCAGCACGTAGCCGTTCCCAAACATCCGGCCGCTTCGCGAGCTGGAAAAACATGCTCCCTAGAAGACTTGCTGTGGTGTCTCGTCCCGCAAGCAACATATTCAACACTTCACCCCTCAGTACTATGGGATCGGTCGTCTCTTTGACCAGTTCGTACAGGAAGGTGTACTGGCCCGTCGGCAACGCCTTCTCTTTCCCGTCCCAGGTCTGTCGCCATCGAAGCGCCTCACCGATATATCTCTGTACAAAATCATGCACCGTCTTGCAATTCTGCTTATCTTGCTGTGACTGCCCCATGAGTCGTGCCAACGGACTTTGTGTAGCTCTGATCGCACATTCCTGCAGTGCTGTGTCGTATGCGTGCGCGAACGCTACACCAGACGGTTTACCCGGCTCGTCGCCGCGCAATGAGTGCACTGATTCTCCGAAGAGAAACTCGGTTGAGGTGTCGATCGTTAGAGCAAAGAAGAGGGGCTGGAGATCCACGGAAGTTCCATCGCTCGGAAGCAGCTTCAACAGATCCTGCAGGTACACCTCAATCGCATCAATGTTGGCAACCTGCGCTCTGACAAAGTTCGGTCTGATCATCGCACGCGAGTGCTTCCATTCCTCTCCATCCGTCGTGAAGATGCCTTTGCCAATCACCTGCCCGATGAAATCCAGACGGCCCGCCGTGTCGAAGTCGTTGAAGTTCGTCGCGAAGACCGCTTTGATGTTCGCCGGTTCGGACGTCACAATGATCGTCTTGTTGAAGATCTTGATGCTCTGCGTATACTGGCCTGCCTCGCGGAACTTTTGGTGGACCCACTTAATCATCCGGTGTTCTTTCCTTGCCTGCCGAACCTCGCGGATTCTATCCATGCCGAGGTATGGGAATTTGTGAGGGTACTGCGCGGTGACGGGCTCGCAGCCATGCTGACGCGCGAATTGGCGGCGTCGGTGAGCTCTCAGTAGGACTTGTGATGTTTTGATGAGGACCAGTGCAAGGACAACAAGCGCGAGTGCCTGCGCCCTTGGTGGACTAAGAGTTTCGAACGACATGTTTTTGTCGTCGCTTTTTTGTCTCAATTATATCATCGCCGTGGCCACGGAGGGGGGTGAGATGGTAAAGAGGTCGACTTAGGGGCGGTCAGGATTCCTTACCTCAGCGCTTTTACTGACCGTCGATGTACGGCAAGGTTGCTAGTCTTGCATTTTCCTAAGCAGTAATAGTTAGGAAGGGATCTTACTACAGAAATCTCCGTTTCCACGTGGCGTCGCACGATGCTCCACAGACAGGAGGAGATTGCATCTGAGCGAGCTTGATGGTACTAGTGTCGTAAGCACTAGATCTGCTGCGCCACCTGGGCACCAACATGATCCTTGAGCTTACCAATAGTCATCATAAACGGTAGCAATCGAACCTGCAGATGAGTACTTTTAGCCAGTTGTCTGTAGTGCCCAGGTGTTGTTCATCAGCCGTGTACGGAACCGCCGAAAGTCCAAACCTCGGTACAGGCATTTCTTCTTGAATAAGCTTCCTCAGGTAATGCACAAGATACTGAATAAAAAGTAGTGATGGCAACTAAGAGACTGTAGTCTAAGGGATATCATATGCCACGTATAGAGCATACTTAACGCCAGAAATGCAAAGGAACGGTGTGCGCAAAACCTACAACCTCGCAAGCCCAGCCTCCCTCTCTACGATATCGGTCCCACTGTCCGTCCGCACGATACTCTTCTTTCTCACTTCTTCAGCCTCAGCCTCCATCCCCAAGTCCACAACCATCCTCCTCCAACTCTCTCCCGCCCTACTCGCCAGCTCCTCCACAACACCCTCGTCTTTCCGCTCCATCGCCCGATTGAACAGCTCCATGCTCACCCAGCCCTCGAATCCAATCTCCTTGATGATGGCATGCGCCACATCCCTGACCGGCAGATACGCGCCGTGCGCAGTCTCACCGTAGAAGAGCCTACAGTTCCTACTCCACGACATGCGCGCGGGCTGCGCAGCATTGTAGAATGCATGGCCCGGTAGCAACGGCTTTTCAAGGCGCTCCGCGTCGACAACCTGAAAGAAGAAGATCTTCTCCTTGTGCGGACCAATCTGCTGGACAAGCCTTCTTATCGAGGCCTGCACCTCTTCCTCAGCGCCAGCGTTGCATCCTGTTGGGGACGTGGGATCCGCATATATGCGACCCAGAATGTTGAAGCTGTCCAGGCAGATGCCGAAGTTGGGACGGTCGACGCGCGTCACGATGTCCCAGCATAGCTCCCACTTATCGACGTACGTGCCCCAGCAGAGACTCTCGTAGGCGAATCTGATGGGCGGAGAGTGCTGGAGGCCGATATCTGCAAGTTCGCGCAGGTCCGATAGGATGAGTTTGACGTCGTCTGAGATTTCTTCGGCTGCAAGGAAGGTTGATGGGACTTGTATCAGGTCTGTATCGAGGACTTTAGCGAGTTGGATCCAGAGGTGTATCTCTTCGATGCGCTTTGCGTGTTTTGACCGGTCGAGCAGGCCTTCGTAGTGCATGAAAGGCTGCAGGCATATGATGCCGAGACCCAGGGATGTGCATAACGAGCGGACATAGGCGGCGGCTGAGAGCAGATTTGAGGGCGTAGGGGGTTCTGCGAGGTCCGCGAGGTCTTCGTAGAAAAGCTCAATGCCTTGGAGGCCGTGTTTTGCGGCCATGGAGAGCTTGTGCTCCATGGAGTGGCCGGCATAGCACCGGCCAAGGGACATCGAAGATATTCCTGGGCGGCAAACCATCTTTGCTGAGCGTGGTTGTCCTTTACTACTTGTAAGTGGAGTGTGGTGGCAGAATATGGTCTTATTCAGAAGGCAATCCAGGTATCTGGAAGTCTATGTTGAAGTCGGTTGAATGACATGAAGTTAGGCGAATGAACAATGAGCTGAGAATTCCAGGGAATCAACATCCGTATACATCTTGATAATCCCACTGTAAAGGATTGTGTGTGGGTCCTCTGCTGATACTGGAAGAATACTGTTGCTGCTCTCTCATCGCCAGAGCCATAAGCTGTTACCTAAAGAAGCTAGCACCATGACGTAGTATCGGAATAGTCTTTATCCCTCGCCTCCCACCTGACAACGAACGCGCAAATCGCACACGAGTCATGGAAAAATCGCACTGTACCGACTGCAGTCCCGGAAGAATGCTCAACATGCACGATGGAGGAAAGTCAACGTGGATAAGAGCCTTGGAATACCGCTTGTTTCCTAGCCGTTCACTCCACACTGCATGCGTGCGCACAAGGATAAGCTTAAAAATCGCACGCGCGGTACGTTTCGCATTATCCGGTCTTGGCATTCCCTCTCTGCTCCAGAGCATCTAAGCCGATCTGGAGGAAATACGAAGTAAGCGTTAGATTTAAAAGTTTTAGCATGGAATCGAACAGCGCTACAAACTATTCGAAAACTCGTCTTCCCTGTCCCAAAAAATGTCTGCTGCATTTCGACAGCCAGTCAAACTTGCCATTGTTGGCACAGGATTGATAGGTCCACGCCATGCCGAAGCTGTGCTTCGCGATGCGAATGCTGAACTCCTCTGCATCGTGGATCCCAACCCAGCGGCCAAAGCCATCGCAGGAAAGTTCGGCTGTGCTTACTACGCGTCTATTCAGGGCATGCTGGCCTCAACACAGCCTGACGGAGCCATAGTATGCACACCAAACAACACCCACGTCGCGTTATCGAAAGAATTGCTTAAAGACGGTGTGCACGTCTTGTGTGAAAAGCCGATATCTGCCGACAGTGAAAGTGGTCAGGAACTTGTATGGAGCCTTCCGCCTTCAAGATGTAATCCTAATTGTACTCAGATCGACTGCGCGGAAGCTAGCGGACGTCACCTCTTGATTGGCCATCACCGCAGGTTCAACCGATATGTTGTGGCGGCGAAAAATGCACTTCCATCGCTGGGCAAGATCGTTGCCGTCAGCGGACTATGGACTATATATAAGCCGCCGGAGTACTTTGAGCCACCCATGGAGTGGCATCGTGCAGAATCCGCGGGCCCAGTCTTGATCAATCTTGTTCACGACGTAGATATCCTGCACTATTGGTTCGGGCCAATTGTTCGGGTCTCTGCCGAGAAGACCATGTCCCAAAGAGGTCATCCTGCGGAAGAAGGAGCTGCCATCATTCTTAGATTTGCCAATGGCATAGTTGGCACATTTCTCTTGTCAGATGCTGTAGTGTCGCCGCACAATTTTGAGTGTGGGACAGGCGAGAACCCCACGATCCCGACAGAGGGTCGAGATGCATACAGGATATTCGGTTCGGAGAGTAGCTTGAGCTTTCCCGATATGATGAAATGGACTTATGCAGGGCAAAGAAGCTGGACTGGACCGCTTGCATGTGAGCACGTTGATGTGCCAGATATGAAGATCCCTTTCGAGCTACAGGTGGAACATTTCGTTGCTGTAATTAAGGGCGAGGAGGCACCAAGCTGTTCGGGTATCGATGGCCTTCGAGCGGTCATGGTGTGTGAAGCTGTCAAGAAGTCCATCGCCGATGGATGTCCGGTAGAAATACCGATCAGGTCATAGACCACTTGATATCAGTCCAAGATTATCCGTGTTTTCGAACGGATATTGCTTAGTTTGATCGGCTGTCAAAGGATGCTCTCTAGGCCGCGACCCGCATGCTGATAGATACAGCCTCTGTCCATCAAGGCATCGGCGAAGAGAATTCTGTCAAGTTCCATCAAAGAATACTGGGTCCAGGTGTGCCGGGTCGTTACTTTGCGGCATGAATGTGCTCGAATTCGCTGGGATATACTGTCCGAGTTCGAGAGCGAGAAAATCAGCCATGTTTGCATCGGGCGCGAAACCCAGATTTTGCATGAACTGTGGCTGGTTATCCACCATCTCAGCACCGTCCAATGAGGCTAGCTCATCGAAGAATGTCTCTAGATCTCTTGATGCTGCCGAATTGCGATGGCGTAATGATGGCCGCCGAGGATCTTCGTCAGCTGACGGCACCCTGAAATCTTGTTGTGGAGCTGGACGATGGCTTGTTGGGATAGTAGGATTCATGTCCGGAAGTAGATCATCGAGAAGAGACGCGCTTCCTCTATGCCGACCGCTACGTGACGAATTTTCCAGCTGGGGGTATGCTGAGTTGAAGGGCACTTGGATTGATTCCGGGGTGGGTATTTGGTAAGTAGATCTATTTTGCGCAGCAACGATAGGTGTAGGCGCCGATCTTTGGATCTGTGTGGTGGACCACGCTCGTATGATATCGGCCTCGTGTCTACGAACAGATGACTTTAGCCTTGGATCCAGCGTACTGAACATCCCATTCGTCTGTACGTGCGCAAGCAGACAAAGGATGATGGGCGGCACGGCCGCGATTCCAAGCTGAGCCACGTATTGTGTGAGTATCTCCGACATGCGTTGGATGTGGGTGGGAGATGTGAGTAGCGATGCCACGCAGGAAAGATAGGTAAGCTGGAGCAATATCGCCGGAGGGTTCAGAGGCGTGGCTTTCAATTCGTCGCCGATGTAGCTAAATTTTGTCGACAATGAAGCCTTCCATGATTCAAGCTGGTGCAAAATATTCTGAGGGGAATGTTGTGGGCCTGTAGTCCCTTCGAGGCAGCACATATTGAGTACTTCCACGATATCCGTGAGCTTGTTGAAGCTACTAAGACCCAGAGCAGGCGTTCTTGAGAAGAGGCTAGAAGAGCTGTTGAGCGGAGGGTTCCAAGGCTGCCATTCTTCAATTCCATCCTCTTCGATAGGCCCTGATCTGATGGCATCAGATTTGAGGAGGTACGGACGCCGTTGCAATTTCAGCGAGAGGAAGCTGTCCAGCATGAAGCAACCGGCCAGAAGGTGCTTCCATCGAGTGGGGAGTGTCTGTGATGACCTTTCGATCACGGTGAGGATCCTTGAAGCGGAGCCCACCAACAGCCAAGCCACCTCTGTGTTTCCTGAGGCGAGGCTCACCACCGCAAGATTCAGGAGAGCTCTAACATGACCGACGGCAAATGAGCCAGACTCCGTCGGGATCAAGCTTCGTGCCACACTATACAGCCTCGCGGGGTCTTGAATTATGTCGCGCTCTTGCTCCTGGGTTGATATTCTCTCTTGATGGGCTGCTACAGCCAGGACGCTCCACAACTCTGCATGATCACCATGGTCGGAAAGATTGCTGTCTGAAAGCACTAGGCCAGCTTCTGGATAAGAGTAGGAAACCCGTAACATGTCGTGTTTTTCACAAATCGGGAGCCATGATTGTGTGTAAGCGAAATAGACTTCCAACAACCGCCATGTACTGCCTGGCAGAGGCGTTGCGCTTACCAGTTGCTGGTGGAATAAAGTTGGAACCTCAGCAGCCTTGTGTGGGTATAGAATGCTTTGCTGGATAGGAAGCGGTATTTGAGGAGAGGCGAAGTGTGCGCTAGGTGAAATCTCGTCATCAGGTGGCAGGACAGAAAGTTGATCTTGTAGCCCGGGCTGCTCTCCTTCGGGCTCGCTATCTTCCTCGTCACTTTGGGGAGATGGGTCATCGCCAGGAACGATTTGCTCCCCAGACAGTAGCTTGTCTACGTCTTTGCAAAACTTGCTTTTCCTCCAGCTCTTATGTAGTCTATTTGATTCTTTCGTATCGCGACCTAAGAAGATTGAAGAGGTCCCTTCTTGCACAAGCTTTTTGTTGAGCACAGCTTCGCAATCTGTGTTCTGGAATAGCCACGTCAAAGCTAGTTCCAGGGTTCGGATATACCCTACGGGCGCGTGAGCTTCAAAATTGCCAGCGTAGGCGAGATACGTGCTGACCTGGCTGAATGCCTCTTTTCTTGGGTGGGGCCGTGTATGTGCACGCCCTACTAGAGGCGGAGCACGTCAAACAGGACGGCTGAGTGCCATCGCACTTTTCCCGAGCTGTTCGACATTGATCGCAAGCACGTGAGACTCGAGATCGTTTTGCAGGTCGCTCGTCGGTGGTAGGGCGTTTGTTTTGGCCTTGAGTCGGCATGGGTGATTATGGGAAATGCTCGAGGGGAGGCCTGGAGGCCGGCAGCCTCTGTTGCGCGGTCCGGAAGCTCGCAGTCTCATCAGTCGATCACGGATTCTGAAAGCGCAACGCGTAGTCCATCTAAGCTGCCTTCGATGTTAACATCTCATCGCAGGCTGGAGTCCTTTGGGAGGGGGTATAACCGTGATGAGTTCCGCCACTCAGCTTCAATTGATAGCCAACAGCAAAAGCCATGCAATGCGTAATGTCGCGATGCTGAAAGGCGCGTCCGAAGGTGGAGACGAGCTCGGGCATACTTCGCGTTTTGCTGCGGGGCCCCAGGCCGAGGATAAACACTCTTCCGGGCAGAGCGACCGCCGCCTGCGGCCCGCCAGGAAGTCGCGCATTCACGAAGCCTCCCAGCGTTTCCCAAGAGTCAAGACCGCCCGTCTCCGTGTCTCGCGTCTTGTCTAGCCTTCTATTGGATCGCACCAGGGCCCGCCATACTGCTCAAGCGTCGCCTGTCTCCCATTACCCCACAGCTGGAGGATCGCACCGCGACAGCAGCAGTCCTTCCCGTCTACCTGCTTGTCCTCTTGTGCATACTCCAGAACCCCAGCGCGCCCCATAGATGCTTCTGAAGTCTGCGAGGCCCGGTAGCCATGGCCTCCGTCGCAGTCGGTACGAAGCGAACGTTCTCCGCAATGGTCGGTGACACGGCCCGGAGCAGCGACTGGGCTTCTCCAGCAAGATCACCCAGCTCTCATGGATTTGAACGGCCGCGCGTAGCCGGTGTTGAAGAAACTTGTAAGCGACAGAATTCTATCGAAACATTGTGCATATCTTGAATGTGCATGGTTCGATGCATCCCGGGGCCGTTTTTCCTAACAAGCACGCAGATTCGATGCAGTCAAGTGCGCGGTCGACACCGCGAACCACACCTACGCCAATCCCTCCTGTGGAGTCCCGACGAAAATTCGACCCGAATGCGTCCATAGTATTGATAGGAATTCGGGGGACTGGGAAGTCTACCTTGGCCATCATGGCTTCGATAGCATGTCGACGCCGCGTAGTAGATGTGGAGAACGTCTTCCAAGAAGCCACGGGATTTTCCACTTCCAAGTATCGCAAGCAGTTCGGAGCTTCGAACCACAACCTTCGGCAAGAGGAGCTCCTGCGCAACATACTGCAATCGCACGCGAAAGGCGCAATCATCGTCTGCAACGGAAGTTCATTGGAGCGCAGTGGGCAGATCCTGCTTCAAGATTTCTCCAGGTCGCATCCTGTCATACATGTGCTAAGAGACATAAAAAGCGTACACGACTATCTCGAAGTGCTTGAGTTCGCCAAGCTCAAGGACATCGTAGCCTTCAGCGCCCCAATGTTCCGTCGGTGCTCGAACTACGAGTTCTACAACATTTCTGAAACGAAAGCGGCATTTTCAGTAGCGCCCGCGAATCAGCCTTCCGTGCCCGCATTCCTCACCCTAAAACGAGCCGAGCGAACCTTTCTGAAGTTCCTCTCGTTAATTGTACCGACACAAAGCGAAGATGAGCCGCTGGAGCAAGGACTACGCCTTCCATCTGCTGCGGAACGAGCTGGTTTTCCGCTTTCTGGAGTGCCAGTGGAATTGAGGAAGTACACTTGCGCGGTGCAAGTTCCCCTGACAGACCTTTGCTCAGAAGATGTCGACATTGAAAATTTGGAATTTGGATCCGACGCATTCGAGATAGTTGTCGAGCCCGAAGACGTAGATCTTTACCATTTTGACAACCCTTCGCGGGCGACTATGATCAGTCGCGCCGTATCTAGAGTCCGAAGAAGCACAGTTGTTCCGATCATATATCATGTAACGCCCGCAGAGGGACCACAACGAACTTCATATATTGAGCATGTCCAACACGGCTTGCGCCTAGGGCCAGAGTTCGCCACCGTCGATCTACGTCTGGATGAGGAGACTGTACTGAATGTCATCGAGACAAGAGGGTCAACAAAAATTATTGGTCATCTCCATGCTTCGACCGATTGGTATGATGCATTCTGGGTCGACAATTACGAAAGAGCAATGCGGTTGGGATGCACCGCTGTGCGATTCACCCGACCTGCTAACTATATGGACGACAACCAGTCAGTCCAGAGCTTCCGAAATAAGATTTACGACAAGAAGGACAGGATTCCACTGATATGTTTCAATACTGGGCGAGCAGGTCGCCGCTCAGCATGTTTCAACCAGGTATTGACCAGTGTAATCCCAGAGTCTGTGCGGGACAGTCCGTCTTTCACTGAACGAGTCCAGCGAAATCCAGAGACTTCATGGCTCTCAGTCCGGGAAGCAACTCACATCCTGTACGCCTCCTTTACCTATGACCCCATGAAGTTCTACATTATGGGGGCCAGCGCCGGCTACAGTCTTTCGCCGGCTATGCACAACGCTGCTTACAAGGCATGCGGCATGCCTCACCATTTTCAGAGGCTCCAAACATCCACCTTGAATACGCTACAAGAGCTGGTCCAAGATGTCAGCTTTGGAGGCACAGCTGTAAGCCAGCCATTCAAGTTAGAGGTCATATCGCTGGTGCATTCGATGAGTCGGCACGCACGGGCGATAGGCGCGGTAAATACGTTGATTCCTGTGCGACACCTCAACAAGGATGGAAGCATCCCAGGAGACCTGGAATTGTTCATGGAACGCAACCAGTCTGGACCAATCAAAGCTTTGTACGGAGACAACACAGATTGGATAGGCATTCGATCTTGCATTCGCAGAGGTTTGTCGCCCGCAAACGCTGTGAGACCGACAACGTGCGGGCTCGTTATCGGCGCTGGAGGCATGGCTCGCGCCGCTGTATACGCCATGCTTCAGATTGGGGTGAAGAACATCATCATCTACAACCGCTCCCATGCAAATGCGGAAAAGCTTGTGGCTCACTACGAGCGTCTTGTTTCTTCGGCGTCAAGTACGGGCCTCCTCCCTACAAGTCATCGCGACGCGCGACCAACGTTCCGCATCCTACGGTCTCTTGATGAGGAATGGCCAACGGACCTGCGCCCTCCCACCATCATCCTGTCCTGCATACCCACACACCCTGTCGGAGAGGCACCTGCACCCAGCTTCACACTCCCGAAGCAGTGGCTGCACAGCCCTTCAGGAGGTGTGGTGATCGAATTAGCCTATCGAACACTCAATACGCCTTTGATGAAGCAGATTCGCGAAGAAACCTCGGGTGCATGGGTATGCATGGACGGACTAGACCTCCTGCCCGAGCAAGGCTTTGCGCAGTTTGAACTTTACACAGGAAAGAGAGCTCCCAGAAGGGTTATGCGCGAAGAGGTTTTGAGGTCATGGACGGATGAGCAGGGACGAGGTGATCCGGCCATGGTGCAGACGAGGCTGGAAGCGATCGACGACCAGGAACCGTGAACAGGCAATGCAAATACGTTCAATCGTTTATTCTGGCAAGACTTTATTGTTGAGCATGAAACGTGATACACAATCGGTGCCTACACAACACGAGCTTGAAGTTTAGTTCTCACCCAACGGTCCCATCCCTGCGCAGATCAGTAGGACAGCGCACGTGCCCTCGAAAAGGCGGAACCAAAGCGACGCGTCTACGGGCACAACAATCAACGAGACAAATTGAGCATTTCACCCACAAGGTTGCGCACGCGATTTTTGACGGTAATGAACCTTTTGGTTCTCAGCATGCACAAATAGCGCGCTAGGACACGGTAATGAGTACGCGCCGGCGGCACCAGCCATCTTTCTCCCCGCTTTCGCCCAAACTTGCGCGCGAGGACGACTTGCAACGCACCCATGAACCGCCCACCATGTCTTACGCGGCGCCAGTTGACGCGCGTAACACAGAAGAGACTGTCTCCTTGACCTCGCTCGAGAGCGGTGCCGACGACTTCGACCGACGCATGATCCAAACAGTTCGCGACGCACGGCGCAACGATGCGCCCACGCCAAAGGTGCACGCCTTCTCCAAGGCGCGCGTACGTCCACGCGTCGGCGTGACTCTGGAGAACCTGGAAAGGCACAACGCTAAGAACAGTGTCACGCTGGGTCCCAATGCGCACGTCAAATTCCAGAGTCCGCCCAGCAGCAGCGGCTCGACCAGGTCCGATCCGGCGCTGAACGTGCCGGCCGGATGGGGGAGGAAGGGGAGGGTCCGGAGAAACTGGATGCGGGACATCACAACCGACGAGAAGCGAGAACCCGTAGCACAGGAGGACACAGTCGATCGCCTTGCGCTCGACCCGGAACACACGCCCCCGCGCGATGCGGACGAACCGCGCCAGTCCATTGAGGACAGTCCCCTCTCACATAAAAGCTCTTTCCACGGGACACCCTCGTCTCAGCGCAGGCGAAGCATAGAAGATTGGAGCTTTGATATGAACGAGGCTTCACTAATCGCGTCTACGCCCTACCGCCCGCGAAATACGATGCTGGAGGACATACGACAGCGAGAGATAGAGTCTCTGAAGGAGCAAGGAGTAGCTACAGACCGGCTGGACAGGATAAGAGAAACTTCGCCCGAAGAAATACGGCGGCCGCGCTCCGCATCGACAAAATCTGCCACAGTCCAGGAGAATGTGACGAAGCAGGAGGAGACTAGCCCGGAGCAAGGCCTGTCGGAATTGCGCCTTCACAAGCGCAATAAATCGTGGCAGGCGGTTGGTAAAGCGCCGGCCATGACGGGAGAGGGCACAGAGGGGTCACCTATAGTCGTTTACAAAAGGAGCTCAGAGACCATTGGCATGGTGGACAGCCGGCTTCTGGCGGGCCAAAGTAACGTGAAGCCACCGGCTGCCCGCAGGGACGACTCACGCGATCTGTTGAGACGATTGGCGCGGGCGTCCAGCACTCCAAGCCCTGGGAGACCCGAATTGTCGCGGCCCCAGGTAGCACCGACAAGCCAAACGGGAAGCTCTTCACGGACCATGGTTACTGAAACATCTCCCTCCGCTCACACTGTAAGGGAAGGTTCTGGTGCGGTCTCGGTCACTGAGCATATCGGATCCGAGAAAGGCCACCTGCTGGCGGAAACGGATCAGGCTCAGAATACCGAAAAGGGCCGGGAGTCTCGAGTGGGCCAACTATCTACGACCGAAATTCAACGAAATACTATCAATGCGACGCCAAAGCCAGCAGAACGCTCAACTTTCAACCCCAAAACACCAGTTGTGACGGGTGCATGGGTGGATACCATGGTAGGCACGCCCGGGCCCTCGACCGTACAAAAACCCTCAGGACCGTCAACATCCTCAACTTCTCCCCAAAAAGGCAGCCCTCGAAAACAATTGCCTCAAGACACACCTGCGGAAGACCAGCAGCCAACTCCAGAAGTGTCAAAGCCGACCCTACCACGATCAGTTCTGGGGGCGCTCGTTGAAGAAGCACGAGCGAGCGGACAACGACGCCCCACAGACTACGGAGATTCAACCATCAACTCATTGGAAGAGCTGATGGCGCCAATAGCCGATACCTCAGAGTCCGGCGAGCCGGACGAAGACACGATCCCATTAGACATTTCGACAAAGCCACGTACCGAAGCCGAGCGACGACGACAGGAAGAACTCTTCCACATCCAGAATATGGACAGAAGACTACGATCAACGCGAACCAGCCTCCGCGATACCAGTCGTGGCATTCGAAGAGTAGAAGAGCAGATCGAGCGTGGCGGCGAGCGCACCACCATTATCTTGGATGGAAACGAAAACGAGAAATCAATAGACCGAGAATACAAGTGTCCGTGTGTTGAAACCGGTGGCCACCAATCCTCCTTCTGGCAAATTTCCAAACTTCTCTTTTACGACAAGAGGTTAAAGCCTAAACGACGCGGCTGGGGCTTGACATGGCTCAGCATCTTCCTACTCACCTTTGTCGCGTGGTTTATTCTAGAAAATATCTGCTGCGAAATATGGGGTCACCCGACATTTGCCTCCTCGTACAAGGGTTACGGCGTCGTGTGGGGCGCGCCGGAGTACCCATACGTATTGCCTACGATGACTTACCGAGCCTTGATAAAACCCTGGTGGCGCCCTTTACACACATTTCTATCATGGATCTGGGGAGCTGTTGGATTTGAGAACGTGGAAGCAGCGCCTAGAGCGAGGACGACGGCAACGGCTACAGGTTTTGCAGAGAGGATCCTGGTTAGGGACCAGGCTCGGGTGGCATTTGAGGAAGAGGCGGCAAGTGTGCTGGGTATGACAGCGGACGAGGTTGTGCGGTAAGAGTCTGGAAGAGCAGCATGGTGAAGCATTTGGCATTATTAGCGCGGCGTTTTGGGTACTTGCATTGGATTGCGCGTTGTAGTCGCGCGGTGGTTCTCAGTCGAAGTACATTTGGGATAAGAAACTTTTGGGTACGTGCCTCTGCATGTCTCTCCATGGAATGTATTCTCTGGCAGGAGCTACCTCACTAGCCTACAATACACAAGCAGCACCTCGCCTGAACAATTCACAACCTATACCAAAGTGAAATGCCTGCTTTGCTTTTCTTGTGCCGCCAACCACATCACCAATTTCAATCACGGTCCACCTGACACCCTGCCCAACGACAACCGCCAAGCTCATCTCCACTTAATCATCACGATCTGCCAAGAATCACCTCATACCACGATGCGCGAAGCCTATGGCAAAAACTGCGATCCCGGTCTCGATCTTCAAGAGCCGCGTAGCACTCGTTCGATCAAGTACGTGTGCCAAGGGATATGGCTACCCATGGCAATCCTCGTGGCGGCGGCTACCCCACACAAAGCCTACCACATGTGGCGCTAGTCGGATCGCTCGGGTAGGATGGACAACCTCAACCCACGTGCTGCTTTGCTTTCTGCTTACAGTATCGTGGTTTGAGATGGGAATTGTGATGGGTCTGGGTCAATTGGAGAGAGGGAAGTCCATGGTCGTGATCCGGGGTTTCGGGAGAAGGAGAATATGAACTTGTAGGATGTAGTCGATCGATGCGTTTGCAAAGTCATGCACACAGCCCGAATGACAGCATCACTTTACAGAATGCTTCGCTTGGATGCTCTGCGCCACTAATGCGGAAGTACTAGCGCTGTTGATGTTGTGGAGAGCAACACTAGCTTGCGGATACATCCAGCCAAACCAGTTTCCTTTTCTACCATTGTCCCACCATGCCCGCTTTGCCGGAACCTCATGTCTTGGCTAGCCGCTTCCTTCACGCTCATAGGATGCCTACTAGGGTTTCGCCATCGCAAAGGACCCGGCGTGCTTGGGGGCACGGGCGTACGACGACATTGTGGCTCGGTCCTCTGGGGACAGTGGCTGCATTTGCATGGCATATTTTCATTGGCTAGGAAAAGAGCTAGATGCTGGCAAACATTGAATTGGACGATGCTAATGCTTTCGACGCCCTCTCTTTATAGCCCGACTTATCCGCTGGGAAACCTAGAAGATTGCGCTGTCCTTCCTCATTCTTCCGTGCACTCCCAAGTCACGATCCTTCTGCTGTCATTATGCAGTTCAGACACTTTCCAATTCTTGCTCTAGCAAGCCTCGTTGCGGCTCAGGATAGCGGCAATGACACCCAATCGCTCAATGCCACCCTCGCTGGCAATGATCAGCTGTCCAACTTGACTAACTTCCTCTCCCAATACCCCTCTCTGCTATCTGCCCTCTCTCAAGCTAGCGAGATCACCATCCTCGCTCCTTCCAACGATGCCTTCACCGAGTTTGCTGATACGGACACCGGCCGAACAATCTCAAACAATTCCGACCTCCTGTCAGCTCTCTTGCAGTACCACGTGCTGAACGGAACATACCAGGCCAGCCAGGTCACCAACCAGAGCGCCTTTATCCACACGCTGTTGACCGATGAGACGTACACCAACGTCACCGACGGGCAAGTTGTCGAAGCCGTCCAAGTCGGCAACGACACCGTCTTCTATTCGGGCCTGCTGCAGAACAGTACCGTGACCACCGCAGTAAGACCCTTTCCAATTAATCCGCTAAAGACACCCCTACTGAACCCACACCCTAGGACCAAAACTTCACCGGCGGCACAGTCCACATCATTGACCGCGTGCTCACCTTGCCCCCCTCGATCCTCGAAGCCGCCCTCGCCCTCAACCTCACCTCCCTCTATGGCGCCGTCAATCTCACCGACTCTGTTGAGGCCGCCTCCAAGCGCAACATCACCGTTTTCGCGCCCAACAACGAGGCCTTCAACAGCATTGGGTCTGCGCTGGCAAATCTCTCGTCAGACGACTTGCAAAGCATCCTCGAGTACCACATTGTAGAGAACGTGTACTACTCGACCGACCTGGCAAATGGGACGACGCTGCAGACGGAAGATGATGATCGCGACTTGACGATTACAACGAACGAGAATGGAACCGTGTTTGTGAATGCCGCAGAGGTGGTGGTACCAAACATTCTCATCGCCAACGGTGTCTTGCACATTATTGACAAGTATGCCTCTCTCTTCTGTTCCCTTGATTCTTTCCCTTCCCTCTAAGCCCACCGCATGGACACACTCATGACTACAAGTACAACATGCTAACCCCACCCCAGCGTCCTCAACCCCTCCAACACAGCCGCCCCCTCCGCCTCCGCGACGGCCGGTGCCCCTGGCTTCACAGGCAGCGCGGTAAGCGAGCAGCCCTTCACTAGCGGTCAGCCGACGCCGACGACCCAGGTGAATCCTACCTCTGAAGGCGCGGGCCCGGCGCAGAGCACTGCCGCGGGTAGCGAGAGCAGTGGACTCGCGGCGCCGCGGTGCACAGGTGGTGTCGAGTATGCGGCGCTTGTTGGTGCTGGAGCGGCTGCGATGGTTTGGGGTTTCTAAGCCAGTTCGAAGGTGAGTTGATAGGAGACCTGGACAATTAATGACTCGATTGGTGTTGAGGTTATGAGTTTATGGGATCTCGGTCGTTGGGCTTATCTGCGGTGCTACATTCTGTGCACATTCATGGAACTCAGTCGTTTGAATGATAATGCTTGCATTTCATCGTGCATGCTACAAACTACGTGATATATTGCGTGGAGTAGGCTACCTTGTTTATATCAATTGCGATGAATGGGAAACGAGATTGTTTTCGCCCGGACAGTTTGCTGTACATGTGCCATTGTGCACTGTTCTTGGGAATCTTTGCGATTTGTACATTTGGTATATATCTCACTCCATCTTTAAGCCAGCAGCAAGCCTGCTATAGCTGCAGCACTCAAAAATGGTGCCATCAACTTCATCGCCGTCGCACCTCCCGTCGAGTCTTCTCCTCCCCCGCTTCCGCTCGACCTATTTGATGCATTTCCGGCGTACTCGACGCCTTGTGCGTCCAGGAGCTCTTGTGCTGAAGGCGGCACCGGACTGCCCTCTTCGATGTCGTCTGTCCGCAAGCACAGCAACTCCACACGCACGTAATCACTCTCCATCCCAGCCGACCTGGGATCGTGCGTCCGGTTAGGCCAGAAGGTAAGGAAATACGGCTGCGGGAAGCGTACAGCGTGGTTGTAGCTTCCGCCTGTGCCGCTGCCCCCGTGAATAGAGTTGTTAACTGCCACCGAGTTATTGGGACACCCTTCCTGTTCAAGCATCGTCTCGTTCAACGCATAGTCCAGCCGCGCCTCTACGTCCATCAGTCACATGCCCGTTTGGAAACCAATGCTCAACAGTGCGGCCCGACTTACCACTCCCGAACAGCCCTCCCCGCCACACGCTGCCTCCACTGACAAGCCCCGCGCATTCCTGCGGCACAGTAGCATTGAATATATCTCCGTCACAGCTCGCGCGGCTAGCAGAGCGCATTGCAGCGTCCAGGTAATGCCGCTTCAGACCCGCGATACACTCCTCGCCCAACATGATCTTGCAGTCGCCCTTATCGTCCACGCTGCGCTCGAGTACGTCCCGGGAGAACGTGAAACCATTTATCCCGTGCGTCCACGTCGTCTGCCAGCACGAGCCAATATCGTACATACTAGAGTTCCCCGTGTTTAGCCACATCGTTGTCATTGCGTCCGCGCCGGGTGTCTTGTAAACCGTGCGCGTGGAAAAGTACCATGTTTCATCAGGGTCGTCGTAGAGCATGGGGCCATTGTTGTTGAGCGCGGGAAGCGCGACCGTCTTGGAGCTGTTGAAGTATACAAAGGGCTCATTTGATCTGCAGATCTGGGCCTGGGCGTTAGCTTTTGCGATGAGCGAGGGGAACAGGATGCCGAGTGCGAGCCTGGTGAGCGTTTTAGGAAACATTGTAGAAGCGGGTGTGAAGCCACACTGTTATGGGTCGAATGTGCACTGCAACGAAGCGACGTGGCTGGTTATGTGCGAGGCGAGCAACAACCCTCGGCGGACGTCACCCCGCTAACGAGATCCATGTCGACTATTTACAGGAGGGATGTTGGAGGCCTCAATTCTTGGACAGGGCTGAGTCGTGCGGCGCCCAATCATGAGCTAGCGAGGTCGAAACGAAACAGATTGATTACACTTCGTGGAATACGCCCCCAACCTGCCCCTTAATGAACCTATAAGCATCGTGTCGGGGCTGGGAACTGCGTCATGTCGGGTAACACAGGATATCCCCAGCTTCAAAGGCTTCATTAAATGAGGTAGAAGAGCGATGAACTACTGGGGGCCACGAGACGCTTATATAGGTGCGTGCGCACAGAGAGAGCCTGTCAGCTGGCTCAGGACTTCCTTCCGCCCACAAATATTCAGTGGAAAGGATAAATTTCGCTTTGGATATGTTTCAAGACTGCCTTACTGTTCTTCCACTCCACTGTAGAGATTCGGTGGCCTCAACTCTTTTCTTTTTTTATTTCCATTTCCTAATCAAAGTACAGATTTAAAGTGGGTTTCGAACCTCATGACCAACTTACTGCGCAGGATTACATACCACAAACTCTCAAATTAATATACACAACAGAGCTCAAACTTTCCATACCAATGATTAAATGTAGTCCTACACACATGGCAATCCAATGTATCTAAACGGGGCCTGCCAATCACAAGCCTCATTCTCGTACAGCATCAGCTATTTATGCTCTCTTACCCGACAAAGAGCACAACACATCTTCTAGTACCCATACGGCCTCCTTGGTCCCCTCTTCCCGCAGGAATCGGCAGTGGAGGTTGATAAGTGAACAGGCCTTGTGTTTCTTGAAGAGCTTTCGTCCCTCTACGATCTTGGAGGCCCTGCTGCTTGAGATTGGAGGCTTCGATTTTTCTTTCTTGCAGAATCGCATCAGGCATTTGAGCCCTTCTGGATCTTTCGCGACACATGACGAGCCATTTTTGTGTGAGCACAATCTCTCGAACCATCCAGTTTCTAATCCAACAGGTCGCATCCACCAGGGCGCAGACATCCCGATGAGTGTTGGAGCCATCACGTAGTTTGGCGTTGCGAGGTACGCGGCCCATGGCCTTTGTATGGGGTGTACTTCCGAGCCAACCACGTCTTGAGCGTCCAGAACAATCCTGAGCATTCCCGCCTTCGAACAGCCTTGCTAACCTAGCTTGTATTTCACAGCCACCAATCGTCGGAGTGGCATTCTTCTATCCGGAGCGCAAACCGCTGAAACGTATATTTCCTCACTGCGCAAGCTCCTAATCGCAGACTTGCAACGGCCATCTCCTTCACAGGTGGTGAGCTATCATGTCCCGCTTCTGCACCACCTCTATGACCAGCATCTCCAAGCCGAGTGCCACAACCTGGACCCCTTCCCCTCCCATATTCGCCACCAATGCTTGCAGACCCTCGTCCCGCAAGCCAAAAGCTACCCATAGAAGACGCGGAGAGACCCCTCTCTTCCCCCATCTGCTCACTCCCACGGATATAAGACTAGGAACGCGAGCATCAATGTAGAGAATACTACAATCCATGTCATATCACGCGGTATTCTCTACACGGTCACCTCACTGAGTGATCCTAAGCCTGTGGCAGGGCTGATAAGATCTCAAATTCACTTACAACATCTTCAAGAAAAGGGTTGGTGTGCCTGAATTGCGTAGAGAGAACAGTACTTGGGTGCCTTGCTAGAAGCCTACACCCAGGGCTTTCCCCTCCCAGGAGTAGCCCTCCCCGCCCTGTCCATCCGCTCCTTCCCCCTCTTCACGGCGCCCGTCCGTCTTAGACTCGCACCCTTTGCCGCAGACCTAGACGCAACTACATCTTCGGCCAGCGCACTCCCCGAAGGCTCGCTCGGACTCCTTTCCACTCCACCACTTCCACCATCCCTACCCTGTCTCGGAGCAGCGACAGCTTCTAACCATGCCTTCATCTTCCCACTCGCACCAAGACCAGCAAGCCCGCCAGCCCCCAACTCCGCAATGCCCTCCCGACTCAAACATCCGCAAATCAGACATGCCATCTCCTCCCCTGCGCACACCCGGTCCAACTCCTCCACCAAGTACCCCGGGACCGCAACGCACCCTACACACTTCAACGCCTGGGGTATATTCTTCCTCGGCGGAATCGGCGGCTGCGGTTTAGTCGGCTGCAGCGCAGCGACAGCGAAGTGCGCTGCTGGCGGGGGGAGGAAGACGAAGCGCTTGCACTCCCTGCAGATGTGGGAGAAGGTGGAGGAGGGTGAGGGGCTGGAAGAGGTTTGGTTGCAGAGGGGGCAGGGCGTGTCATTGTTTTTCTTCTGCGTGGGTGGTGGCGGTACTTGGGAAACGGATGCGGTTGGGGAAATAGGATGGTGAATGGGTACGGGACGCCCGGTTGCGATGAAGGCGTGGGATGTGTCGTGGGAGACGATGTACGGGCTGAAGAGCGGGTTTTGCGACGGGAGTGCGTCACGGCCACAGTGTTTATGCGTGGACGATAGTGTCAGTGAGAAGTTGCGCGGACGGGTAGGTTCTGCATTGGTGGAGGGTGTCGTGCCCGGAAGGTTGTTCTGGAATGCACTCCCGCTGCCCATGGTCTGTCCGGTGGTGTGTTCCTGGGCAAGCTCGCGGCCTGCTGCGCTGTTGTACTGTGACACAGGTGCGAGGCGACTGCCGTTGGGACCGCGCGTGAAGCGTGGGAGGTCCTCGTTGATGTTGTACTCTGGATGTTGTGACGTCCACATCACGGTGGTTTTATGTGTGCGTGGGATTCTGGCTTCAACCAGCGAAGCCGAAGAGGTTTTGCGTGGAGTGAACATGTTTGCAGCCGGTAGGACTTCCCAGGCTCTTCCGATTGTGAGCGATCGTTCAAGATTGGTAAGGATATCGAAGCGGCGAGCGTGTATATGTGGTGAACGAAACCTTGTTTATCTTGGAGCACAATCCACACAATGGAAGTTCGTTTGGCATTGTGGGGCAACACGGTGTACGGTGGGATCGGTCGAGCTGAACAATGCGTGTCGGCCTGCTGCCTGTTCGGTTCTTTGCGGTGCTGTATCCTACACGCATAGTTTGCTTGGTCGGCATCAGATTGAAGCGAAGCGGTTGCAAGCGAGCTGCAGCTCAATCATCACGACTCCCCCTCTTCATCTCAGCATCTAGCTCTTCCACCGTCATGGGTATTTTCCTGCCCTGCCACTTTGCCCTCTCTTGTTCAGCAAAACTCTCCACGCTCAATAAGCCGACCACCAAGAACCCCAGCTCCTCCCTGTCGGTGTCAAACACCTCCCACCACTCCACGTCGGGCATCTTGATTCCCGTCTCTTTCGCCGCTAGATAGATCGCGGCAGTCGCTAAGCTGCTCGGCTGGTGCGTCAAGTACAGCAGCTGAGGACTCAACAGCGCAGTATTCAGGTACGCGACCGCGCGCTTGGCTAGCTCGGCGGCGCGCGGGTGCGAAAAGACGTCGAGGGCTTGCAGGTAGGTTATGCACAGGGTGTAGGGCAGCGAAACGTGGAGGTGGAAGCCGAGGGTCTGCAGGATGCGCTGTTCGGCTTGGAAGAGCAGGGTGCGGCGCGTCTGGTAGGTGCCTTCGGAGACGTAGTAGGTCTCTGGTCTGGGCTGCCCGGGCGGTGGGGAGAGCGAGGGCAGCGTTGAGAGGTAGGCGTATGCGTTTATGACGCTTCGGGGAGACTTGGGCCATGCGGAGAGCTTGGTCGTGGTGTACAGCGAGGCAGCCGAGACTTGCTGTTGCACGTTGCGGTTAGACTCGCATTTTGGGGGGTGACTGACGATGGGAACGCACCTCTGCACCAAGCTCGACCAGACTTCCGCCTTCGCCCCCAGCCCAGAACCTCATGAACACCACCAAAGCCTGCGCAATCACTTCCTGCGGCAGTCGCAATAATATCCCCGCGGCCTGTGTTAGCTGCGCGCCCGCAAAGCGAATCGAGTTCTCCAGGTCTGGAGGAACGCCGTCGAGCTGCGAGCCCGACGTCTCCAGCTGCGCGACCGTCGCGAGCGGATTGGCGAGAGATGACGACTGCATGCTCGTGATTCTCTGCTGGTGTAAATCGAAAGTCGAAAGTCCCGTCCAAGCTCAAGCTTACTGGTACGGTAGTCCGAGGGTTCGGAACGCGCTTGGCAACCCATCGGAAGCCAACCCCAGTTAAACCCAATCAGGATGAACATCCAAGCATAGATGGTCATGCCATAAATATGGAGTCATCCTATCCTGAGAGGCTCAAAGACCGGTACTATGGCGCACTATAGCGAGGCTTAGCGTTACGCGTCGTTCCCCACACATTTGTCATTGTATGATGCACGCCGCTCAATTGAGAATTCGATATGATAACAAAATATCTGGTCGAGAGCTTGTTTCCAACGTATCGTCGTGTTCATGCATGTGCACTCACCGCCTGCATGTGGCCGAATGCGGAGATACAACCAAGTGTCTCCTTGTGCGACGACGGATGCATTGGGTATCATATTGAAACATGAAACGAAATAAGAGTGCGATAAGCTTGGAAGGAACGTATAAAAGCAATGTTGATACTGTCATTATATTATGATCGTGAGTAGAATACAATGCACCTGAGACAAATGCTCGCCGCTCAGCGACATCCAATGTCACCGGTGTGCCCAATGTTCATTGACGTGACTTGGCCGCTGGACGAGGTCGAACATCTGTGCGGCATGCCTCCGTATCCCACTTCTAGGCCCCAAATCGGTATACATATCCCATAATACTTTGTTGGACACAGGCGCCTTCCCTTCAAGCTGCATGTCCTCTTGAGGGTCCATCGATTGCCCAAGTTTACATGAAAGGTCTTCTGGTATCGATGCTAAGAGCTCTCGGAAGAAAGCCCGGAAAACGAAATGAGCCGTGTTCCAGTCGTCTAGCTCTGGTCGAGCCCATTCGTAGTACCGTGGATGAAAACTTGGAATGATCCGTAAATGAACCAGAGAAGGGAATTTTGCGAAGAAGGACGTCCAGTCAATATAGCTGTTCATTCGTGGTGAATCTTTTAGCTGGAGCTCAAGTTGCAGCCGTTTAATTCTGCTGCAGTCCCAGCCGGCCGGAATCTCCATTGTCGTGGCAGGAAAGCTGTCTAGTGAAACTGCGAAATGATTGCATCGGTAGAAACAGTCCTTTGCTTCGTGGTACAGCGTCTTGGATGCGCGCATGGCATCCAGACAAACAATAGACTCGGTAGGCGCATCTCGGTGAGCAACTGGTGGTCTTCCTGTTTGCGCGCGCTTGATGTTCTGTTTTTCTCGGTTTCTCAAAACGGTGGCACGTTTCTTCTGTTCCCGAAGGATACCTTTCGCCTCAAGAAGAGGTAACTGTCGTCCACGGCGAACAACAAGATACGAGAGCACATGGTCTCTGACCTCTCTTGGAAGATCGAAGAAGGCAAAGGGGCTCTTCTGAGCTGTGGAAACAAATGGCACACATGGAGGTTTATTACTTAGGGTGTTAGCATCTTGCAATTATCTTCGCAGGCAATTCACTTACTGCGCCACTCTTTGGATCTTCGCAGGCACTCGCATCGCTGGAACCTCAACTGCGCAACTTCTTTTCCTCTTTTTGCTCTCTTGACCAACAACGGCCGTGTCCAGCACCTCTTCAAACTTGCACTTCCTGTAAGGGTTCCTGCGAAGCGCCATCATTGACATGTAGAACTGTTGGATCTGCCGTAGGTAAGTATATGGTTGTGAGATTGCAAGCCAGGAAAATATAATTTCCGCACCATGACCAAATTGCAATGACAGGCCTCATCCCTCAAAACGCAGTGCACGGATGGCGGTCCCGACACGCTGTGGGTGCGCCGTGGGATACGAACCATCTTGACTCGAGTAGAATGAGCAGTGTTTCGGAAAGTGTAGAGGGTCGGCCACCTCGGTTTCCACTTGGGGCCATGCGTTCTACGCGAACGAAGACAACATCGCAAAAGACCAGCGATAGTCAACCGGCAAACTGGAGCAGGTGGCGATCATCTTATTGTTGCCGATTGTTGTTTGAGTAATTTGTAAAATGCGCCGCCTGCGCAGCCTGTTGCTAAAGTTGGATCAGACGAACAGGCGGAGAGTTTGTTTAGTTGACGGTTTAAGGCTTAGTGTTTCAGAGCCGAAATGTTATCGACTATAACAGGCGTATTAAGACCTCCACCGACCAGCAAGAGGAGTCCCAGAGGCCTGTCACTGCGACTCATGTGCCGCTATAGGAGATTCGTGTAGTAGCTGCTATCAGCTAGCCGTCATCGCCGACCATCTTGGAGTGCCGGAAATACTTCATGCCGACCCAGGCTACGACGACCCATACCCACGCCATGACGGCAGTGCATACGATTAGTGCTGGATAATAGCCTGTGATGGGCAATGTGTCGTCGTCTTCGAGCTCGGGAGGCGCATATGGCGTCTCTCCGACGTCCCAAGCCCAGCTCCATACGCCGAGGCAAGAACCCATGCCTACAACGAAGACGACCCACGTCCCTATAAGAATGATCCAGCCCCACCACTCCGTCTCGCTATAGTCCCATTCTTCTTCTAGTGCCAGATCAGTCGGTGATTGCACGGTACTTAATGACGTGTGCTGAATTGCGCGGATGGGACGACGGTGCTGTACAGCACTTGCAGCTGCTGGCGAGCTGGGCTCACATCCCCTCGCGGTGGTTGAGCGGTAGAAAGGGACAACCTCGTCGTCGTCCGTAGTTGATGCATAGGGTGTTGCTGAACGCGCGATGTCCGATGCTTGCATGCCCGGATTCGGCTCGTCGAGTTCGTAAGACGAGCTTCTCGTGGTCGATGCCGAGACGGACGATGCGGCTGTTTGCTTCCATCCAAGTTCAGATGGCGAGTTGCGCGTCGCATGTTGGTAATTCGCAGGCCGCGGCGTAGTCTCTTCCCCGGGCATCGTCTCCGCCATGTTGGTGTTGCTGAGCTCGGCCAGTGCTGGCGGCGCAGACGGCTGGTGGTCCTCTTGTGGGCCCCGGCGCAGCATGTTCTTTCCCAAGAGCCCTTGTCTGAGCGACCCCTTCCTCTTCCTTCCCGCGGGTCGTAGCGCCTCCTCAATCCTGGAGCCACGTGTGGTGGCTTCTTTGCCGCCAACATCGTCGTGTTGCCGAGTCAGGTTTGACGATCCATCCTCTTTCGCTGGAATTTCTCCAAATGGGACATCCTCCAGAACTGCGTCCGATCTCCTGCGCTTGAATGCATCCGCATTTTCGCCATGGGTCTTTGTCGTCTCTTTCCCAAACGCCCGCGCTGCATCCGATGGGCTGTCCTGAGGCAGACTCGTCACATCCCCCATCTGTCTTGACCGACCGATCGGCCGAGGCATGCCTGTATATAGAGGGTTCCGTTAGTAAGAGCTGGACAAGTTGCCCAGGGATGTACCAGCACACGAGACGCCAGCCGTATGCCAAGGCGACGTGTACCAGGATAGCCGACACACATGAGACACGGCGCCCTTTACACACGATCTTGACAGGTTGTCCGCGAGACGCACAAGCTGTCAGAAATTGCACTCCATGCCTGCGCTGCCTCAGGATAATAGCGACGCGTGGTGGTGAGCTGCTGGGGACGGTTGTGGCGGCGGCTCTGCATTGCGCACCAAGGCCGACAGCGGTGATCCCGGCGCGTCTTCGTAGACGTCCATGCAGCTTCTAGATGCGGACTCAACCCCCTCCTCCGCTCTCACCAGCAGGAACCAGCGCGCAACACCTCACGCAATGTGTACCAGTGACTGATCTTGCATATCGTTCTTTTTGGCTTCATTGACAGCGACATGGCGACCAATACGCCGCTTCCCGTCCCGCCGCGGACCCCCACGCCGCCTCCTGAAGACGAGAATCCCCCCATGGGGCCTGGCTTGGAGGATCAACTATCCCCGACAAAGCTGGGCTTCAATATGGACGCACTGTCGCCTATGTCTGCCACGTTCCCGTCTGAGAGATACGGAACTCTTGCGCCGAGCGACTCGCTCTCACAAAAGGCCTCTCCGAGCACCATCTACAGCCCCATGAGCGCATCGTTCCCGTACACGCCCGCCAGCGCGATGAGCGGCGCGAGTGACGCAGAGGCACCCTCATTAAGCAGCGCTGGAGACGCGCGCAACCCCTTCAACTTCCAACCGGTCACCTACCAGCCCAACAAGCCTGCAGGTGTCAAGAATGTGCGTGTGTCAGACTATTTGGAGAACCTTCACTAAGAAACATAGGATATTGGCCGACGTCGCGGACACAAGTACAAGCACAGCAGCGTCTCCCACCAGATCTTTCTCGAACCTCCCCCGCGAGCCCCGCTCCAGCTCCCCGCGTCCCTTCCCGTGCCGACTTTCAAAGAATACCGCGCGAGCATGTCTAAGGAGCAGAGGCTCAGACTGGCATGGTGCTTCTGCCACCTGTGTGTGGCTGGCTTGGTCGGATGGGGCGCTCACGAATCGCTGGCACTCACTGTCCTCTCTCGCCTGATCTTCTACGATGCGCTTGGAGCTTTCCTCTGTGTGGCTGTGGACATTGGCTCCAATTTCGAAGTTTGGAAGCGTTCCACGATTCGGCACCCATTCGGCTTTGAGCGCTCTGAAGTTATTGCGGGACTCGGCATGTCGGTGGGACTGCTGTTCATGGGCTTGGATCTTATCTCGCACGGCTTGACCCACGCATTGGAAGACAAAGGCGGCCACACCCCACACCACGCGCACACACACGAGCGCGTCTCACCCGGCAGCATCGATCTTGCGGCTCTGAGTGGCATCATATGCACGGTCGTCTCGGCCACGTTGCTCAAGAACCACGCCCGCATTGGCAAGGTTATGCGGCTCGGAGCCCTCGCTAACCTGCCCTCAGTGTTGAGCAACCCATCGCACTTTCTCACATTGTCATGCTCGGCTCTCCTGCTCATTCTGCCGCTGCTGAGTATCCAGATGTATGTCTGGCTGGACCGCACGCTCTCGTTTTCTGTTGCGCTCGCCATGGTAGCACTGGGGTGGGTGCAAGGGTGGTCGCTGGGCAAGATGCTCATGATGTCTTACTCTGGGCCAGGGATTCCAGCTGTCATGTACGACATCGAGACGGACCCGGCCGTCAGCGCTGTGGAGGAGGCCAAGTTCTGGCAGGTGCACTATGGACTGTGCCAGGCGAATCTGCGGCTGCGCGTGCGCAATCTGGAGGAGATTGGTCGACTGCGCGACCGGGTTGCCAGCATGGTTCGGAATCGGCTGGGCGGGGGCTACGGAGGCGGCGGCGGGCAGAAGTGGGAGGTCTCTACGCAAATCACGCTGGAGAAGGACTGAGCACGAGTTTGCCATGCTGGCGACTGCATAGATCAGCTAGATGTTACAGATGCGGTGGCGACCTGTCCAGCTTCGACCCGGCGTCATGGTGCCCCGGCAGTGCGCACTGAGTGACAGTACCAAGGACTTGCTACCGTGCGCAACGCTGCATGTGGCCTCCGCACGCACAGTTTGCTTGCGGCGACGATATCATCTGGCTGCGCGCTGAGACAGCTGGCAGCCCTCTTCGAGCGGGCGCCTGACCGTCCCGGGCGGCGTGCACTAGCGACACCCTGACCCTGACGGGCCGTAGCATTGATCAACAGGCACTCCGGGCTGGGCGCTCACCGCCCAACGCATTTCTGCGAGTTTCTGGGGTGCCAGGAGCGACTTGACTCGCTGAGGCGCGCTGGCCTCCATGTCGTCTGGCTGCAGGCGCTTGCTGTCTTTCCCACCGCATGTTGGCCTGCTCCACTCACACGCTCGCTTGCTGCACCCCGACGCACCACTGCCTGAGTGTCTGCCAGCAACGGATCTGTGAGGCTGGCACCACTCGGGCGTCCTGTATATACCCACCCTGCCCCAGGCCATGGCCCGGGACCGGGCTGCGCGTGACTCCAGATATCTTTACGAAGAGAATTCGGACGACCAGCGCGAGCGCGAGCGTGAAGAGCGCAGATACCGCCGCCGACACCGCCACCGCGACGATTTCGACTACGACTACGAGGACCACAAGCAGCGACGGGAGCGCCGAAAAGCGGAGGAGGCACGCCGCCAGGCCGAGCTCGACATCGATGAATTGAGGGCACGCCGCGAGTCGTACTACAGCAGGCCCGAGGCCGAGCGCCGTCACTCGCAGCGCATGGCACAGGATATCCGCGTGGATCGGGAAAAGGATAGACCAAGGAGCAGCAAGAAGGAGGTCAGACGCGACGGAACAGTGCGCCGCAAGAAGAGGCGGGATGTAGTCGATGATGTCCGGGACGACGAATACGTGTATGGCCGGCCGAGGTCACGGGCGGTCGTGGAAGAGGTCACCGTGAGGCGATCGTCGGCGATCCCCAGGAGAAGCGAGGAGGGGGGCTCGTCAAGCCGGACAGAACACACACCCCTCTCCGGGTCAAGATCCGCCTCGCTGCGCAAAGAACAGGAGCCCAAGTTGAGCAGGAGTATGTCGGCGCGGGATCCCCGAGTGCACATGATAAGACCGTCCGCACGACGCACCAGCAGCACCAAGTTGCCCGCCGCGACCGCCGCCCCGCTCTCGAGGTCACAGACTGTCTCCGCAAAAGACACCCGGCGGAGCAGTGGCCTGCTTGCTACGTTCTTTAGAGCTCCGTCCCGGCCACAGACCGCCGGGCTTCACAAAGAGGTCACCAGGTTCGTACCAGTATATGCACACGGCGGCTTCAGCTAACAGAACAGGGTGGAATGCATCATCTGCATGGACGACGAGTTGCCTGCTACCAAGACTGCGAAGCTTGCATGCGGCCATCGCATGTGTCACTCATGCCTCAAGCGCCAGTTCACCCTTTCGGTCTCCGATCCCAAGCACATGCCTCCAACTTGCTGCAATGCAGAGCATATACCGCTTCAGAAGGTCGAGCGATTGTTCGATGACAAGTTCAAACGGCTGTGGAACAAGAAGTACGAGGAGTACACTACTGCCAATCGATTGTACTGTCCAACACGGGGTTGCGGCGAATGGATCAAGCCTTCCAAGATCCGCATGGATTTAACCTACGGCAGAAAATACGCACGCTGTGGCCGTTGTAGTACTAGAGTCTGTGTGCTGTGCAGCGGCAAATTTCACACGAGGCGCGAATGTCCGAGAGATGAAGAAACAAACCGACTGGTTGAGATGGCCAAGGAGAAGGGCTGGCAGCGTTGTTACAACTGCAGGGCCGTGGTTGAGTTAAAGGAAGGGTGCAACCACATGACCTGGTGAGTTGACTCCGTCCGCTTTTAATACATCAGTACTAACTTTCATAGCCGCTGCACAGCTCAATTCTGTATGGTGTGTGCAGCCCCGTGGAAGACCTGCAACTGTCCATGGTTCAATTACGCCCATCTCGATGAAGACGATCGCCTAAACGACATGCGTGTGCCATACCACGATGTGGTCGTGGTCGAGGAGGAAATGCCGTCTCAGCCCGACCCTGTACCCCTCCGCCGTGCCAGCACACGATCACGCCGCAGGCCAGAACGCGAACGCGATCTCGACCGAGCTGATGACATTCTTGCTGCTCATCTTCAGGCGCAACTTCGGATGGACGGGCCTCCGACAGCATCAGAACTCCATCGTGCCGACCCTGTCGTGGGCGTCTACGGCCTGGGGAACTCTGGCGGCCACCACATGAACGATTCGTACGCTGTACGACCACTCGCTACAGCGGCTGCTCGCACAGCTACCCGCTCCGCAGCGCCACGGTCCTTTTTCGGCAGTCGCCGTGTCGTACGCGAAACACATCGAGAAGCGCCGCGGCCACAAACTGTACACACTGTCCAAACTGTCAGGGCATCGGCCATGGCTGGATTATCGCGAGACGGATCGAAGCGTGGAGCTAATAGAGTCGGAACCTGGCTCAGCCACGTCTCAGTAGACGAAGAAGCGATTCACACAGCACCTAGGGACGTAGAAGTCGACGATTGGAGGGTCGATGGATCTGTTCGCGGGATCGACTGATTAAAAATACGTTAACCCACTCATACACATGTCAGGATCTACGGTTATCTATCTCAGCTCATATAGCTTGGAGATAGAGTTGGAAGCGCAGCGTCACGCACATTTGGGCATATTCTGATAGATTGTTTAGCATGCATGATACCCTTAGCGGCCTGGGGCAGCTCCAATGCAATACCGGTAATATTGACTACGCGAGACGGTTCAGCGCGAAACGTGTAATGGCATAGCGTGCCGTGAGCTCTGATGCGTGGACGATCACATGGTGATGTCATTCACAGCTCACTTGCCAATAGCTCCAACATGGCTCCAGAGCTACAGTCACTATCACCTCGACCTACGCCAACATCAAAGCTCCCTACCTACCTTTGAATCACACACAAACACACGAACTCAAATATGTCTTTCTTCCGTTCCTCGATTGTGCGAGCATCCACCCTCAGGCCGACTGCATCACTCGCCCCTCGTGCCCAATTCCACACTACGCGCGTTCTCTGCGCAGGCGACTACGGCTCCGGCGACGGCAACCCCAACGCTGAGAACCCGCAGCAGCAAGGCAAGCGCGGACGCGAGGAGCTCGAGCATCCTGGCCCAGCGCCGCCCAAGGCAGGCCAGGGCAACAAGACGTCGCCCAACTCGGACTCGTTCAACACCTCATCCACAGGCAACTCTACGCAGTCGGGAGGCGGATCATCCAGCGCTGAGAAGACTAGCACGAGCGGCAACGGCATGAAGGCAGAGGCGACCGACAAGGACGTCAAGGGGGTTAAAGGTGCGCAGCCCAAGATCCACAACGAGGGTGCTCCCAAGGAGGAGTCGGAGGATGTGAAGAAGCATAACCGGGAGATGGACCAGAGGGCTGAGAAGGCGCATGAGCGCTCGGATTAGCTGGTGACGAGTGAGGATCGTGCTGATGCGTTGCAGGATGAGGAGCCATCATCTATGGTCAGACGGTGACCCTGGACGGTGTATGGAGGTGGGAACTGTATGATAGCTATGACGAGCATTTAGAGTCTTAGTTAAATGGCATTGCATCTCCGATTCGGCCCCAAACAAGATGACTTACATCCAATCCTCACGCATTTTGCTTGCGGTTTATCCAATTGTGAAATCATGGGACGTGCTGCACATTTTGGTTCTCGCCCCGGCTCGCGTGCTTTGTTTTGTGACGTCAGGGGGCGTAGCGCGTCGTGCCATCCCCGCAAAACGCAATTGCGATGGGAATTTCGAAATGCCACCATTGACACATGTCAAAACGCCATGCTCTCGCCACCATTCCCGAGCAGGTCAATCAATCACAGTGACACGCCCACAAATAGCCTGGGCCAGTAGACTAGAATCGTGGACGCTGGCAGCCGCAGCGACGTAATTGCGGCGACCTTCACGGGCGGCACACCGCAAAGCTCGGTCCGCTGGTTGGTTGCGGGGCGGCAGGCGCGACCTTGCTTGCCCTTTTCCCAAACGTGCATACTACGTCACTGCATATGCTGCTCAGAGCTTTGTCTCGTCCCCCTCATAAGCCGCCTGCGCTCTGCATTCCTCTCCTCACCCCCTCCACCTCGCCCCTGCCAATCTATATTGATTAGCTTGCTCACCCGACCTCATCTACAGAGTCTAGACTATGAGGTTTTCGACTGTAATCGCCCTTGTGGTGGCTCTTGCCGCCCAGGCCACGGCCAACAGCTGGTTCGGCAAATCTGGTGCGTACTGTAGGAACACCTGTCTTTTTGCAAACTCCCTCGCGCGCTACACATTGAATATTGGGCTCGTAGCTGACTCGGACAGTGTATAACAAGTGGCATGAGACTGAGCTCGAGCGATGGTTGTCTGACCACAACATCCCCTACCCCAAGCCCTCGGACCGCAAGGATCTTGAAAACCTGGTCAAGGACAACTGGAACGACAAAGTCGTGACGCCCTACAATAGCTGGGACACCCAGACCCTGACCCACTACCTCACCTCCAAGGGCCAGCAGGCGAAGAAGGGCACCGAGAAGGACGCGAAGTCGCTCGCTGAGCAGGTCAAGGTCTACTGGACTGAAACCGAGGAGTCCGCTAACCAGGCCTATGGCTCTGTCAAGGACTGGATTTTCGACTCGTATGTCAGCTCATTAAACCCATGACGCATTCCACTGACATCATACAGCTGGACCGACTCGCAATTGAAGGCCTTCGCTGACAAGCACGGAATTCCTGTTCCCCAGCCCCGCCAGCGCGACTCCCTTCTCAAGGCTGTCCGCGAGAACTACCAGACTACCGCCAACAAGCTCTCCGAATCCGTCAACTATCCCGGTGACTGGCTCTACGAGTCTTGGTCCGACTCTGATCTGAAGGCCTGGTTCGATGCGCGCGGCTACCCTGTTCCCCAGCCATCCACCCGCGATGGCCTCATTGCCAATATTCGCCGTCAGTCTCGCGTTGCGTCTCTAAACCTCCAGGGTGCCTATGCCCAGGTTTCTTCCTCCGCTGCGGCTGCTCAACAGAGCCTCAGCGACGCTCTTCTCGACTCGTGGTCGGACAGCCAGATCAAGGAGTGGGCCGACAAGAACGGCATCAAGGTTCCCCAGGGCTCCAAGCGCAACGAGCTCCTCGCCCTTGCCCGCAAGCACCGTGCCCGTCTCTATGGCGACAGTGCCTCCGCTACCGTTGAGAGCGCTTACGGTGCTGCTACCTCCAACGTTGGCAGCCAGTACGCTGCCGCTACTGGTGGCTTCGCCGGATACACCAACTGGATCAAGGCCCAGATCGGTCTCGCCACTGATGCTGCTGTTGCCTCTGCCAGCAGCGCCTCCAATGTCGCTGGTAGCAGCGCTTCCAGCCTTTCTGGCTCTGCCTCCAAGTCTGCTGCCTCCGCTTCGTCCTCCGCCTCCAAGTCCGCCGCGTCCGCTTCCTCTTTGGCGTCCAAGTCCAGCGCGTCTGCCTCCAAGTCTGTCAATAGCGCGTACACCGAGGCTGCCGCCAGCGCTGCCTCGGCCACTGACCGCGTCAAGAACGAGTTGTAAGCTACTCCCCACAACTCTAGGTAGAGATTGGATGAGATGAGTCTCTCTCTGTTCAGGCCTTGATAATCAACGCTCGGACAATTACGTCACACATACTTCACGACCTAACGACACAATCACCAAAACGAACGACCCATGACGCAAGATTGAAGCGGAAGGAAGGAAAGGAAAGGACTTGTAACTTTAGCTCTAGCTGTACGAATGAGGATATTCCCCTGCGAAAGATGGATGGACTTGGGTTTTCTATTCGCTCCGAGTGAGAGGCCTGGTTGCACTCTCGGCGCATGCAAACGTAGCTATATAGTCGACTCGGTATAGGAGTTGTCTAGGATGGATGCAATGAAATGGAATGGTAATCTTTTTATTTTCGCTTGTCCTGCTTCCATGCACGACTGTTTCTATGATCATTTCTGTGTGTGTTTCTTTGTCCTGCTCCTCACGTTCTCGTGTCTTATGTTCTCATCATCATACACCAAACATGCATCCAACCCTGCAGTACTTTTCTCCTACGCCTCTTTCCGGGGCTTAATACTTCTTGACGCAAATTCGATAGCCGCTTCATATCCATAGACGCCTAGTCCACATATCACAGCCTCCGCTTTGTCGGAGAGATAGCTGTGGTGCCGGAAGGGCTCACGCTTGTGCACGTTGGAGATGTGGACCTCGACGAAGGGAATGTCGACACCCAACAACGCATCCCGCAACGCAACCGACGTATGTGTGAGCGCTCCAGGGTTTATCACCACGGCGTCCACCTTGCCGCGGGCTTCGTGTATCCTATCTATCAAGACACCTTCATGGTTTGACTGCAGGTGGGCGAAGGAGATTTTTTTCCGGGCGCACTGGGACTCGGCGGCGGAGAGGACGTCGGAGAGAGTGGTGGAGCCGTAGGTTGCGGGTTCGCGGGTGCCGAGGAGGTTGAGATTGGGGCCATTGAGGAGGAGGATAGATTGGGCCATTTTGGGCTTCGGGGAAGGATGGGCGAGATTTCAAAGTTTTTTGTTGGAGTGGGGTTGGGCTTGAATTTGATCTTTTTCAATTGGTGATTTGGAAGTAGTATGGCCTTCTAGGAATATTGAAAGTGGGCTTTGACATGGAACACCAGCTTCTCCACGTTTTGATGGATGGTGGTGTTGCGGAATGCGGTTCCGAAGCGGAATACTGGGTAAACGCTCATCCGCGCGCAGCACTTCCTGCAGTAGCCACACTTCTCCGCGCCCAAATCAATCCACACGTCATATTGCGGATCTCGCAGCTTCTTTGAAGCTCCCGCGGCTTGTTGCGGCGTCAGTCAGTATCAGACCCCACTGCGCTACTTATCAGCACTGAGTGGGGAACCACCAACATCTTTCTCTGTGGTCGTTCCGTCCACAATGACACCAAAACATGGCCGACACGGACATTTCGCGCGCTGACCTCGATGAAATCTACGCCTTCGCCATCCAGCTCGGCAAAGATGCAGGACGCATGCTCATGGCCGCAGCCCACGCCCGGATGGGCGACGCGGGCTCCTCATCCCAAAAAGCACACACGCAGAAGATGAACGCAGTGGATCTCGTCACAGAAACCGACGAGGAAGTAGAGGCCTATATCAAGTCGCAAATCACCGCGCGGTACCCTGCGCACAAGTTCGTCGGCGAGGAAAGCTACTCCAAGGGCAGCAGTAGGGACTACCTCATCGACGACGCGCCGACGTGGTGCGTCGACCCGCTCGACGGCACAGTCAATTACATACACTTGTTTCCGATGTTCTGCGTCTCCATCGCGTTTATCCACAGGAGCAAGCCCTTGATAGGCGTCATCTACGCGCCCTTCCTCAACCAGTTCTTCGCTGCGTGCCAAGGACGCGGTGCCTGGCTCAACGAGTCGCAGGCGCTGCCGCTAGTGCGGAATCCTGTGCCTCCTATGCCGGAGAAGGCGCCTGCGGGGTGTGTGTTTAGCTGTGAGTGGGGGAAGGACAGGAGGGATATCCCGGACGGAAATATGCACAGGAAGGTGGAGAGTTTTGTGAACATGGCGGCGGAGCTTGGGGGCCGGCAGGGGAGGGGCGGCATGGTGCATGGGGTGCGGAGTTTGGGGAGTGCGACGCTGGATTTGGCGTATGTTGCTATGGGGAGTTTTGATATCTGGTGGGAGGGGGGGTGTTGGGAGTGGTAAGTTGTCAAGAGATGATGATCAAGATTCGACAGAGGCTAACCTATGTGTGTAGGGATGTTGCCGCGGGCATTGCGATACTCCTTGAGGCGGGAGGACTGGTGACGACTGCAAATCCGCCGCATCCGAATGAAGACACCGCGCCCATCGAAGAAGTGAGCTTAGGAAGCCGCCTGTACCTCGCAATCCGGCCAGCCGGTGATTCGCCCACAGAAACAGGACGACAAAGCCAGGAGAGGACGGTCAGGGAAGTCTGGAAGCGCGTCCGGAATATAGATTACAACCGGCCGGGCGCATAGCATAATCTACACTTCTATTGCCTAAGCAACGCATATGCAATGCGGTATGAACGCTCTCGTCAACCAACTGAATATATACAAGTGAATTCTATTCCCAATGAGGGGGCTTCACAGCCTCGCCTCACTCAACTTCCCCGCGATAACCTCCATCACCTTCTGCACCGGCATCTCCCCTACTTCCCTCCCCGTCCAGTACTTGTCCTGCTCCAGCCCCTGATATATCATCGCCTCGGTCCCGAGCACAACCTTCCACCCCTCCCTCTGACTAATCTCCGCAATTTCCGTCCACGGCGACGGATGATAGCACATCTCGAGAATCGCGCCCTTGTGCTCCTTGTGCAAAAAGCATTCTAGGACTGCCCGCGCTTCCTTCTCGGCGGCCGTCTTGGGTGTGAAGTTCGGCACGCACGCGACGATGGCGCCGACGCCTTCGAGGGCGGATGCTTGTGCGACGGTGGACACATCGATTAGGTCATCCCCGTACCCGCGCGCTGTGCATTCCTCGATGACGGCGCGGACCTCCTCCCTATCCCTGTTCACCAGATAGACTTTGCTCGCCTTCATCCACGTCCTGAGCGCATACACCGCGCTGCGGGCCGCACCTCCGCCGCCGACTACCAGCGCAGGTCTGCCGTGGAAGGACGCGTCAGGGTCAGAGACGTTGGCGTAGAAGGAATCCCGGATGCCGACGACGTCGGTGTTTGTGCCGCAGAACAAGCGTTTCCCCGAGGCGTCTTGCCGGAGGAAGAGGGTGTTTACGGCGCCGACGGCGCGCGCTTCGGGGGTGAGGACGTCGAGGTGCGGGAGGATGGCGACTTTGTGGGGCATGGTTACTGCGGCGCCTGGGATGAAAGATTAGCTGGTGCACCTGGGATTCGGGGATGAGAGCATGGAGAGGTTATGTTCTCAAGAAACATCCCTGGAATGCATTGGCTGCATAAAGGTCTACGATGTGCTTGTGAAGGTCTGGGATACTTGATCGATCCAGGCAGAGGGATGGAAGTAACGCACCATAGAATCTGGGATCTTCACGTAACCGCAGGAAGAGATCCATGTCTGTGGAGTCGAGGGGGAATTGCGACCATGGTAGGCCAATGCCATCATATATTGTTTGGTGGAGGAGAGGAGACAGGGAGTGTGCGATGGGGTGCCCGAAGAGGTAACCGTGGCGCTCCACGGTATCTAACCGCGAGTCTTTGATCTCTTGCTGCTGTGCTGCCATTATGGATGATATATGATGTGACGAAAACAGAAAGATGTGGCTGTATTGCGTGCGAGTCTGGGGGATCTGGGGAAAGATGGGCACGGGCGTCAGCGTCCAAGATCTATGCAATCCTGTGGTATATGTGCTCGATTCAATTGGCTCCCCCGGGCGTTTTGTACAAGAATCATGCACCGCGCGTATGGCAAAGCGTAACCCCGCGGATTTTCGCCGCGCTGAACGTTCATCCAAGGCGCGAGTCATGACAACCCCACGAACGCCTCTTCCGACGCATCCCACGATTAGCCCGCCGAAGACGGCCGCCTCACCCAATCACCACCACGCTACTGGCAAAGCTTTCATCCGGCCCCGGTCGCGACCGTTCACCCTTCCCTGATCCGACGCCAAACAGAGAAGTCTGATCGCCTTCCAAGCGTTTGCACCGGCGTGTCCCCGCCAGTAGAGCCATGGCGAATGGCAAGACTTTTTCCAGACGACGCGGCGCGCTGGATGAGCAATTGTCCTTGCTCGTGCGCTCGCCTCCAACCCCGTGGAGGCAGCTTCTCCGCGTGTTAAACTGGGGTCTGGATCTGGGGTAAGATTGTGTATATGAAGCAGCCCTGCACCCTTGACTTCATCTTTCCATCGACCAGACTCTCGGATCCTGTCTCATCGCCTCGCCTCCCATTCCATCTCATCTCCCTGTTTCTCAACCGTGTGATAAGAGTCGGGCACTACTCGGAAAAGTTTTTTCATCATGGGCATCCTCGCCTTCAAGGAGGACAGGCCGACGCCTAAGGCCGTCTACAACTGGCGCGTCTACATGGCCGCATCTGTCGCGTCGTGGGCATCATGCATGATTGGCTACGACTCTGCGTTCATCGGCACGACACTTGCGTTGCCGTCCTTTGTGAAGGAGTTCTCGTTCAACAAGATGGACCCTGACGAATTAGCCCTCACAAAGGCCAATATCGTGTCGGTCTACCAGGCTGGTGCCTTCTTCGGATCCTTCGGCGCATATGCTTCCAGTTACTACCTAGGCAGGAGAAAATCGCTCCTGATCTGGTGCACAGTCTTCATCCTCGGTGCTGGTCTCATGCTCGGCGCGAACGCAGAGCGCGGTCTCGGTCTTATCATCGGTGGACGCGTGCTTGCTGGTCTGGGTGTCGGCGGCGCATCGAACATGGTTCCCATCTACATTTCTGAGCTTTCGCCGCCTGCGGTACGAGGAAGACTCGTCGGCATTTACGAACTTGGCTGGCAGATCGGTGGGCTCGTAGGCTTCTGGATCAACTACGGGCTGCAAGAGACAATGGAGCCATCGCACAAGCAATGGATCATTCCCTTCGCGGTGCAGCTCATTCCCGCCGGCTGCCTTCTCATCGGCGCCATCTGGATGAAGGAGTCTCCCCGCTGGCTCCTGAGCAAAGGCAAGCGCGACCTCGCCTTGAAGAACTTGTGCTGGATCCGCAACCTGCCTGCCGACGACCTGTATATTGTCGAGGAAGTCGCCGCCATCGATGCGCAGATCGAGCACGACCGCATCCACGTGGGCGCAGGTTTCTGGAAGCCTTTCGCTGCGCTCAAGCAGCGCAAGGTCCAGTGGCGCTTCTTCCTAGGCAGCATGCTCTTTCTGTGGCAGAACGGCTCCGGCATCAACGCTATTGTAAGTCAATCCATCGCCCAGCTCACCCTCGACCTGCGCTAATTCCCCGCAGAACTACTACTCCCCCACCGTCTTCAAGTCCATCGGCGTCACCGGCACGAGCACCGGCTTCCTCACTACCGGCATCTTCGGCGTGGTCAAGACCGTCGTGACCGTGATCTGGCTCCTCTGGCTCATCGACCGTCTCGGCCGCACCAAGCTCCTCATGATCGGCGCAGCCGGCGGCTCCGTCTGCATGTGGATCATCGGCGCATACATCTGCGTCAGGGGTGCCGACACCAAGAACCCCGCCGCACAGCTGTCAGGCGGCGGCATCGCCGCCATGTTCTTCTTCTACCTGTGGACCGCTTTCTACACCCCCTCGTGGAACGGCACACCCTGGGTCATCAACTCCGAGATGTTCTCCCAGAACACGCGATCCCTCGGCCAGGCGTCCGCCGCAGCCAGCAACTGGTTCTGGAACTTCATCATCTCGCGGTTCACCCCGCAGATGTTCAACAAGATGGGCTATGGCGTGTACTTCTTCTTTGCCTCGCTCATGATCTTGTCTATTCCGTTTGTGTACTTTTTTATCCCTGAGACCAAGGGTATTCCGCTCGAGCATATGGACGAGCTGTTTGAAATCAAGGGCACGCGCAAGGCGCATGGAATCATGATGGAGAGGCTGCAGCGCGAGGGCGAAGAGTTTAGACATGATGCTGAGGGTGCGGGATTGACGGTCGAGAAAACGAAGAATGAGCAAGTTGAGAGCGTTTAGATGGATTATGGTGAAAGGTAGAGTGCTGTAAGAAGTTAGATCACGTTCGAATCACATAAATTCAACGATCTTCATGTTCCGTCATGTGTATGGCTGTTTTGTCACTGTGATCTCTTGGTGCCGCTGTAAAAGTTCCACGAGCCAAGAAGACCACAGAGACTTGTCCATTGGTGCAAGGGGCAAAGCACGTATATTTCCAGCTAGTATTTCTGCTCCGTAGACGAGTGGCACCTGTCGAATGGGAGGGGAAGGGAATGGGAAGACGCGGCGATCGGTCCTCGATGGCGAGCCACGTGATCGTTTCTGCGGCGGAACCTTGAGCTCCTGTGTCAAGGACGTTGTAATCTATTGACGATACGTGTGCATGAAATAGTGATCAGTATACCGGCGGTAGTTCTAGGTATGTTGATAGTAACATTGGAGCAATGAGGTAGTACAGACAGACCATCAGAACGGGAACTTGCCAGAAACCTAGAAAGAACGACTTTTACATGGCAAGCGTTAGTGTGACGACCAACTTTCAAATCAGTAAAAGACAGCTTCCCTCAAGTGCGCTCACCATTCATCGCTTGGGTAAGATCGTCTTGCGCTGACAATCGTTCAACCATGTTTTATAGATTGTGGTTCTATGTATGTCGCGTCCACAGATTTCTCCCAAGGATAGCACATCTACAATTACTACCGGATGTAACGAGCGCCCTGTGTCCTCCTTCCCATTTTGAATTGAGATATACAAAAGCCGCCCCCGAAGGGGCTTACCGTGCCGCATTCCAGACCCTTGTCTTGCGGTTTCTCTTTCACGACACCATCCAACAGACAAGAATCTTTAATGAAACCATTTCAAATGTTTCAGTGTGCACACATCGAAACCCGCTCAGCCACATTGAACCATGGCAGCAGATGGTGGGATCAGACTTACGTCAGACATACGACTACTTGTAGCAAGACTAGAATACAACTTTTTATATCTGGGAAGTACTCTTGTCCAGGTTGCAGTCTTAACGTGCACTCGATGTGTAGCTCAAAACATATTGCGTTCTGGCTGGACTGTGTTCGTTCGCAGCGCTCGCTGCTGCGAAGGAGAACAGCAAGGATCTGATAATCGCTTGTGCAAGAGGCACGGGAACCAGACTTGCGTCATCCACTCGAAACTTTACATATATGGAAGGCAAATCAGTTATGGAAGTGGAATGGCCGAGGACAGCGTCGCAGTGCCCATTGTGTTCCACGGAAGAAGCGGAAATAACGCAAGGCTCACCATAGAGATACCTGGCTCTTGTGGAAGGACCTGAACACAGGGTATAACTTTCCGACCCAGTGTAATGATCTGCTAAAGTTTGTACCCCTCCAACTGCACATGGATAGTCCTGACGCGAGACAGGGTACTGGAGTCCCAACCGTCAGTGGTGGCGCACTGTGGCTTGATCATGCGAGCAAGCTCTTCTACCTCTTTAGTGGTGTGTACATGGAACGCACTCCGAATGCCTCTGACCATTTGTGGTTTTCGACATCATCTACAGTACGTGGAATAAAATTGTGCCGGACGATAGCCAACAAGAGATCCTCTGGCCAGCACAAGGCGCTTTGACAGTCGCGTACGAAGGTGTAGCACATTTGTACGGTGGATACTTGACTGATAGGCTGGCCCGAAATGGACAAGCAGTCCATTGATGCGGAATAGTCTCGTATCCTTTCGCACCGAAACGAACAGTAGAGCACTAGTACGGGTCCAACCCTACGGGCCGGGGAACATGCACTACATACAGCTTCGCAACGAGGCCTGCTAATATATCGGCGGCATTGATATGAATAACGGGAACAAAACATATGTGAGAACCTTTCAGTCTCTCCTGGTACCGTACATAGCGAATCTGCATAGACACGAATGGATGTAAGTCGGACTTGAAAGGCAACGAGACATTGCGCTCGTAAGATAGACCAACTGAACTTCTGTTGGACATCCAGCCTTTCGACATAAGCGAATTGTAGGTGGTACTCCCAACGTGCGTCTGGTGACGTCCTCAAGCCAAGCGAGGCTTTTGTCCCAGTGTACTTGGACCGTAGACTACTCCCCATACTACTTGTCCGTCGTCATCTCCTCAGAAGACATACAAAATACTTTTCCCAGTCACATTTATGACGGCATCTCTGACAACGGCTCCGTTCTTGGAGATGGACACATACTAAGTCTACCATCCTTTGAGTGAATGTCGGTTTGCTGCCATCTCTCATTACCCCCAACTGCGCTAACGTCGGCAAGTAGTTCCCCATTCCTGACAAGACACTACGCAAACGTGGTCGACCGCTGACACTGACGTCCCGTAGAACTGAATTGCAAGGCCACCGTGACAAAGCCTTTGAAATGGGTGACAAGCGATCTCAGCATCTACTTTAAGACAAGTTATCTCGCACAGGCGCTCTCGCCAAAAGAATGACAGCTGCCACGAATACATCCTTACAGCCAGCCTCCAGCAGCGGATCCTCGTCGCCCAAGCATGTAAACACGGCGTCACTAAACTATAACATTAACAAATATCCAGAACGAGCAGCCAGAGTGTAAATCCAATCGTTTGGAGTAGGAAAAATATCCCGGCAGCCCAACAACAGCGTCATATGATAAGACGCTGGGGACGGTACATGTTTGTGGTTACTAGGGGGAGTTTTGTGCGTTCTCCTGCAATATGCGTTTGATCTAGAGGTTCTTACTGTTTGTTTACCGGGTTGGTTGTAAAATATGTTCTGGCCACACATTTCCGCAGTATAGAAATATTTGTTAGACAGCGACTTGAGTGTGGAACTAGAGATACTATTAAAGATGTGCACTACGAGGTGGCGGTTTATCGTAAAGTGATTTCTGAAGCCGTGACGGCTTGTTCGATACTATATTCGTTGAACAGTAACTTTGAGTAGTTTTTCGTTCTACACCGTTCATCATGGGCTCGACAGCCGGTTGGAAGAGTTTATATTCAATCCTATGAGCAGTGCGAGGTCGAGTCCCTATTCTGACGGGGTCTCCTCTTTTCAGAAATTTGGTATTTTAGCTAGCTGTCGCTCTTGTCGATAGAGATGGTGGTATCAGCCTCCGCGGACGGTGGTTTATGGCCGGGTATGGAAGTAAGATTGCGGAAGCGGACTGAAATGGACCGCCAGCTACCCAAGGCTCAGCCTAGACTTCTACATAGCAGCTTCCCAATGTTTTTGGGTCTGGAGGTCTATTGTAAGCTCAGTAGAGTGAATCTAAACCTGAGTCTGTCCATATACCGCAGGAGTTTGCCGTTACCAGTGAGCTGGACTGGGTTCAACACTAAGCCCTGATTACCATATGAACGAATCGCGCACACCCGTCTTTGCGCGCAACACCGATACGGTCCAATGATGGATTGTTGGTCCGACCGGCAAAGACAAGATTTGCCGCACATGATCTTTGTGTTTCAGTTTTTGAGATGAAGACAGAATGGGCCGCCTTTGTGAAGACTGTGGCCGGAATTACAGCCAAGTTCTCGCGGTGGGATTGTGCTTGAGGCTCTCGTCATTGCTTCATGATTTCTGTTCTTGGTCTCCGGTCGTACCCGTATGCTTTTGACATTTGGCGCATTAACGCAAGTGTCGCGAAGTGCTAATCAGCGTGAGCGATACCAGAATAGGGTTGGAACGGAAGTCGTACCGAGACCGGCGTAGTGGCAAACCTGTTAAGGCATAGTTCCCGCAGAGCCGCCGACCAAGCTCCGGGTTGGCAAGCTTTTCGCAACACCAGGCATGCTTGGTATGTGTACATCGCATGCTTCATCCGTTAATTTCTCGTAAACGTTTCATTGCTTGACGTCATAGTGCTCTGCACCATGTTTCGAAGCGGCTGTCGCGCAAACTCGGTCATATCGCCGCGCGTCCTCGTGACTGCGCGTTGCGCGACGCGCGATCCACGTCTACAGTGACCACCCCCAAAGGCCTTCTGCAAAAGCATTCGCCACGACGCCATCTATTTACCCCAGGACATATTCTTCTGATCGACACTCTCCACGCAAAAGTCCCTCAACTTCTGCCCTCAACGCTGACAGGGGCAGCGAGAAAGCTCCAATCATAAGCAGCTCGGCGAGAATTTCGGGACGAAATTGATGCCCGCAGAGCCTCATGTGGGCCGCTAGAAGGCTTCTTCGGTGTTAAGCTCCACATCGAACGCCTCAAAACTCGGGCTGATGCTTATTCGGCCCACCAATCTTTACCACTTTGGTGCACGCTAGAGCATGAGCGTACAACGCCCGGTCAAGATGCAAAGATCAGAGTTGCAATGCCTTGCTTTGGGGTCTCCGCGCGCTCGTCACGAGGTTTGATGAGGAGCACCATGGGGATCTGTCAGTCCGATCGATCAGAGCGGGAAAGTGGGTCTCCCCTTGGGGTTGTATAAATGGGGGAATTCCAGTCTCACGGGACGTGTATAGCGCGTGTTTCCGCTGATCCCTCAACTCTCCTACAGCGTGCGAGGTATGCCCACCATGGACGAGAAAGAAATGCAAGCCCCTGCGCTTGATAGCACGGCTACTACTCCTCGCAACCTTTCCAAGGACAAGATCGAGGTCGCCTCCAAGCCAGGCTATGAAGCACCCAAGGCAAAGGCTGAACGGCTGGAGAACGCTCGCGGCGATGAGTCGGATAACCTCATCCACGATCTCGAGAAGGAACTTGAGGCGAGTGGCTACAAGAAGGGTTTCTTCGAAATGGAGTTCAAGAACCCGAAGCACTTCACGTGGATCCTAGTGGCCTTCGCTTCCATGGGTGGGCTACTGTCTGGTCTTGATCAGAGTCTGATCTCCGGCGCGAACCTGACCCTGCCGCATGATCTCAACTTCACGGCCCAACAAAATTCCATGGTCAACTCTGGCATGCCCCTCGGAGGTATGTAACCGCCTTCGAAAGTCTGGAGACTCGGCTAATCATTGCACAGCTGTCGCCGGCGCTTTCCTCATCTCACCCTGCAACGAGTACTTTGGCCGACGTTGGGCGATCATCATCTCTTGCATCTTGTATACAGTCGGCGCTGCACTTGAGGCTGGTGCTGTCAGCTACGGCATGATGGTCGCCGGCCGTGTCATCCTGGGAGCCGGTGTCGGTCTCGAGGGTGGAACTGTCCCCGTCTATGTTGCCGAAACAGTCGAGGCTCGCATGCGCGGTAACCTCGTCTCGCTATACCAGTTCATGATCGCCCTCGGTGAAGTCCTCGGCTATGCTGTTGCTGCCATGTTCATCACGGTCAAGGGCAGCTGGCGCTACATTCTCGGTAGCTCGCTCATCTTCAGCACGATCATGGGTGTCGGCATTCTCTTCATGCCAGAGTCGCCTAGATTTCTAATGCACAAGGGTGACACCCTCGAGGCCTTCAAGGTGTGGAAGCGCATACGCGGCATCGAGACCCATGAAGCACGGGAGGAATTCTTCATCATGAAGGTCAGCACTGAGGAAGAAGAGGCAGAGGTGGCTGCTGGACGCACCAATAGGTTCCCCTGGATGGACTTCTTCACCAAGCCCCGCGCTCGCAGAGCCATCATCTATGCCAACATCATGATCTTCCTTGGTCAATTCACCGTAAGCCAACCGTCCTCATTGTTGACACAAATACTGAACTTTACAGGGAATCAACGCTATCATGTACTACATGAGTGTGCTCATGAGCCAAGTTGGCTTTAATACCTATGACGCCACCTACATGTCTTTGGTGGGAGGTGGGTCACTTTTGATCGGCACGATCCCCGCCATCTTCCTGATGGAGACCTGCGGACGTCGTTTCTGGGCCATTGCGATGTTGCCAGGATTCTTCATTGGTCTTGTCCTCGTTGGTGTCAGCTACCAGCTGAACACCCTTTCCGCACAGCTTGGTGTGTACCTTACCGGGCTCATCCTCTACGAGCTTTTCTTCGGTTCGTACGCCGCACTCACCTGGGTCATTCCTTCCGAGGTGTACCCGACCTACTTGCGATCGTACGGTATGACCACATCCACCGGCTGGCTCTTCCTCTCCTCCTTCATCGTCACCTACAATTTCACCGGCATGCAGAACGCCATGACCAAGACTGGTCTGTCGCTTGGGTTCTACGGTGGTATCGCTGTGCTTGGATGGTTCTATCAGATTCTGTTCATGCCTGAGACCAAGGACAAGACACTTGAGGAGATTGATCAGCTCTTCCACAAGCCTACACGTCAGTTAGTCAAGGAGAACATCAAGAGCTCGATGGAGGTAACCAGTGACTTGCTCCATGGGCGCTTCCACAAGGTGTTCATCCAGAACAACCAACGTGGCCACGAGTAAGCAGATGCGTTGGAAAAGATGAGTTGTTAAATGGTTACGAGGAAAGGATGGTGAAAGGAGGATATTTTCTTGTTGGACTTTCACGAATACCCTTGAAATTTAGATACGAGATAGATGATGGACGGAAGACGAATGATAAATCACATGATTGACTACTTGGGCTGATCAAGGTGGCATCGGCACGTGACGTTTCTGGACACTTGCCTGAATCCACAGTCCTCCGATACATCTAGAAAGCTTCCGAAATTCGCGGCCATTGGTGTGGAGAAACATACCAATCGACCAGTTTCGGAGAGACAGAGTACCTATTTGTTTGTATCTGTTTGTCAGAGAGGTTTGTCCGCGGAACCTGCATAAAGAGAAAGTAGAACCTAACCAAACGAGTGTCTCAATAGTGGAGTAATTTATGTTTGCCAGTCTGCCCACATCTCATCCAGAGACGGGAATCTCAAAATCAGCATTCTTCGACTTCTTCATCAGCTCCGCCCCCATGGCGACCTGATTACCATCCATCTCATCCTGGATCTTGGCGAAGATCTTCTGATTGAAGTTTGCCTCGTACTGAGAGAAAATCATATCAATGTTGACTTCTTCATAGCTGCTCTTGCCGACGGTGTAGCGCTTCAGGTCCTGGCTGACGGAGAAAGAGATGGTACGGATAGCTGTGAGAGTCAGTGCATCCGTCTTTCCATATACCAGCGTAGCGAATAAGAAAAAATGCGAGTCACATACATGCATCGACAGAGTCGGAGTACTCGTCGTACGAGTAGCGAGTCAGCATGATCCAGTACTGCTGCTTGGATGTGTCATTGACGCTAGACGCTTCCAGGATACCGTTGCTGATGGTGTTTAGGATGGCCTCGAGTTGAGTCAAAATCGAAGTGGGGAGGATGAAGCCCTCCAGCACAGCGGTGAGAATGGCGGTGTGGAATTCAAGTTTGCGCTTGGTGATATTGCGAGAGACGTTCTGGTCAGTAATCTTGGCGAACCTTGGAGCCGTCAGCCAGTGTGCAAGGCAGCTAGGCATGTACTTACCAGGTTGACTGTCTAAATAGCCAGTCCCAAACCATGGCGCGATGAGAGCTGCGGGCAAAGGCTCCTTTGGCATCGGCTGATAGAGCTTTCTTGTCGATCTGTAGCTGTACCTGCCTCTCGGATGTGGTAGTCGCCCATGCGGACCAAGAGGCGATCATATCCTTGACAGAAACGTAGCTCTCCCGAGCCTTCCCGGACATCATTTCGGAAGTCGGAAAGTTGACTCGAATGACAGCCGGAGGATCATTCTGATCTCCTGCTCTCTTCATGATAGCAGCCATATCCATGGATGGTGGTGTAGCTTCCCCAGTCTCGTTGCGATCAATGCGAAGCACTTCTGGTAGGTTCGTGATCTTGCCTGTGGCAATCTTTCCCTTTGGCGTTGGCTTCTTGCTGCCGCCGAACAAGGTATCAATCATCTTCTCTAGCTCGGACGACCCTTTCGGGGTCTTGGCGACCTCGTTCTCGACGTCGTCATAGTGATGACCATTGAGATTGCCGTTGGTGATCGGCCTGGCCTTCTCGTTCGGGCCCTTGAAGGCAGTAGGAGAGACACTGACAATCTGAAAGCCAGGAACACTGGCAAAGGAATCGTCTGCCTTTGCTACAGAGGCATTCGAAGATGATTTGCCGCCTTTGACATCCAAGGCAAGAATATATTCTTCAAAGCGATTGCCTGCGGGTCCAATGCAAGACCCAATATTCGGGTAGCCGCCAGCAACATGAACACCAACTGATATATCTTAGTGTAAGCGCCGAGCTTTTGTGTAGGAGTCCACGTACCAGCTTTGAGATCGGAGCGAAGTATCGGGGATCCGGACTGGCCTTCATAAGATCAGCGCCTGAATTGTTCAGCTCATAAATACTTCTTACCTCCAGTAGTATCTATCTTGTAGCTCAGAAGCACATCGTTTGATGCCAAGTCGATATCAACATCCTCCCAGTGCTCATAGAGGTACTGGCCGAAATCGCGATCGCCGGGAAACCCAACGACACCCAACTTGAGGCTAGTCTTTTTAGGTGTGCTCGTGTATTTGACCGGCTCGATGTCTGTGACGGGCTGGTTGAGCGTGATCTTGCACAGCGTCAGTATGGCCATCTCCAGATCTTTGCATGACATACAAAGCCAACATCGTGCTGGTAGGACTGAGCCTTCAAGTACTCTGCCGGGATGGCTGCTGAAACACCGTGGCGATAGATGCATGTTGCTTCTTTGGTGGAGGACGAGCCGTGGAAACCGAAGTATACCTTGATATACTGGAGGTATCCACCAGTATCCTCGCGGTCATACAAACAATGACCAGCCGTTGCGACGGTGGTTGAATTGACCAACCAACCGGTACCGATGAATTCTTGGTCCTTGAGGTTGGTGTAGCAGAGGTAGAGTTTGCAAATTGCTAGAACGACGTCAGCGCAAGTAGGAACACCCTAGGACTAACTTACCCCGATACTTGCCACCAGGTAGAACAGTAGATTCGTCGACAAGAACGCGGTGGTCCCCACCAGCTCCGATACTTTCGGGACGTCTAGGAAGATGAATCCGCTTGGCGGTCTCCTGGTTACTGGGCTGCTGCAGATCCCAGACGCCGACGGTAGTGCTGATGTATATAAGCTAGCAGCATGGAGATTGAGCGAATTCACTCACGGGTTCAAGGAGTTGACGAGCAAGGTCGTCTCGAGTGGAATGTCTAGATCCCTTGCCTTGGGGGCTTTGATATTGGAGCCATTGATTCCGGCCATTGTGATAATGAGGCTGTGATAATGAGGCTGTGATAGTGGTTGGCAAGCTTGATATCACTTGCAGTTGTGATTGTTTGAGTGCTGAATGTGTCTGGTTGTGGACATTGAGAGAGTCGCCTGTCATACTTATACCATTTCAACTGCTACTGGTTGACAGCCGTGAGCCATGATGCCGACTCCTCTGCAACCGATATAACAGTCTAAGCGTCTACGCATACGAGGTCAAGACATCCTCTTGAGAGCTGTGCACCCAATGAGTGGACAGCGTGGACCCCCAAGTATGACGGTGTGAGTGATGTCCGTTGGGACCATACCTGAAGTAGGATTAACATATTCATCTCAATTCGCATACAGCTGTCGTGATTTAAGAAGGCTGCAACCCACCCATGCAGCCACAATGTTGATTCAGTAATCCCGAATGGTCATCTTGACACAATGAGGGGATTATGGTTGTCTACTGGCTGTGCTAGTCAGTGCTCCAGGACAGAGCATTGCCGTTGTGGTCGTGGTGCTCGACGCCATGATTGATCGGATGTAACACGGCGTTGATATCAGCCCTCTAGTGATATGTGGCTATCCTGATAGCTTGTCCTGAAATGGAAATATACAAGCCACTTGTCTTACCGCATTCGAGGGTGCTTGAAGTAAAGAGCTGTGGTATGGGCGTTCATGGGCTCGATTGGGAAGACTGGAGGAACAGCCAGCTGGTGGCTTGCGTAACAGCGGCTGAGAGTCAGGGGTGCAACAACATTAATGTTCAGAGCTAGCTGAGAGGCTGCAGATGGGAGTTCGATGCTGGGTCACATTCACAAGCGAGGAGTGTGTATCTGCTCGAAGTCATGGCTGGACCGGATGAGCATCTTGTGCAATGGAACGAGTGGTATTGCGTAGGAATGCGAGTGTTAGATTCTCGGTTGGAGGCTCGGCAACGCTTGCCCTCGCCTGGTCCGGGCAGCTTCCCCCTCCGTCCCGAAGGCTGTTGCTAGCCGTAAAACATTACACTTTCACTTGCATAACTAGTATTTGACCTGCATTGCATCCAATTCAACAAAATCCGGATATTACATCGACACCTTTCTCGCCGTGCTATTGGCGCTCTGCGCGCCTTCCAACAGACCCCAGCTCCGACTTCTTGCGCCATCGTCGTCAGCTCTCGTCTCGCAAGCACAAGCTCTAATGGCCTCCACCAGTCTAGAGCTACGTTCTCGGCCATTCTCGACCTCGTACTTTCAATGTTCGATAGTGCGGGACCAGAAGGATTCACCGCCATTTAAGCCTAAGTCGACATACGACGTCAGCGAGCCGAAATGCGCCATTGGGGCAGTCTATGAAGCAAATTATAATAATGATCAAGATCTTGCAGGAGGAGAGAAAGGACGCAGTTGGACGCAGATGTTAATTACTTGGTGAAAGACCTTCTTTCCAATAAACTACTGGGATTGAAACGACGCACGGTTTAGATATCTGTGAACATTACTGATATCTTTAGGCTGGCGCTCCACGCCGAGCATACTGTTCGCTATTACCAGAAATTAGCCCTGGTCTAACCGTGTTTGTGGTGTAGCCAAAGCGCTTAGCGCGTACTTGGCGCAATCCGCTCGACGGCTCGACGGGGGCACCCGCAAGGAGCGGACCCCCGAGCAGCCACACGCCTGACCTCGTTCACTCTTCACATCTTCACCTATGCCATTCATCGCTATCTTGATACAGCATTCTTCATCTCTGCTGCCCGCGGGGACCCATCCAGGCTTTCTTCGTGTGTCATGTCCGTGAACGCGACGCGCTAGTCTCTGCCACAAACAACACGTGCCAAACAAGCAACCCTTGAAAAAGAGAAAACGTATGGACCAGCCGCTTTTCTTCGCAATCAACATATTCCTTACACATTTATTCGATAGGCTTGAGCATGATACCGAAAGGCCTTCCTACTGGTGATCCGGCGCTACAATGCCCAACCCCGCGGTCCACCTTATCCCCTGTGCCGACCTCAAAACCAACTTTGAAACGTTTCAAAAGCCTCTCCACCCGCACAGGACCTAAAGATGACCCCTTCAGACAAGCACAGGCTGATTCCAGTCCATTAATTGCAATACCTGACGAAGACGATGACATCTTTGGTACTCCCTGTAGGAAGAAGAGACCTAGCCAACGGAGGCTTCGGGGGTCTAGGAACAGAACAGAGGAGCATAGAGACGATGACGAACTTGCGAGCCTACTTGAGAATTGGCAAGCTTTCCTTACGCCAGAGAAATTGAAACGAAAGGCCGGCCATACGGAACCTCGTGCGATAGGTCCCAACCTGAGACCTACGCCTAAGGGGTCCCCACTTGACAGCGGAGCATGGCTCGCGAGACATCGTTCTCAGTCATTTGCGTCGTCGAGTCCAGTAAGGAGCACTCCTGGGTCAACCCCCCTGCAGCAATCCATTACCGAGGGCCCTCACATAAAAAGGCCACGCCAGGCCATCGCAAACTTGACCCTGAAGCGCGTGCGATGCGCAGATGAAGATGAAATCGGGGACTATTCCTCCGGTTTGCCGCCGCCGAACGCGAAGAGAACGAAATTGTTGTCTACGCCAATGAAGACTGACTACGAAGAACTGCATGAAAGCAAACTTCAACCACCTGCGCCATCCAAAAATGATTCGCCAGGCTCTATCACGCAAAGGTGGCCGCCTAGTCTGGTTAATTTGTCGAGAAAGAAAGCTATACGAACAGCACATGCGAGCACTTCAGGACTGGCTACTCCTGATGCATCTGCTACTGAATCGCCTAGCCCAACCTCATCGGAACGTGGCGTCAGAATCTTCTCCTCGTCGCAGGATACAGATGATAGAAGGCCAGGAGCTGACGATACACTATCAAGTACATCTGCTTCATCAATCACGCTTTCACCAAGTCCGGACACAACACCACGCAGTATCAAGCCAGGGAAGAACCTTTCTGCCAAAATTGTCCAGACGAAGCGAAAGCGAGGCGCGCAAGAAGCCGGACTATCACCAACCCGTCCAGAGTTGAAGCGAGCGAAGTTGGCAAAGCCTCCTGGCAATACAGAGAAACCAACGGCTCTGGTGAGATTGGATCCGAAAACGGACGCGCCGCGACGTAAATTGACCACTGAAAAGTCGAACAGCAACAAAACATGTATGTTGGCACGGCTGTGTGAAGTATCGTAACTGAGGTTAATATAGGAAATTTGGGGTATCATCTATAAATTTTGTCCTACACGCCACGGTATTCATCTTGCATGCGCAAGTAGCCTTCGGCGCCACCTTGACTTCGGTCCGACGTCACCAAGACTGACCGTTTCAGCTCGATGCCAGAGAGACCTGCGCTGTTCTTCGTGGGCTCCCCGCTGTAGTTGTTATTGCTGTCCTCGAAACTCTGACCTCGGACGCGAGATACGATTCAGAGGCAAGGTGGTAAAGATGCAAAGATAATGGCAATGTTGAGTTCGATAAGAGTCCATACGCCGACGTAGAGAAGCGCGAAGGTCGGGTCCTCACGAGACGTCTTGAATTCCTTCACAAGCGCAATGTGCACAACTGAAATAGCCGCGGCACTGTTGTATGATTAGCTGAATTGGTACCCGTCGCAGTGCGCATCAGCCATTTACAGTGATTCAAGTCCTGCGACCGACATGATGCCAATGCGCGTCTTGGTACTCAAAATCAATTGCCAGATGATTGGCAGCGGCGTCCCGCTTTTCTGGTATTTACCAGCCTGGTGATATATCTGCCTCGTTGGGATTGGAGGAACGATTGCGCGAGGGCAGCGATTCTGAAGAGGGTTGCGGCGGACAGGAAGACGTACAAGATGTATGGGCTATGGATTAGCTGTTGGTTGGCGAGCCCGGCGGTCGCGGCTTATATGTAAGTCAGTGGATCTTTGATTTTGATTTTTTGGGGAATTGGAAGGAATTGTTTGTACAGGGTTGTGCCCATGTTCTCTTGTATTGGTGTGTGCATGACGTAGCGGGGCTGCCGTTGCGTTCTATGGGCTATAAATGACAAATCGAGACAGTACAGAAGTAGCTGAAGTTCCCTCTCGCTACATCGTTGGTGGATGGATTTACATGTCCTCGGCCACAAGCAATAAACTGTCTATTTGACGACGATGTTGTTCTTGAAGTTTAGATTACCCATCTTCATTTCAGGACACGACGAGGAAGGACCGCACTCATGCCTAAGAGAAGTGCACGGAGACCAGTACTATCAAGGCAGAACTTGAATATGAGACACTGTTAGTGGCAACTACCATTCAGTATCATTGCGCGGACCCACGCTTGGAAGCTTCCCATAATCACATACGCGACCAATAAACTTCGTCGCAGCCGCAAGCTTGTAGGTTCCAGGAATGTTTCCGGTGAAGTATGGATCACAAGCATGGTAAACCTGCTCTAGACTGAGCTAGTTGTAGGAGTACGTAGCTGATCACGAACGCAGCCAATCAGTGGCCTGCAAATCTCAAGCCATCGTTCAAAGCAAACAACATTCTATTCAGAGTTCCAGACAGCACATGTGAGAGACTTATCCTTGTTTGAGTATAAGTATCATGGGAAGTTATACCGTCGTACTCTCAACAGTACCGTACCGTTTCGCTTGTCACTCCCTCTCACCCTCGTAACCTCTTGGCGTTGCTTGATCTCACAACAATCTCCTTAGAGTCCAGTATGTCCTTCTCTTGATTCATATTGCTCATTGGCTTGCGTGTTGCCATTTTAACCTCCAGCATAGGACAATGCGTGTCAAATCCAAGAGCGATGTCAATTCCGGCAACTCCAGTCTGAGATAGGAACCTCTGTCTTCTTCCGATGATGACATTTCTATCGCTGAGAACCGCGAAGGCATCGTTTATTACTCCGAATGGGTAGTCAGAAAGCTACGCGTGGCATACTCGGGTGCTATCCAGGCCACACTATTCTCAGATGTCTATTCGGTCTCTATATATTCATTCTCGCCTCTATAATTACTTCCATCCCTTAGATCCCAACTCCGATGGATTCAGTATCCAATGGGTCTACAGCCTTCCAGAATTGAAAGCCGGATAATTGATTCCACTCCCAACACCGCCATCTTTCTGGAATGTTATACTAACTGACACACACACCCTACTGCGACCCATCAATTACAGATGGAGGGCCCGTTCGTTTTGGAATCTGCAAGATCCCTCCGACCGGCTCTCCAATATTCTGTTCTCTGAGTGTCTCAGTTGCGTTACCCAGTCCGGATACTGAGGAAGCGACTGTTGTCAGCACTCAGATTCTCAACGAAATACTTCAACTTCGTGGACTTGAATTTTCAGGAAGTACTGCAACCTAGCTGTACACGTGAGAAGCCAGAACTAGAATGTGTCCACGGTTGTCCACTACCAAAGCACGCGAGGAAGATAAGAGAAAGCTGACCAGGCGCAGCATTGGAAATTCATGAATGAGTTTCATATCACATTCAAGCAAACTTCCAATATGCATGTATTCCTTCTACATATGCAAGTTACACAAAAAGACGTATCGCCGCCCCATTCTTCATGACTTCTTGTCCAACGGTGGCTAAGGCATTGTCCTTGCATGCACGGTGGTACCGAACCTTGCCTCTTATGATGCATCCCCACGCTCCTCCCTAGTGCCAATCAGCTGCCATGCATGCGGTGAATGATTGAGGACCTTAAATTCTCCTTATTCTGTATCTTCTGCCCACGTTTGGCGCTTACGCCTGGGCCTGGGGCTGAGCTTGTCCCAGTCGGCTTCACCACCCCTAAGCTTCTGCACATGTCCGGTCTCCACGATATGACCGACATATACGGCTTCGTCTTCATCGTGTGCCATAGTGGAATCTAGTACTTGACAGAGACCATCTGCATGATGCTTGCATCGCGCTCTTCTGCATGCCTTCCCGTTCTGAGAGCAATTATTACAGATAACGCTAGAATCACATCTGCGGCTGTGAACGTAGCATTGGATGCATGTGGGGAAGCTAGAGCTTTTGGGGTGGGTAGAAATGCTGTTTGTGAATTAGACGTGAACCATGCGATCGAATACCTGCAATGACTTGCTCCATCTGAGCTGTGGTACGCTTGCTTTGGATCGGGAAGTTTGACTGCTGAGCCATCACGGGCACGTCCGAGCGCGCAAGGTCCTTCGCATACGTAATATCAACCAGGCGTGAGGGAGTGCTGGGCAGTGTTGATGGTATCTTTGGCAGCGAGTCAAACATTGACGTAATGCTTGAGCCATCCTCTGGGCTTGCTTCGCCATTCGTTGTGCCTAATCGCAAGGTTGATTCGACTGAGCGTGTATTGTAGCGGAAATCAGTGTCGGGGATGTCAACGCCGTGCGAGTGGTAAGCGTCGTCATCGTTATGGATCGCCCTGGTGGGGTTGCTAGAATCGAGTAGGGGAAGCCGAGCGCGCGATGTTGCGCGACGTTTGCCATATCTTGGAGCTCGCACTTGGCAGCGTTCTTCTGGTGTGAGCCACGGTGCCGCTGACGGTCGAATAAAGCCTCGAAGCGATTCCATGAGGTCTCGTTCATTCCCCTGAGCGAAGAGATACGCGACTCATACGCTTGCCGCTGTAGCTCAGACGCCCGCCGCTCCAGCGTCAGCTAAGCCTCCAACTCTGCGACTTGCTTTTCGACGTCGGCAACGCGCTGGAAAAGTGTATTTCCGTTCTTGTTCATGTATGCAGTGGATGGATGAATATTTACAGTGTTCAGAATCAGCTCAATGCCGCCTTCCGTAAATTGGGCTTCAATCATATTGAGCGTTATATTTTCGTTAGAAGGGACTTGACGCTTCGAATGGTCTATGCCGATTGTGCGAGGTGGGGTTGTCGAACGTGGAAAGCGGAAGTGAATTGACCTGAGAATATGGGTAGCCTGGGTGCAGCATCAACAAAATTTGCCTGCAAGGCAAAAGTGAATGGAGCCTCCTTGTAAGCCTAATCATGACGACGTCGCATCGCACGTTGCATCGTACAGGAGTCATCGTTGGCTATTTCCATCTTGTCAAAATCTCACGCGATCTTGATTCAGAAAGCAGTTCAAAACTGCTTGCGTTCTACTGCCTTATGCTGGCTTTGTCCATGCCACGATTGCTTCCCATGCCAAAGCTCAATATCATGAATCTTCTATGCGTGAAGGGTGTGGACGCCCTTGAATCGCCTCATCGGCCGGAGAAGCCTGGTAAGGTAACACCCAAAGGCTCCATTCGAATTCAGTCAGGCGGAAATGGTACCTGAGCATATCCATACTCAGGATGTACGTCTTCATGAACTCAAGATCGTGGATCACGGGCAACATCACCCGATTACTGGACCAAACGACAAAGTGTCTTCAATGTTAAGCTCGCCCTATCCAATGAAATGGAACAACTAGCAGGAAGCAGTCAAATAGACATCAAGCGAGTCTCGAGTCCGCAGTGAAATACCTACCACAACGGCGCCACCCCCTTAGCGACATACGCCCCCTCCAACGCCTTCACATCCTCATCCTGCAGCACGAGCCCGACCGCCCCGACCGCCTCATCAATCCGCTTCTCGCTCTGCAGTCCCAAAATCGGATTCACACCCTTGCTAAGACTCCACGCGGTGGCCACCTGCGCCATGCTGACACCCAGCCTCCCCGCCACCTCCTCGACCTTATCGACAATAGCTTTGTCCGCGGAGGTAGACGCGAACATGGCACTAAAGGCATTGCTGTCGTTGCGGAAGGAGGAGGTGGACCAGGGGCGCGCGAGCTTGCCCTGCGCGAGGGGCGACCAGGGGATCAGCCCGATGCCGGCGTGCGCGCAGTAGGGGTGCATTTCACGCTCCTCCTCGCGGTAGAGGAGGTTGTGGTAGTTTTGCATCGAAATGAACGTGTGCCTGCGTGTGCTGTCAGCTGGACTCCCATGCCAATTGGAAAGAAACTCCAGACGAAGGAGTAACGGAGGGGAAACATGTAACATACCAGCCGTGCTTTTCAGCAACGTTGTTCAGCATCTGGAACTGCCACGCACTCATACTACTCGCGCCGATATACCGTACCTTGCCGCTCTCAACAACATCGTTCAAAGCCTTCATAATCTCCTCGGGGGGCACATCCTCATCAAACCGATGGATCTGCAGCACATCGATATACGTCCCGAGTCTCTCCACACTCCTATCGACCGCATCAAGGATGTGTTTCCTGCGCAGGCCTAAGGGTTAGTCGTTTGATAGCACTGCCAATCGCAACAGCAACACTGACCTGCTCAACCCCACACGATTCACCATAACCCCATCGTTGACCATCGCTTTTCCCAAATCGAGAGCGCCATCTTCCCCCACTACTTCGCCCTCGTCCACGCCGAAGAAAACTTTAGACAGCAGCACGAGCTTCTCCCTCGGGATCCCATACGTCCTAATCGCCTCCCCGATGACCTCCTCGCTTTTGCCCTGCGAGTAGAAGTCCGCAGTGTCCCACGTGTTGATCCCCTTGTCGAAAGCGTATTTGAGCAAGGGAAGCGAGGCAGCAGCGTCCAGGACCCAGGGCCCGATGGAGGACGTAGGACTGCCGAAGCCCATGGTGCCGAGGACGATGGCGGAGATTTTGAGGCCGGAGCGTCCGAGGCTGGGGCTATGTTAGTATGCGTTGTGAGGAGAGGCATTTTTCTAGACAGGAAATCTTTCACGCGGACCATGAAGTAGTGTCCCAGAAAGCTAATACATAACGATATGGTACCGCACGAATGGATTGTGACTGCCGCTCAACAGTAACCCCAAATGAAGCGTTGTGAGTGGACGAAGGGGTAGGTAAGCTAGCTTGGCTTGGGTAAGGTGATATGAGAAGGTGTACAAACCGTGTGTATTTCATCTGCGGCTGAGTTAACGTACTCGCCTGGGCTGCAAGGATGTCTTTGAAGGGCATCTTAGATAGTGTCTTGGTGTAGTGGGCAGGTGGCTTTGGTGTGATCAGGTATTGCGTGGATCCGATCGATGGGGAGAGTACGCTCAGTTTCCAGTACTCTTCCCTCCTTCGCACTTCCTCCTCCTTTTTATACCTCCCACATCCTATTCACCCTCCCCACTAACCACGAATTAGTCCCTCATACAACGCACAAATAAACCATCACTAACTAAAACATCTCCACTAGCGTGGCTGTCGCGCTAAATCCCCGACAGGACTCCCAATGCGGGTATACCTCGCACTCCACCCCTTCGCGCACAGGCCAGCATAGATGACATGCACGCTGTCATGCAGGCCGCTTGTGGCGTTACGTACGCTGCCTCCGAGTGCGAGGCTGAGGCTCCGCGCGTGTGCGTGCGCGGGTTGGTCCGAGACGGACGACTTCGCGGATGAATTAACGTTGGGCCGAGATAGAGGCGCGAAGTCGGAGTTGCGAACCTGAGTCGGACGAACCGCAGAACAGGAACTATTCATCGTCAGCGCAACAACCCAATCTTGCGCTCGTAGACAATGCATTTGAGAGAAATATTCGAGTGATAAAAACGATGTATTACAATGCAAATTAATGGTATCGGAGTACTCATCCAAGGTTAGGTAATACAGACAAAGCAGAAACCGCGGTGAAGGCAAGAAACTGCGGCTTTTGCAATGGCACAAGGCAAGACGTTCCAGACATCTTCCTACTGGATCAAATAACCAAGGTATCAATCAATCTCAAACGCCTCCCAGCAAAAACAAAGAATCCCAAAAGTTGTGCAACGAAACGAAGTGCCTAGAAAGCCGGGCTCCCAGGGTCGAATTCATCGGTAGGAGACGGTATCTTGTCTTTCAGCCACGTCAGCACAGCATCAGTGCCCTTCTTGAGCACCGCGTAGTTCGGCACGCGGAACTTATTGCCCTCAACGTCTAAACTCGTTAGTGTGCCCGCCAGCAACCCGATGTGAGGTTCCAAGCGCGCAATCTCGTTGTTGCTCAGGCTGACGATTTTCAGACCCTCAAGCGACTCGGCAGACACTTCGTCGATGCCGTTGTCGGATGCGAGCAGGGTCAGGAGCGCGGGGTAAGACTCGCGCAAATTTGGCAACGATCCGGCGATCTTGTTGTTCGAGACGTCGAGATGATGTAGACTAGGTGCCGATAGCTTGGAGGTAATTGCATGGAACGACTTGAGCTTGTTGTTGCCGAGTCGAATTTCGCGAAGTTTAGGGAGCTCAAGGCTTTCTAAGAGTGGATCGGTAACGCTGTTCTTGGACAGGTCAAGAACGGTTAAGAAGGAAAGTTGCGCTACGGCCATAGGTATCCTGGTAAGTTGGTTTTGCTGTAGATATAGCTGCTTGATGTTATGCGACTCGGCGAATGATGCCAGTTCGTCTTCATCGACTTCAGTCATGTTATGAGAGGAAAGGTCGAGTGCACCGGAAGGCGTCAGTTTCCAGCCGTTGATTTCCGCTTCCAGGTCCTTGATACCAGCTAGATCCTGGAGCATATCTCCGTCGGGCACTACTCCAGGATCCAGCTTTGACATGAGATCACGCTTGATGTCTTCCGCATTCATTGTCAGGTACTTGCGCTCGCGAAGTGGATTGGCTGCAAGCGTCAGATTCTCCAAGCCCTCCATGAGAGCTATGCTTTCATCTATCTTGTTGATGCTGTTTGCTGTAAAGTCTGCATTCCGTAGCTGCTTCAGCGAGCAGAGCCCTTCCGGGAAGGTCGACAGGCTGTTCTCGCCAATGAGCAAAGTTACTAGATTGGTCCAGGCAGCCATGTTCGGCAGGCTAGACAACCTGTTCATCGAAAGATCAAGATGCTTCATAGAAGGAAGCGAAATTGTGTCCGAGGTACAGAGGCTTGTGAGCTGATTGTTGGCGAGACTGAGGGTCTGTAGATTCGAAACAGTCTCCACCTCGAAAAAGGTGCCACTAAAAGAATTCTTAGACGCGTTCAAATCGACGACCGGCATGGATGTGAACACATCGTTCGGGAGACCAGTGAGTTTGTTTTCGGCTACATTCAACACCTTGAGATGTGTAAGAGCTCGGATTTCTGGTGGCAAGCTGGACAATCGATTTGCTTGCAAGTCCAATGTTTCCAACGAGGTCAAGTTCTCAATCTGGCTGGGGAGGGCGCCTGTGAGTTGATTCTCCGCTAGCTTGAGCTCGCGCAGAGTAGTAATCCCGAAAACAACAGCTAGCGAGTCGGTGGTCAGTTTGTTCCTGGAAAGATTGAGTTTGGAGAGTTGCGGCAGTCGGCCCAAGCCTAGTGGGAGCTCTCGGAATGCGTTGCCGTGAAGGTCAAGATTCAGGATCCCACCAAATTGTGGGACTACGTCCTCCGACTCCATCACGGCATCGTAGTCGACGTAGGGGAACATGGAATCGGGGAGGACATGAAGATTATTGTCGGCCATTATCATGGAAGTGAGGTCGACGACCTCGCCCCATGCGGTATTCACCTCGGGATCGTATTCGTACATTTTCAAAACTTCTTCGGGTATCTCGTCCAGGTCCATTGCAGCTAGATTAAGCCTCCCATCTGCGCGGGCAGCATCGACGCGCTTTCGCAGCAGAGACGCTCCCTTAGGCCGCTGGTTGAATGGATCGTCCAAGCCGAAGTCGAAACTAGCAATTTCGACCGGGTCCGGTATGATAGCATCGCGCGGTGGGGTGTTGGTGCGAGGACGCGGGGGGCTTGTCACGTTGGCCCGTTTCGCCGCTTTTGCCTTTGCGATTTGGTCGCGCAATGCCTGAGAGGAACTGGGTTTGGGTGTGTTGGCATCTGCACTATCAGGTTTTTCCGAACGTTTCGCAGCTTTTGCTTTGGCAAGTTGTTCTCTCAGTGCAGCAGAGGAGTTTCCGGTCTTCCGAGCCGTTTCTGGTGTTTTCTTTGCTGATGCAAGTGTAGATACTGGTGAAGTCGCCGGCGGTGATATAGCTTGACCAAAAGTGCCTGCAATAGAAGTCCGTAATTTCGGCGTCCTCGCCACCGCGGTGTTGCTGTTGGATAGCGGCCGGACATTTGGCGTTGACTGCAAATTTTGAAACTGAGAAAGAGGCGGCTTTTTTATCATGGAAGGAGGTCGGGCGATGGATGATCTCTTGCTGGGAGTTCCAGATGTGCCGGTCATGGAGGCACTGACGCTACGCGGGGCCGTCATCGAACCTGGTATGTTATTAGCTTGATTCGTCCGAGCAAATATGGGGTGACATACCTCGCTGAGAGATAAGAGTGCCTCTTTGTGGTGTAGCCGGCACTGCTAGTGGCGTGCCATCGCTCGTAGTAGGTCGTCTTCCATTTGACAACGCTGAGGCAGGTCTCGGCGGCGGACCCATTGAGTCCCCACTGTTGAAGAAGCTCGACCTCCGACGCCCCTTGCCACCGGCTGGTGAGGAAGGTAGTTGAGCCAGGCTCTCAATGGTCCGGTCTGACAGAGACGGACGCGACTTTCTCACTGCCGGTGCGGGCGCATCTTCATCGATATCTAGCGCATACTGCGGCTCGGTTTCATGAAACCCTGCTCTTGAGCTGGCCCTCGAAGACGCTCTCGAGGCGGAGCGAAATGCATCCAAGTCGCCCAACACGTCGTCGTTTTGTGCTCCATTGTGGGCTTTCGCCGGCTGGACGCTGGCCCTGGTCTGTCGCGACGGCGGACGGCCAGTGGGTTTCTTGAACACGGGAGCGTCAGCGGCAGAGTTTCGGCCTGCAAGACTGGGAATGGAGCGTTTGGTGGAGAGCACAGATACTCTGTTCGAGCTCGGATTGGCAGATGCCGGGGGGACAATGGATGATCGGGCGAGGGACGTTCTCGAGGGCTTCTTCTGCAGCGACGGCGGCGGTTGGCTGATGCGGGATACTGAAGACAACGAAGGCTTCTTCTGCAGCGGCGGTTGACTAGCACGTGAGACAGAAGAGAGCGAGGGCTTCTTCTGCAGCGGTGGCTGGCCGACCCGTGAGATCGACGACTGCGAGGGCTTCTTCTGCAGGGCCGGCGGCTGACTGGCGCGGGAGACTGGTGAGACTGCAGACAGCGATGGCTTCTTGCGCAGCTGCTCGGTAGACGGGGTGGAGCGCAGCTGGCTCTGGCTGCCCGCCGGCCTGAGCACGGGGAGGCGCGAGGTCGGGCGTGGGATCCCTGACGACGGGCGTGGGATCCCGGAAGGCTGCTCCATCGCGGTCGTCGAGGGACTTGCAACGTGTCGGCGCGTGTTGTTCACGCACGCTCAGAACGATCCATGGCCAACCACGCGGAACAGACTCGGAGGAGGCGCTCGCGACGGCGAAATGATTTGGTATGAAGGGCAGCAATTCGAGAGCCGGGCTCGCAGGTGTGCCTGAGCACGCGGGATGCTGCTGGTTACCCTTCGCAACGCAACGGGGCCGTGTCCAAACGAAGCCAGCCCAAAGCGGCAAGGACGAACCACTTTCGTGCCTCGTCTGCCCGCGCCAGCCTCCCGCACCTGCTCCGCCGGTTCACTCCAACTCCTCCTCCACGCCCCGTCGGACACACGCCACACGTCTCGCCATACACTGCGCATTGCCACGTCTGCCTTGACATTGGTCGCATTGTGTGCGCGACTGCGAACCGCCGTCCGGACGCATACCCACATATCGCTGCAGCGCGCGCCCGACGCGACAGCCCCGCTCACCGCCACGGCCCTTGCCCGCCAACGCGCCTTGCTGCCGTCTCCGCATCCCTTCACGTGTCGCGCAAAGCACTGGCAGCCGTCGCATCGCGCACTGTCGAGCCTGCAAACAGCGCGCGTCCCGTCCGCAATTCTGACGTGTCGGTCGCGTCTTGGTCCCGTTCGCGCCTCGGCAGAATGGACTCCCAGGCACCATTGTCGCAGGCCTCCCAGGAGTCTGTACTTATCCCTTCAACGCAGCCGTCCAGGCCTGCGACGCCCGCACTGCCATCTGCCTCGCGCTCTGCATCTCCTATCCCCAAGATGGAGAAGTTTACATCTCCGGCACCTCGCACAACCTCTTCCATGACGCCACCGCCCTCGTCCCAGCTACCAGACACCCGTTCTGTGGTACGGACACCGTCGCCCCCGACACCTGGGCTTTCGTCACCCCCGCCGACCTCAAAGCTGCCGAACCAACCTTCTGCTCTGACCGAGTCCGCCGCCGCTCTCTACACCCCGGAGCAGGTCGACAATGCGTCGACCGAGGAGCTTCGTGCCATGGTCAACGACCTGACTGGCAAGTTGCGCGATGTACGGCTATCAGCTGCACACCACAAACTGCAGTACAACATGGCCGTCATGGAACGTCAGGAGTCGGCAAGCCGGATGGCGGTGGAATTGGCCATGGCTCAGCGTGAGATTGATGTTTTGCAAAAGGCCGAGGAGAAGCGCCGAAACGAGTCGAAGCCGGAGCAGACCTACCAGGAGTCGCCAAACGTTGCTGCCAACGCCATCGTCATGTCTGAGATGAACCGCCAGATTCAGTTGCTGCAGAACGAGAACGAAGAACTGCGAGACTTGTATGACCAGCAGAAACGCTTGACCGAGCATCGGGAGGGGGAACTTGCTGGGCTGATGGAAGAGAACGACCGTTTGAAGTCCAGAATTCGCAAGAACCGCGACCACATTGCACCATACCTGCCGTACCTTGAGCAAATGAACGAGTCACCACGTTCTGCTTTCGGTACCCCGCACGCGACTCCGCGTCACAAGCTCAACCGTGTGTCTGCCCTGTCTGACGAGAGAAGCAGAGGGCAGAGCAATTTCGAGGCACTCCTATTAGCAGACAAGATGCTTAGCCAAGAAACCGCCACAGCACCTTCAACGCCGGCAAGGTCACATGGGCCCCGGTCCCGATTCGGGCACACTCGGGGGGCTCAGTCCATGTCGTCACTCCCTCAGACGCCAAGGGCGCGTGCTGCCCATGTTCCCCTAGAGATCCCACGAACGCCAACCACGTTCTCCGCCATCAACATACCTCAATCGGCACCTCCTGCTCACTACCAACAAGAGAGTGGAGCTGTGAAAGCAGCACACGCTCGACGCGAAAGCAGCAACTCCACCATCACTGCATCCAGTGTGGATGAGGAAGAAGCCTATACCGACAGAGAAGAAGAAGTGACCGAATCCCAGGCCAGCCAACTCGCGACCAGTATGCTCCGCAGGGCACCCTCAGTACCAAAGAGGCCGTCGGCTCCATCCTCACAATCATCAAATCTGGTTCAAAGTAAGATCTTCGGCCAAGTCAAGAAGGGGCACGGCCTGACCCGCTCAGCCGAGCTCGACAAGAAGCGGCAGTTGTCTGAGCACCACGCGAGTCCGACCAAGCGGGGACGGATAGATGGGGGCGGCGTTGGTCTGGGGATCGGCCTCGGTCTGCGGGACTAGGCTGCGTCTAGCAATTTCTTATGAGTGACGATTTGGTATGATGGACAGATGGACTTGGAGTTTGCGTGAATCGATTTTCGCCTTGTATTCTATGCTAAGGCATGTTGGATTGACATGCTTGCCGTGTTGTAATAGTTACAGAGACACCCGACTCTGGTCTTTTGCTTTTTGATGGATACCACTGATTGTACGGCTGCGATGAGAAATGCACGGTAGATAGTAATCAATGTCTATATAGCCACGTTAGCTTTCGTGTGAAAGGCCCGTGTCGTGAGTATGAAACCGGTAGTTAGTGGATATATTGAATAGTCACTCTGAGGCCGCGCATAATCTCTCTGCAATGCAAGAACGCAGAGATGCGATGCAGTCTCGTGCAGATTGGGAACGCGCTGCAGAACTAGAATCATGAAGTTCGCGATCCACCTGTAGTGCAGCCAAGCGGCCAGGACCACCAACGCTAACTAGTGGCTAGCGGGCGGCGAAATAGTTTGGCCGCGCGCCGTAAGCGAATTTTGCCCATCACAGAACTTTGCGATTTCGAACCTCTTGCTCAGCCGTACTAACCACAGGTCGCGACCAACATCTGCAACAATGGCCATCAAGCACAACCAGCAGATCCAGAAGAACCACTTCCACAAGGACTGGTAGGCGCTGCGATTGAAGCTCTTGGGATGCGACGTCGCTAACAGTTCCACAGGCAGCGCTACGTCCGCGTGCACTTCGACCAGGTAAATCCCCTCTCAAACCGCTGAGAGTAGCGGCGCCTGTGTCAGATGAAGATGTTAATCGTTTCGATTAGGCCGGCAAGAAGAAGAGCCGTCGCGATGCCCGCGCCGCCAAGATCACCAAGGTCGCTCCTCGTCCCGTTGACAAGCTGCGACCTGTAGTCCGCTGCCCGACCGTCAAGTGTACGTCCGCATGAGGTGTGGAGGAAGCAATTGGCTAATATGTTTGCAGACAACCGCCGCGTGCGCCCCGGTCGTGGTTTCTCTCTTGCTGAGTTGAAGGCCGCCGGCATCCCCCGCAAGCTCGCACCCACCATTGGTATCTCGGTCGACCCCCGCCGCCAGAACCTGTCCGAGGAGAGCCTCAAGGCCAACGTCGAGCGCCTCCAAGAGTACCGCAAGAAGCTTATCCTCTTCCCCCGCCGCAACGGCAAGACCAAGAGCGGTGACGCCTCCGCTGAGGACGTCAAGGCCGCCAAGAAGGGCGAGACCGTCACCTCCACCAGCTCCGTCTTCCCCATCGTCAACAAGCCCATCTTCGAGGAGGCTTCCATCGGTAGCGTCGAGGCCACCGAGAACGCCTACAGGAAGCTCCGTGACCAGCGCGCTGAGCAGCGCTACGCTGGTGCCAAGGAGAAGCGTGCTAAGGCCAAGGCCGAGGAGGCTGACTCCAAGAAGAAATAGGCGCATCGTTCCAGGACGGCGCAGCGGTATGCTTAACGATGTTTCAAAAACGGTGATCACGGTTTGGCGGTGGATATTCCCAGCATGGGCGGCGTCAATGGTTTGGGGTAGCCTGCTACAGTAGCAGTGAATGATATCTAGTCCTCAATGCAGCCACCATTGCCTCGTGCATGTCAATTCTACGTGTAGTACACGATTCATGATCAGTCTTTTCCACTACTCACGGTCTCTTGCATTACTGGAGCTCTTCGCTTGGATTCGATTATCATATCCGCGCGCATAGGGTATTGAAGCCAAGTTGACGTTGCTCAGGTACACTTCGCGGAAGTGAACTTCTAGTGCGGGGCCCCAAGCTCCACCTTGACCTCAAGCTCCTTCCACCAGCGCGCGGTCCCGATAACAATCGCTCCATGCGCGCCCTCCCCGCCTCTACTGTCTTTTGCAATCCCAAGCCGCACAGCACCAAAGGCACCACCCTTACCTTCTCAAATCAAATCATACGCCCGACCATTCTCACCCGCAACCAAACTCCACAATGCCCGCCGACCCCAATCCCGCAAATGCAAGTATATCGCACCGCACGTACTTCTACCCGCTACCGCACCCACTGCCGCCAGGAACGCCTATTCCGTACTCCGCAGGCCTGCCCTCCCAGAACCCGCTCGACCTTCCCGCAACGCCCGTCGAGCCCACGTCCTCGCTCGTCCTGACCAGCACGACCAAGCAGTTCATCGACGTCCGGGTGTTCAAGCCAATTCTGGAGGAGGACCCGGAGTTGCCTAATGAGGGGGGTCCGAGGGCAAGGTGAGTTGCTATTCCTATCTTTGCACTATTATGCCTGGTGCATGTGGCTAGATGGACAGGACACGTGACACCCAACCTGCATATACTGCATACCCTCCCATACCAAGAAGAAAGAGATGTAGACTAATACGTATGCATGCAGACTCGACTGGGCCTTCGCCGGCACCTCATACTCCGTTCCCATCCCAGACCCATACCCCCACGGCGTCACCGAGCACGCTGCCACCGCATCCCGCCACGCAGAGCACCACCGCGCCTGGCCCGCGCCCATCACCCACGCCACCTGGACCCACTGGCTCGACAGCCGGCATCCCATCTCCTCATCCCCTACCGGCATGCCAAAAGACGAGGGCACTATGTTCCCGCTGAGTGCTACCCAAACGCTGGAGTTCGGCGAAGGGATTAATCCGGCCACAGGGAAGATGTGGGCGTATGAGGAGCTGTGGACAGATGAGGCACCGCGGGCGGCGCCAACGAGGGAGGAAGCAGACCCGCTGGTGTACTCGATTGTGCTGCGGTGCGAGGATGAGGCGCACGATGTGCGGGGCGTGGTAATGCGGCTGGGGAGGTACTGCCAGGGTATCTTGATGAAGGGGGGTTATGTGAGCGTGGAGCGGTGGGAGTGGGTGGTTGAAGATGGGCTGGACAAGGAGGTCGGTGGGTGGAAGCGCAGCGTCCGCATCGGCGACCAGTTTCTCCCGTGCGCCCCCACCTTCACTCCCGCGGTTCTCAGTGTCGGCGGTAAGGTACGGTACTGGGACTACGAGTGGGTTTGTGAGGAGAAGGTCGCGTGGAGGGAAGGTCCGGGTGCTACGGAGGCAGGGGTCAGAGAAAGGCAGGAATGAGGCCTTGGGGCTGGGATGGGGGAGAGATAAGACGTGCAGTCTACTAGGTGCGCGATTCGTTGGAAGCAAAGGGTTGGGTATGGACAGGATCGAAATGGGTTCTTGAATGGGAATAGGAGGGGACGTGTGCGATCTACCTGCCTCTCCGCACTGAACATACCAAGATGACACAAAATAGAGTCGTCAATATACTTCTACTCCAGAAGATTTTCGCGTATCCAGTTCTCTTGTGATCTGCCTGATGAAGCTCATCGCGCACTACAAGTTGCGACCATATGCAGATGTTCGGGTGCTCGCTACCTTATTCACACTCTCACGAACAACGAAAGCACTCCAAAAATCATTGCAACGCAACTACACACCCAGATGCACGCAAACTCCACACACACACTATAGTGATGTTATGCAACGCCTAATCTGCTATTTGAAGCATTTGAATGCGGTACCCACTAAGCAATGTCCTGTTCATCCTGTTCATGTAATCCTCCGTGACCTATTCGTTAAGCTATTTATACGCCATAGCGCCGAACTTTTGTCATTCCAATGCATCGATAAGAAGATGATCAGGCTGGGATTTCAAGTGTCGCCAGCGGAAGGCAGAACGGTCGGTAGAAGACGACCGGGCCGCAAGCAATCAGCAATCGTGTCGATTGCAAGCCCGAAAGATAGTCAGATCACACCCATCGTCCACACCTAGCAGCAACCTCCGTCCAGACATGCCCCCTCTACACCATACCATCCACCTCCATCCCCTCACTCTCATCCCCACCATCTACCTCCTCGCCCTCCCTATTCGCCACATAACTATCGCACTCCCGCGCCGCAAAAAGCGCAAGTTGGTACAGCATCTGCACTTTGTTGCCACCGCTGGGAATCCCCTTCTCCCGCACCATCTCCCGCAGCTTCGTCGCCCGCAGCGCCTCATCCGCGTCCTGCAACCGCTTCAGCAGCACCGCCTTCGCATCGCCCTCCTTCCTGCCGACATAATCGTTCATCTTGCGCGCGCGGCAGAGCATGCGCAGGTCCGCGATGCTGAGCACGCGCCGCGGGTCCGGCGTCTCCTCCGTCACGTTGCGGAAGTGGCGCAGCGCAAAGTCCTGGCGCAGCTTGAAGTTCTTCTCCGCGTCCGCCTTCTTCTTCGCCTTCTCCTGGGCGGCGGCTTCTTTCTTGCGCAGGTACTCCTCCGCCTGGCGCGCCTCGAGCGCCTTCTTGGTCGCCTGCTGCGTCGCCCGCGCGTTGGAGGCTTTCTTCTTTGCGGCTTGCTTCTTTGCTTTCTCGAGGTTGAGGGCGGCCTGGCGCTCCGCGGCCTCGAGCTTGATGCGCTCCTGTTCCGCAGCGGCTGCCTCTTGAGCTTCGCGCTCGGCGTCGCGCTCTGCTTCTTTCTCGGCACGGAAAGCGGCCATCGCGGTGTGGCGGGCGGCTGGGTCGTCGTCGACGTCGCAGGGGATGGTGGCGGTGCCATCGAGCAGGGCGGCATAGCGCGCATGGCAGGCTTTGCCGCTGAAGAGCGAGGTCTTGTTCATACGGCGCATCCACTCTGCGGTCTTCTTGAAGCGCCAGGCGCGGAGGCGCTCGATCTCGTAGGCGATTTCAATCGACGCAATGTCGTAGGCGCGGAGGAGGAGGTGGTCCTGGGTGCTGTCAGATTGGGGTTTCTTTCTTGGAGTATGGGAAAGGGCTGGGGAACGTACATCTTCCATCTTCCACTCGATGATGCCGTTCTCAAGCTCGAAGTCTGCGCGCTGTGCCTGCACGACTTTGATGCGCTGGATGCGGGTGGATACGCTCTTTGAGTCGTACTTGACGCGCTTGGCCTTGAGCAGGCGATCAGCGATCTGCTTGTCGGAGAATCTTGATCCCATCAGTTCCTAATCACATTTCAAGCGCCGTCAAGGCATTTTAGAATGCAACTCACCCCTTCTCTCGCATCACCATCATCAGCTCGTCGTCTGAGTCAAGCTCATGCGACACCTTCTTGTGGTACGCCGGCAACGTGCTGCCCTTCTCGCGATTGATTTTACCGAACGTACCCGCGAGCCGCGATGGACCGGTGTACGCGATACCTACATCGTCTTCGATATGGTAGTTGACGGAGTCATCGGCGGTGACGCGCTGCGCGGAGCGCTCAGCCGCGAGAGTGGTGTGGCGGTAGTGCGCGGGCTGAGTGTTCTTGGAGCGAACGGCGAGGGTGGTTTTGGACCGCTTTGCGCTGCGAGCACCATCGTCGGCGTAGAGATCGTCGTTGGCGGCGTTGGCGCCGATGTAGTCGTCGTAGCCTTGGAGACGCACGGGGGAGCTGTCGCGGACGTAGTCGCCCAAGTCCTGGAAATTCAAGTCCTCCTAGTCGACGTCAGGAGTTGACTGTAATGGTGAATGTGCCTTTGCTTACATCGAAAGTCATAGGGTCGGACAGATGGATCTCATCGTAGTGCGCGACACCAATATCCTCGTCCAGAGCAGCATCGTCGCTAAAGGAGGCCACGGAGTGGTTGTCACCGCCGATGTCGTCATCTTTGATTTTGCTTGTGTTAATAGTGGTTGCTGGGTATACTCGCAGTTGACAAAAACAAAAAAGTGTAAGGGGCAAATCAACTGTGTACCTACCAGATAGGTCAAGCATGAACTCGTTGCCAGGCTGACCGTCGGGCGCCATCTTGTGAGCGTGGTGGATGTCGGTCAATGAATCGTAGTATGTCGTGTGTTCGATTTGGGCGGAAGGTTTTGAGGTGGTCGGCGTTGTTTATCTGCTGCAGGTGACGGCGAGATTTCGGGCGCGGTTGCCGGGTCAGTAAATCGTGGTGAGTGGAATCAAGCTCAACTATAAGTGAAGGCAGAGCAGACTTTGAGGTTCGTAACGTCAGTCAAGTCGACCGTGAAGGCTTTAGAAGGCCAAAGTGAGTGTTCTGAGTTGCACCAAGCTGCGAGGAAGTAGTAAGGCGCGCTCATGATTCAGCGCTCAGCGGCTGTAGTCTCGTGTTGAGCGATAGACCACCGTCTCCATCGATGATTCTTTACATACGATTCGATTTAGAGAGCGTCCACCAACTGCCGTTTCGATGCAATCGTCATGATCGTGCGAGCTATAGAGTTCCTCCATACAACGGCTTGCCCCTTTCAAGGTTTAGCTTGTTAGGCGGTGATGCTCCAAACGACGGTATTCTCCTCATCTATATCACAGTGAGCATGTTGTGCCTTTGATGACCTCCATGAACCAAAAGTGGAAATCTATAGCTGCATTAGTAACGCAAGAAGACATCGGAATGATTGCCCCGCTTCTGGGTAAGTCGAGATGGAAGGACCTTGCGCCGGCCGAGGACGAGTACTCGTGTGTGTCGTGCGGCAACGCAGTATTTCTCCACGGGGAGTTGTCGAAAGCTCGTAGCATCAATATACCTGCATCGAAAGTGGTCAAGAAGTTTATAATTCGAATCTTGTGATGCTCTGATAATCATCCATTTTCATGACCGTACGAGGCACGGGTATGCATGTCGCCGCTCATGATGAATACGTTCCTGTGGAATGATGTCGCAGTATCCGGAAGCACCTTGATACATTTACGGTTCCAAGCTTCCTCAGACTGGCGATAACTGAATTTCAAACGTTGGCGAAATTGATATCTCCGACGTGCTTCGCACCTGTGGCTGGGGAAACCCTCAGTCTCAACTCTCCATCCCCATAGTAGATGTTTCTTCAATTGCCGTCCCAATTCACAAGGTTCGATCGCACTCAGCTCCACAGCAAAGTGAATCACCCTCACCCAGGATACCAACTGCAGGCGGAGAAGCTACTGCCTCAGATTGAACTGGCGTCGACGTACTGGAGGATGCAAAAGGGTTGAAGCCTAGAAATTGGAGTATGCCGCTTTCAAAATCATGAATTTTTATCAGTGCAGTAAGACAGGCGCATGGAAGCACGTGGAATGGAAGGAGACGGACTATGGCGTTCCTCGAGGACATGTGAGGTCAGGAAGTGTGGCTGAGTGTGGCGCTGGCTCCCCACCACATCCCTGCGAGATGACGCAACATGCTAACCTCTCACAAAGGTTAACAACCTGGTTCGCATCCATACGGCGCTGCAAGCGAAGCCCTGCGCCTGGATCGTCATGCGAAGGCGATAACAGCGCAGATCCCCAGATCTCGTCTCTTAGACGTCACAACTACTTTCCTCTATCCTCTAATTTTTGAAAATCAACTATCTCTCCAACGCTTCACTATACCATACCCCACGGCTGTCCACATACACAATGTCACTCTCCTACTTCAACGTCAAAAAGTTCCGCCGCCAATCCAAGCAGGCGGAACCAACAGAAGAAACTGTCGAAAAGGCCGTCGATGCCGCAGTCGGAAAGCCTGCGTCACCACCCGCGCCCGCCGTGAGCACGCCCAGCGAAGAGCCCGCCGCCTCGCCCGTCCTCGACGAAGAAGACGAGAAGTTCATGGCGCGTTTAGCTGCCATCGCACAGGAGCCGGAGGGCGAGCGCCCGCCGCTGCCCACGCGCCCAGCCGAAGTGGTTGAGAATGGTGAGAAGAAGGAGGGAAGGGATGCCCAAGAGGCGCTAATGGACGGCGCAGACAAGGTGCCGCTCCCCATGAGTCCGCCCGAGGTCACCGTGTCGGATGCCGACAAGCAGGGCCTGGGTAGGAAGAAGAGCGTCATGGGATACTTTGCACTGGCCCAGTCACGCTTCAAGAAGGCGACCGAGAAGAAAGACGCGGATGGTAAGGCCAAGGAGAAAGACCAGAAGAAGGCCGCCACCATCACGCCCAAGGATAAGCAAAGAGCCGCCGACGATCTCCTCTCTGCCGCTGAGTCCGCCAAGACCGAAGAGCAAAAAGAGAAGGAGAAGGAGCAACAAGACCTCACCGCTATCCTTGACGACCTCAACCTCTCCGCCGTTAACAACCGCGTCTTCTCCTTCAGCAAAGAGTCCGAGGAGCTCTTCGGAAAGTTCACCCTCGTCCTCAAGGACATCGTCAACGGCGTTCCAACTGCCTACGATGACCTCGAGAAGCTCTTCACAGAGTACGACGCCAACCTCAAGAAGATGTACGGCAACCTCCCGCCCTTCCTGCAGAACATGGTCAAGAGTCTGCCCGCCAAGATGACGGCCGCCCTCGGCCCCGAGATCCTCGCCGCAACCGCCGAGAAACCCGGCTTCGACGCAAAGCAGAAGCAGACCTGGCAAGACGGCGCGAAAAGCTACGCCAAGAAGAAGGCGAAGCAGAAGGCGAAGATCCCTAGTCTGAAGAGCCTGCTGTCAGCCGAAGGCGCGGTAGCCACCATGCTCCGCAGCATCCTGAACTTCCTCAAGCTGCGCTTCCCTGCCATCCTAACCGGCACAAACATCCTCATGAGTCTGGCCGTGTGCCGTAAGTCCCTTCACCCACCTGCCCACCCCAAACTACAGCCTTGACTAACCATCCACAGTCCTCCTCTTCGTCTTCTGGTACTGCCACAAGCGCGGTCGCGAAACCCGCCTCGAGAAGCAAGAGCGCGAGAAGAACAACCTCACCGCCGAAGGCCCTGAAGGTGGTGATTCCGCCCTTGCCAGCAGTGCCTCTTCTATCGCCTCGGACGCAGACTCCATCTTCGCTTCCAACGCTAATCTCCGCGGCCACGGTAACGGCGAGTCGAGCAGGCAGGGCGCGCTGCAGGAGGAGACGCAGCCGCCGCTCGTGATCTCGGATGAGCGTGGGCAGGGGCTGGAGCAGGAGAAGCCGCGCGCGACGGTAGCGGATCTGCCCAGTGTGAAGGATTTGCCTGATCCGGCGGTCGCGAGGTAAGGAGGGTGGATGTGGCGGTTTGATTTGGTTTCAGAATGATATCCCTTTTTGTTAGTAGCGATTTTAATGTGTAATGAGTATATCAATGATCACCATGTTCTGTATCATCTGTTAGCGTTGCCAGTGCTTGTTCAATCTTTCTTCATGGGTATGAGCGGTTTCTGGAGTATATACGACTTGAATGACTATCTAGGAGGAATGTTGTCATCAACCTACATGTCCTTGCGCACAGCTACATGTGCGAAGCCACGTGGGAAATAAGTTTCAGTTGTAACGTTAGTAGCGCCTAATCCACTTGTTGAGGTTGTGCTTGAATTATCAGGCTAACATTGTTCAGGGCTGTGTGTAGTGAGCCACTGTCACATGTTCGCAATATTGTGGGGCGGAAAAGAGGCAAAAGTCTTTCGTGGAGGGCAATGGTAAGGGCAGGGGTACTCCACGCAGCTATCCGATGTTTTCTGGTAGATTGTCACTCATGCAATGTCCTGTATACCTTCCTCTACGCCGGACGCATGCTCTCCATCTGCTCATCCTCGCTGCCTTGCGCCTCAATCTTTTCACCGATCGCCGGCTGGGCAGATTGTGGCTCCTGTTGTTCATTAGCACGCAATCGGTTCATGATGTATCACTTAAGACACCCACTCGAAGTGCTTCTTAAACCTAAGTGGAAAAATGTCTCCCCATGGTGATGTGATGGTAATGATATAGGAGGGATATGGATCATCAACCAATGGTTCCGGATACTGATGGAGTTCATTCATACCAAGATAATCATCACGTGACGCAAATTTCCTGGGAACGTGCTCATGTCATCCCTGGCTATGCGGCATCGCATTGAAATTGAATTACTACTCATAGTAGCTCAAGCAAATCCATGCGTGAAAAATAGGATCCGGACCGCCGAGAATGCTATCGTGACATGACGGTTCTCCCGTGCCCACGAGATGGCAGGCGCACACATTCCGCCGCTCCTTCCTCTTGACGACCACAAGCTCCATCACTCAATCCAGAGTGACTCACACCATCAAGCCAACAGAATATTGGTATCGTGCTCTGTCTATTCTACACATATCCCCTACAACTGCGCCATCCAACGCAACCCTCACCTCCCCTCAAAGCTCCCCCTCCTCCCCCAATTCCTCGGTTGCCTCTTCAAGAACGCCCCCACGGCCCCAAGATACCCCTCATGCCTTAAGAAATACGCCTGCTTGCTGCCCTTCGACCAAAATCTAATCGCATAACTTAGCGTGTGCATCGTCTGCGCATGACCCCCGATGAACGACCCGCCAAAGTATATCTTCTCGAGATTGTGCTTCTCGGCGTGGAGATAGGCGATCTGCCCGATGTTGTTTGACACGGCGTACAGGAGGGAGCGGGAGATATCTTCGGGGCGGAACTTGGCGGGCGGGTGTGGCAGCTCCGAGGAGCCCGCGACGTGGTCGTGCTCGGAGTAGTGCGAGGAGGCGCCGTTGCCGCAGCCGTCTTCGGCTTCGTCCTCAGCGGCGCGCTTCATCTTGTAGACTTTGCCGAAGGAGGAGGCAATGTGCGTGCTCTTGAGGCCGATCTTGTTGTACCCTGCGCCGTAGATGTCGCCAACGAGGAGGTCGACCGTCGAGTTGTCGCCTTTTTCGGCGAGCTTGAGCATGTCATCGAAGTTGCGCGCGCCTGTCAGCAGGGACAGCAGGCCCCAGAGGGTTCCGCCGCCGAGCGATGTGCCGCCAATACGCTCATACTGCCGCGGCCCCGAGACCTTGACCATGGAGACGCCGGAGCCGATGTTGACGAGGAGGTAGGGGTATATGGAGGGCGGTTGCGGCGGGTACGGTATGAAGTCCATCGGGGACTCTTCGCGGTAGGTAAAGACCTCGTCTGGGATCTCTGTGATGAAGAAGTCGAGACCTATGGCAGATGTGGGTTAGCCGGCTGCAGGCTCTCTGCTCGAATCACACGCCGCACCTATTATCAGACACTCCATCTCATCCTCCCGTATGACTTCTACGCCCAGCGCCTCCCGTATCTTGTCGTAGAACTTGAAGGCGCCGCCGCCCGTCGCCATAACGCAGAGCTCTTCGGGGCCGGAGCCATTCTGCCGCCGGTAGTCGGCTTGCAGCTTGTGCATGAACTCGATGCATGAGTCTATCCTATCCGTCTCGAACTTGAGGAAGTTGAGTCGGCCGCCCAGGGAGTCTTCGGGTTCGCGCGAGAAGTAGACGAGCTTGGCCAGGGAGCCTCCGATCTGGGGTCGCGTTAGCGGGGTCCCGAGGTAAAGTCAAGGGACGTCTTGCATCAACGGCGATATGGCTGACCACGGCCGTGTGGTTTGGCAGGCGGATGTCGCGCGGGTCGTGCTCGTAGTCGTCGCTCCGGGGCGTGGTCGGCTCGTCGCTGACGATGAAGGCACCCTGCACGTTGATGCGCACAGTGCCGGGGTGCAGGATAGTCTCGTGTATGTCGGATTGCGCTGTGGTGCGTCGCGGGCGCGTCGGTACATCAGACGGGCTATATGCTGCGGGTGTACTCGCAGCACGCCCGGGTTCGCCCGCCGTGGGGTCCGGGAGGGTGGTGGAGGGCGACATGGATGCGCGGGGGCTTGGCTGCAGCCTCGCCCTCTTTGTGCCACGACGGTGCAGGCCGCTCAATCGACGCCGGACTCGGTGCGCCTGCGATGCAAAGTATGAGGTGGGCAGGAAAGGGGTGTTGAGCGACGTCGCGGAGGGCGGAGAAGACGTCCCTACAGCTTCCATTTGCCCGCTTTGTCAGAGGATTTCTTGCTGGGGGAAACGTGATGGAGCGTTCTGCGAAGAATGGATCCTGTAACCGAGCCGACGGAGGGCAACATCAGACTTGACGGCGACGAGTACTCTTCAGCTTCAGAGGACCGTGACGGCGGAGACATGGCTTTTACAAGTCGCATCATGTCCCGGCCGCCGCTAGTCCGGCGTGGAGCTGATGGATAGCTCGGTAACCGTGGTGCGGTGGTGGTGGTGGTGCGCGCTGCACCTCGGGTCAGAATCTGGGGTACCGCGGCGCGTTTTCCGGCCGAGAGGCGGCATGAGCAGAGCAGCATATTGATGGGCAACTGTCAAAGAGAAGGTGCGTACAAGTGACAGACTTTGACAGCTCGCAGCCGGCGCGTGTGCATGTCGTCATTGCAGAAGCAAATTTCCGATTAGGAAGGAGCTCACGTGCGTGCAAATTGGCCATTCCAAACATCTTGATATCGTACAATGTGAGCGAAGCACTATTCGACATCTCCTCCCATGGTTCGTCGCAGCATCAGAACCTCATGCTTTGTGACGAAGACGCTGCTGCGTGCTGCGTGGGCGTCCGCTGCATCTCCCAATCCAAGGTCATCTAGCGCATCAACCAAGTCTCGCACCTTTGCACACTCTCACTCGCCCGAAATCGCCATCTAGAACACTCGCTTGATCCCGACCGAATTCATGTAAGCGATGCAACGATAGCACGGCCGGTTTGCCAGCACCGAGGGCTCCGGCCCAGTGCCTTGTGATGCGATGTTTGCTCCAGAGGGTCGACCTAGGGCCAGAGTTGAGAAGCTCCTCGTGCAGTGAGCCTGTCGCTTGTTTTGCTGTGGTCGTCTCCGGAAGCTCAAGCTTAGCCAGGGCTCGGACCGCTCTTCGCTGATGACTGCCATCCAAGTTGCGCCACATACAGATCCGCTCCATTTAGACGGGGTGCTTTTTGCGATTAACAGTCGATGGCTTCTTCTTGCCGGTGCGACCCTTGGGTACCAGCACAGGATTTGACTTTGGGTGGGCACTGGCTGAACACGGCTTCTTCTGTTTCTATTGGATTGTTCACAGCTGCAGCTAATGGATCAAAACCAACCCTACATTATGATGTTTGACTGAACATGTAGTCATGCCGGTTGCGTGGGGTGCACCGATCGTAATGGTAGTATCGCCTAAGGAACAAACAAACGGGAGCAATGGCAGGGAGCCATAAGAGTCTCCTGCGCCGACAATTTACGCGCATACTGTCGGCGGTGTTGTTTCTGATGTCGATGACTCTCGTGATGATTTTCCTCCTGTTGGCGGTTCTTCTGATTCTTTCTCGGTGTTTCTTCATACTGTCCTCCATAGGCGCGTGAAACACATGACCTCGCGTCAGATCCGGCGCCACGTTCAGAAATGTCTGATTGAGATGCAGCGCCTTCAAATCGCCACTCTTGAACCGGTCGACCGAGACGTTGTTCCGTGGACTGGGCGAGCGCCGTTTTGCAGATGGTCTCGACGTAGGTTTTGATGGCGTCCCGTCGTAGTCGAGTTTTTCGTTACGATATCTTAAAGTACAGTTTTTGAGAGGAAACGTTTGTGGAGGCCAGGGTGGTGGAAGTCGAGAATGCAGAGTGGATGGCCATCATCTCAAAATGCATAGACAGCGGCGTGTTAACAAGTTTACCGCCGCCCACGGCCTCGAGCGGCGTAAAGGTCGTGACCTCCTCACTTGCATTCTTTAAATCTCGCGTGTGCTTATGCTTTTTCTTTAGCTCAGCAAGGGCCGCCGGGTTCAAGGAGCGGACAGGTAGGACGCCAGTCTTCAAAGCGCCACCATTGAAGCCAGCGCGATGATCGTTGAAGCCCTGTCCGATCACTTTGCCGCCGCGCACAATGATACATCCATGGTGTTAGCGAAGCGCATACTGGGCAGCCGCCTCAGGCCATAGGTTCTGGTAGTAGTCAGTCTTCATGTTAATGGTTCTGGATTTCGAATTGGAGCTGGGTAGGTGGCAGTTGTCAGTGCAAACACTGTAGAATTGGGTAAGCAAAGTTGATATTTAGCGGTTTCGCTGCTGATGGAGTGATGTTCTTTGGATAGCGTTGGCTTTCTGTAGTGCGCAAGGTTCGATGCATGTCGTGGTGGTCAATCGACTCATTCCTTCTAGATTTGGCTAGTGTCTTGGCAGAGGCTCAATTGCGACGTCGCTCCGTCATTCACAGCGCGTTGCTACTTTCTCTTACTCAAGACACATCCAGTACGTCCATAGCGCTTCGATGTCATACTCGGTATGCCATTCCACGCACATGCCATAGCTTGCATCATTAGCTTCCTGAATTATCGTGATAAGCCATCGAAAATACGAGACGCACGCAGTAAGCCGAGCTATCCCTGGTCGCCAGGTCTGGATGCTGCGCGTTTATCTTTGGGCACATGCGGCTTTCAATGTTCCCCTGGGAATGTGTATATCATAGGTACTTGTGGTACCGCCCTACTGGGTAAAAAGCCACCGGGCCTACAGCAAATCCACACACTTGGTTCATGTGTAGCATTGATACATTGAAGCGCCTCAGTATACCGCTTCCTCCTTCAGGACGAAAGGAACTTGAAGCGCAGTCTGGAATACCGAAAAACTAGACGGCTCCCCATCGCCCGGTGAGTTTCGTTCGGATCTTGTGTATCGAAAGAACGAAAGTCGAATTCGGATTGTACGAAGTGCGATTCGGTGGGTACACCTTTGACAGGGTGACCCGACTCTTTTTCCGGAGGAACACAACCTTCCCGCAATGCCGTGCCGATATTACCGTCTACCCGGGTGCGCTTGTGGCTTTTGTACTCCAGCCACATATCTCGGTATCCAACGACCAATAGCAGACAGATGCTATACGAGGCCACAATTAGATTCAGCACTCAATCGTGGGGACAATGTTAACCTTCTAGAACCCCATGTAGAAGTGAGTTGTATTCGATGTCAGAGGTCTTTCGTGAATTCTTTCTTTATCCGCTATCACACGTTTTTCATTTCGCCTATCATATTGGTTCATATACACAGAGAGGATCGATGACATTCGTATAGCAATTTTTATCTGCGTATGTCACGGGTGCCGTACGAAATTCCTGGCAGATGCATTGCAACATGCCGCCTTCTCCTGCCGTGCAATACTAACAGCGGCGAGGCTTTGAGTACATTGAACATGTACTTATAGCCGCGCCACACGCTCTTCAGACACTGCCTAGCTTCCAAGCCGTCGACCAGCCGTAAAGGAACACCATGGCCTACCATATACTCCTGCTTGCCTCTTTGGGCATATGGCTCTCCAACGCCAGTCCGGCCACCATCTCCAAGCGTGCCGCCCTCGACGACTGCCTCAAAACTGCGTCTGTCCCGACACTCGCCTCTGGCTCCGCTGACTACACCCAATCGTTGAAACCGTTCAACCTGAGAGTAACATTCAAACCAGCGGCTTACGCTGTACCGGCCACCGTGAAACATGTCCAAGATGCTGTTGCTTGCGGAGCCAAGAACAGTGTCCAGGTCACTGCTAAATCTGGCGGACACAGCTACGGCTCGCACGGTCTTGGCGGCGAAGACGGCCATCTGATCGTGGACATGCGGAACTTTGCAAGCGTCACCGTTGACCAGACGGCGCAGACGGCAGTGATTGGGACTGGCGGAAGGCTGGGGGATGTGGCTACAGCACTTTACAGCCAAGGAAAGCAGGCTATTAGCCATGGAACATGCCCTGGGTACGCACATAGCTTCTGGGCATATATCAAAACTGATCCTAATGTATCTGCAGTGTGGGCGTCGGCGGCCTCTCCCTTCACGGTGGCTATGGCCTCATCTCTCGCCTCAAAGGACTAACGCTGGACAACATCCTCTCCGCCGACGTCGTCCTCGCAAACAGCACGCTCGTTACCGCCTCGCCAACCCAGAACGCCGACCTCTTCTGGGCGCTGCGAGGTGCAGGCGCCGCCTTTGGGATCGTCACAAACTTCAAGTTCAGGACATTTACCGCCCCTGAGAGCAACATCGTCTTCAACTACTACTTCTCGCCCTCATCCGCGACGGCGCTTGCGACGGCGCTCACCGCCCTTCAAGATTTCACTCGCAACTCGCAGCCACCGGAGCTCAACATGCGCCTCTTCCTGTCTGGCTTCACCACCTTCTCCGGCGTCTACTATGGCACGCGCGCCGACTACGACAAGCTTATGAACCCGCTGCTCTCTAAGATGGGCATATCCAGCGGCAGTGTGAGCACCAACACGTGGCTCAACACCCTCACGTCCTTCTCCAACGGGCCGCTCAAGCAAGTCACGCCCTACGACACGCACGAGAACTTCTTCGCCAAGTCGCTCATGCCCGAGTACCTGTCCCCCGCCGCCATCACCGCCCTCTCCAACTACTGGAGCGCGAACGCACGCTCAAACTCCCGCTCATGGTACCTCTTGTTCGACTGCCACGGCGGCAAGGGCTCCGCCATCTCCAACGTCAGCGCCGACGCGACCGCCTACGCGCACCGCAACGCGACGTTCAAGATGCAGTTCTACGACCGCATATACAACGGCAACTACGACAGCTCGTGGTTCGGGTTTTTGAACGGCTGGATCAAGGCGATCAGCGATGCGAGCCCAGGAGTCAATTTTGGCATGTACATCAACTATGCGGATACGAGCTTGACTAAGGACGAGGCGCATAGCCATTACTGGCTCGGAAACTATGAGAAGCTTACGAAGCTAAAGGCGGTGTGGGATCCAACGAAGGTGTTTGAAGGGCCGCAGTTGGTGGGGAGTTGAAGGGTGCGGTGATGGATGAGAATGGGTGGGTGGGATTTACATGCATGCATAATAGACTATCGGTGGGGCTCTAAGCTGTAAAACGACGCTGTTGTGAACGTGTTCTCTTCTTTCGGGTCGCGTTCATCACGAGAGGTGTTAGTAGAGGCGAAAATCGTTGAGGTGCCGGTGCCTAGCGGCGCGCACAAAGGCTTCCGCTATCGAAGTGTATGCTCGTCTGCGGGTTGTCGTTAGAAATAAGGTGCACCGATGTGCGTGGCTCACTGCAACCCAGCGTAGACAATCCCCTTCTGAGCGTAGACAGTCTTCTTCCTCGGCTCCATGCCACGGCATGAATGTAAGTGAAAAAGGGCGGGCCCATATGTCCCGCGCGAGCCTAAAAGTCGCGCACATTCAGAAGATTTGATTGTCGCGTGTTACCGCGCTATATAATTATCATACGAATGGTCGACCCCAGTAGCACATCTCGAACCGTGTTACGGGCTCGAGGCGTGCTGTGGAGGGATTCCTCAACGCGATCGAGCCAAACATCACCCGGTGAGACAGAGGCTGTAAGAGATGGGTGTCGAACGGTAGATAATTGCTGACTCTGGCTGACCAGACAAACCCCCTAGGAAGCCAACCTAATCGCGGAGTGGACGTCCCTAGGGTTCCCAATTTGCCTTCAAGCTAGAAAGCCCTTGGCAGAGAGAAAATAAGTGAGGCCGGGAGATAGTAGTGCTCTTATAGAGCAGGCGGTTGCCTGCCTAGGCCCTAAATCCGACGTTTGCATGGTCCGTGCCCACTCGCTGCGGCGAGGGTGAAGGTCGAGCGCGCGACCGCAGTCTCTTGAAAGAGCAGTTTGAAGCATTGGGCGGTTTTCCTGTGCGCTAGATTGTCGCTTGAAAAGATACGTCTCTACACACAGAGGTTACGAGCGCTACGTAGCACCACTCTCACTGAGGCTCGAGAGACGACAACCTCACTTGGCACAACCATGACGGCGACCCGGACGGCGGTACAGACCAACTGAGGTCTCCACACGGCGGCCCCGTGTGTTCGCTCTTGCCTGCTCCGGCCGTTCCTCCAAGGTCGGATTTCGAGAGCAAGACGCGTTCTGCGGCGCTGAAGAAGATCTGGTGGGTCTCCTTTTTTGACAATGTCCAGGCTTGTGATTAACTCATCTTCGACCGGTCTCCTCGAGCACAATTCCTCCCCTTAGTCACTCTCTTCCCCTATGCCCCTTCCTAACCGGATGTCAGACACGCGCAAATGATCGAATAGCCACCTGCTTCATGACTTACGCCTCAAAGTCCTCGTCCGACATGCATTCCAGACTATAGATTCAGCTAGTGGATCCTAAAGGCGAGGCCATAATTCGGTGAAAACTTACCACTGCATGCACAACTCTCGGTATCGCGCGCTTGCTCTCTTTCGCCTTGTTTTATTAGGCTTGAACAAGCAGAGAGCCGAGTGCGTCACATACAATCTCACATTCTGCATATACGGTTCCTGGAGACTGTGGATCCGGTTAATTCGACGGCCGAGTGCTCTGCCCCGCTCGAAGACTTACTCCTCGAGTTGTTTGTGTAGTGAAACGATATCCAGAGGCAGCTGTACGGGTCCTGCCACGGTACTGAGGCGAACCAATTGCGGTGTCGTGTTTATGCTCGGGTGCTAGAGAACGTAGTCCAGGTTGAGTGACGAGGTGGGCGGTATCTGGTCGTGAGCGGTTTCTGGGACACACACTCATTCACGTGATTTACTGTACGCGAAGCACTGTAAAGAGAAGGTACTTTGCTGTTTACTAAAACAATACGATCTATGGTTGAGGATGACATTTCTACGCCGCCTCATGGAGCGCAGTATCATAATACAGAAGTGAACGTAGAGCTTGCACTGTTGCAGCCTGTGAGCGCGTAATGTTCAAAGGTTATCACCCGTATTGTATTCGTGCCCCGGTGAATGCGAAAGAATGCTACTATCGCGGCCGGCGGTCTCAAGCTCTTACAAGAATACAGGGAGGCAACCTGCGGTACTCTTTGTGTCAGTATCAGCAATAGCTTGGAACTTCTTGGGTTTTGTTGGTCTTTGGCTACTTTCACAGTAAGATAGCTCGGCCCTCGTACGAAAAGAGGGAAGTCACACGCAGCAGATACTGTTGCGTTGGACTAGTCACGTACGCGAAAGCTATCGTTGCGCCACCAAGTCTAGAAAGTAGCTGAAAGGAAAGCTGTGTTGATCTAGATGTTCTCCGCGGCGGGGCTGGATTATGTTCTGAGTGTGGAATACGAGCTGAAATGCATGTCCATTTGACCAATCGCATTCAGGTGGCATGAACTCCGTTCAATCAACTGCATATGCAAGCGAATATACAGATCGTGCTAACCTCATCGGGAACAATTATAGTGATATATGCAGCCTTGTCGTCCATGTGGTTCAGTATGCGTTCTTTGAGCTGACTGCAGTACTTCTATGGTTCTAGACTACTGGCTGAAGTCTTCACACCCTTTCAACTAACTGCGGGTCTGAGGCTTGCTGAAATGCACAAGTAGCGTGGAATTAATGGCGAGCTGATGCAGGACTGAAATCGTCTCTTCTTATCTTAACTCTGCAGATGAAAGAACATCAGTACATGGGCAGTTCAGCTCCACCAGGCATTAGATCAGCATGCATGAAACGCTGTCTATAACATCGTGCCCCCTCGGAAATCTCTACCAGAATATGTATCAAAGTCATTGCTGTTAGTTGTTAGTTTCCAGAAGACATAGTCATTGATCGATCCTTCACCCAGCTTCGGAAATCGTCATCAGTCACAAACCGCAGTACCACCACCATGGCGCCCATCACATCCCCATCCGGCCGTGGTCCCCTCGAAACAACCGGCCGCAATCTAATGAATCCTCACCACGACGGCATCATCCAGATGGGCTTCTGGGTCCCTAATCGCGCATATGCAACCGTAATGCACGTCTACCCTCTCCGCGCCGAGATCTCCTCCCGCCGGGACGGCAACACGCCACTGACTCTTCACCCCACCGTCCAAGCCTTCAAGACCTGGGTTGAAGCAAATAGCGTCTACCGCATGTGGATCAACTCCATGATCGCGCAGGCCAACGACTACGTCCTGACCTGTGGTATCCAAAACGACATAGGGATCCTGAAAGACGGAGATGGGCTTTGGATCCCAGGATTCGACTGGTTCTTCGAGGCGTTGAGCCTGATTATCCAGACGTCGCCGTCGTTCAACACGACGGTCCAAGTCGGCACGCCGATGAATGCGTTTCTGGCCGTCGGAATGGGGACGCCCGCCGGCGCCGCACTATTCCACGACGCAGCGTTCAATGCGCAGTTCAAGAAGGTGCTTGATGCGTGGAACACCTTTCTCAAGAGCGAGGCTTCGCTCGACAAACTCGACATCGCCGACCCGGAGAAACGCGGGTCCTGGATCTCGAAGAAAGCGTTCGACGCAGGTGTCTGGAACGAAATGCAGTACGACGCCAGCAAGCCGGGCTACGGCTTCGACTCGTGGAATTCCTTCTTCATCCGGCCTTTCGTGCAGGATGCGCGCCCGTTCCAAGGCGACGCGACACAAGTCGTTAATCTGGGCTGCGAGTCGACACCCTGGTCCTACGTGGATAATGTCAGCGCCGCGGACTCACAATTTTGGGTCAAGGACGTGGAGTACTCGCTCCCCGATCTGTTCGGTGGGCGGAAAGACATCGCGGGTCTCTTTGAGGGTGGACAGGTATACCAGGGCTTCCTATCCGCCACGCATTACCATCGGTGGAACGCGCCGGTGGAGGGAAAATTGATCGAGACGTGGGTGCAGCCTGGGACGTACTTCGCGCAAAGACCGTCACAGGGCGAGGATACGGGGACCTGGGAGGGTACGGAGAGTCAGCCGTACCTCGGGCACGTAGCTACGCGGGCTATTTTCTTGTTTGAGCATGCCACCATCGGCTTCGTCGCTATGGTTTGTATAGGTATGGTTGAGGTGTCGACATGTAAGATTGCGGAGGAGTATAATACTGAGGGGAAAATTTCGCCGATGAAGATTGAGAGGGCAGCTGAGATTGGACACTTTGAGTTTGGGGGGTCGACGCATGTTATGGTTTTCCAGCGGGGCAAGGTGAAGCTGGCGGATTGGGCGGTGAATGCGAAGATGCACCAGTCTGATCCGAAGCCGATTCCGATGGGGAGTGTTATTGCGACGGCGATAACAGCTCCATAAGAACGATCCTGTTTTGGCTGTAAGAGTCTTCAACGAAGATAAGGATTCGGTATGTCCCTACGAACCTCTTTCCCGCTTCTATCTCCCCTCTGCCATCCTTCTCCAGCCTTCTTAGTAGTAGTCTGCACAAACGGCCGGATTATCCAAATCTATCAAATCAACGACCGCCACTTTAGGCAACAGATCCACATATAGATATTATGAGTCAGTATCGTCTCGTCGCCACCGTCTCCGATGTTATTTGTGTACTCCTGCCTTATTCCACTGAGATGTTCTGTAGGATTTTCGGGGTCCCCAGCTCACTCAGTAATCCCGTGCCATTCCCGCCATTTGGCCCACCAGGCTGTGTCCTAGGGCCTGGCAGATTCGGTCCGTCGATGTGTGTGAGGCGCGTAGGGGAACCGAGTTTCTGCCATTCCATGAAAGCTTGTCGAGCCAGGGGTGGTGCAGATGAAAGAGGGTATCGCCGGGAAGAGGGTCCCGTCGAGCATCTATATGCCAATTAGCAAGGCACCAGATTGCCACGACTTGCCCAGTTACGCAGAAACAGACGAAAGAACAAACATCATATTCCTCCAACAGCCTGGTGCCCCCGCCAGATGCGGAAACTGGCTCCAGCAGTCCCATGCCGAGGTGTATTTTGCCATCACACTACACCTGTCAATATTGGCATGATTAATAGTCTTCAACGCGCTCGGATCGTGGATGCGCATAAGGCCATGGTCTAGCGTTGATACGTCTGCCAGCCAGCGTAGGGTGAGGCTGACGAACTGCCGTCTTTGACGAGAAAGTACATGCCGCCTGTGCCGTTGCTGCCGAAGTATTGGCTGTCCCACATGTCGGTACCGTACATGCGGCTGATGGCGGCGAGCTCTTCCCAGTAGCTGGGAAAGTCAGTGGGCTGTGGTCATTCGGCTGGTATGACTGTTTCTGTCTCTAGAGACATGGTCCTCACGGCATACGACCGGAACATCCGCATTCGGACCTAATAATTGTTTCATGGCGGTTAGGAGGTAGCGGCGGCGGGGCAGAACGGCGCCGACGCCGTGTACGGTAGCAGACTGGACGACGTGTGATCTTCTCTTCTCCAATCCAGCGATTCATTTTGAACTCTGCGCGGAAACTGCATTGGATGATGGTCAAGTACACTTGCTTTCAGTGAGCTGTGGGCATCTGGTGACCTTGATTGAGCGATTCGTTTCGGATACTTTGTCGGCTTTGGCCAATTTGGGATCATATCCAAGAACCAATACGGTAGTGTCACCTATAATAAGAATTCTCGCACGCACCGTAATGACTGAGCCATTTGTAAGTGGTACTCGCCTCATTGTTGTTGGAATATTGCTTAAGAGTGATGTATCGTCCGGGAGCGATGACGCGCTATGTACGTTGAGATGGTGGCACCTACCCACATACCTGAGGCGCTTTCCTTATCAGCTGCATCGGTCCTGCAACATGTCAATGCCATACTAAGGAAAATTTCAAGACTGGATAGAATGTATCATCGTCGAGAAGATGGATGGATGGTTATGATGAATAACTGAATTGAGGAGGCTGGCTGGTATTGTGACTTTTTGCTTCACATCTAGAATTGTACATCGCCATTGTGCCATCAAATCAATCTTAACAATCGAGACTCTTTGGCCGACTCCGACGACATATCCTCTCGCCTCTGTCTTCCCTACTGTACGCTCACTCTGGTGCCGTTGCCAGGCAACTTAGCCCGCATTAGCACAAACGGCCGCACCCTCCGATCCGTACCAGGGCAGAATGCCGCGCTGAAGGAGAGCTGGTTGACAGTGAAGTAGAGGTAGCCGTCTGCGCCGGTGGACACTGCATCTGTCAGCTTCCATCTCCCTTTGCTCCTCCCTTTTCCTGCCCTCCGACCAAACTTTAGGGAAGATAGACTTACTAGTATCCACCCAATTAATCGTTGAGTCTCGCACAAACAGTGTCGAAGAAGCATTATTCGGGTTGAAGAAGCTAATAGCGTTCTGCTCCATGTTTCCGGCGTAGACAAATCCGTTAGTGTCCGTTTCCATACCGTCACTGACGCCTTTCTAACCCCTGTTCCAAATCTCATTTTGCGCGAGTAGCTCACTGTGAAGACTGCGATCAAGCAGTCTCTCGGTAGAAAGAGAGTATAGTGTCCGGCTCCCAAAACTGGTCCAGTAGAGGTCATTGCCGTCCGCTCCCAGCGTAATCCCATCCGCGCCAAACGGCAGATAAGTAAGCGGCTGCCCAGGCCCAGGGATGTAATACGTCGGCTCGCCCCACACACTCGCTACAAATCCGCGGTTCGATCGCACCTCCGCCGCGCCGTCGAGATGTCGCCAGCTCTCGCCGGAGCCTAGATCTACGACGACGATCCCGTTGCGGCCTTCCGTCGAGGAGTCGGTAATGTACGCGACACCCTGCCCGCTTTCGGTTAATTGAGAGCGTAAGTCGAAGCGCACGTCATTGAGGTAGGAATCCGCGTATGCCACGGTGGATGGGAAGATGATAGTCTTAACCACGGCATCGGTGGAGAGGTCCACGCAGACGAGTTTGGGGCCACCGTAGGAGGCGGGCACAAGCGTGCTGTTGGGCGTGAGGGCGCGCCCAGTGTCGAGAATCCACAGGCGGTCGAGCGGGTCTAGGACGACTGATTGCACGCCAATTAGGTAGTTTTGGTAGTTTGCGCCCGACGCTGGGTATGTCGAGTAGTTGATGGAGCCACCTGGGGGACTGTTGATCTCGGCGGAGGGGTAGGCGCGTTCGGTGTTGTTGCCGATGAGCTCGGCGACAGTGTATTTGTCGTTGCTGCCGTTGTTGGTGTTGTTTGCGTCGAGGCCGGGCGGGTAGTTTGAGAATTTGCGGCCGGAGCGCGAGACGGTGATTCCTGGGCCAATGTCAGCATTTGTGAGGGACGTGAAGAGGGAAGGTACCTGTGGGCCACTGATCATTGTACAGGTGTACGACCTCGAGTGGAACTCCCGATCTAGTGTGGGGTAGCTTCCCCATTCTCCGAGGCATCTAACTCGGAAACGATGCTGCGGTCAGTAACGGTATCGACAACATGTTTCAAATCACGAAGAGAAGAAGCTGCACGATTGGTGTACCTGGCTTTACATTTATTGCTACATGGCGTCTGTCACAAGCTGCAGGTACGTCAACGGGCCGGGATGCTGCGTTTACCTTCCCCGCAGCTACAATGGAAGGGTCTGCGCGTCATGATGAAGTTTTCGAAAGAATTGACAAACATGGCGATCGTCAGGTCTGCATCGTTTCCGAGTTAGATGCCTCGGAGAATGGGGAAGCTACCCCACACTAGATCGGGAGTTCCACTCTAGCCTCCACCTCGTCTCCGCGCGACATGTTCCGTCCATACATCATCGATCGGGATGCCAAGCGGCGGAGCGCGAATCGTTAGGTCGCGCGTTCGCATCGTGAAAGTTATACAACTTCAACCCAACCAGCTCTTTACTTTGTCCTTCAGAGTTTGCCGTCCAGGCGAGCCATTCCAGGTAAAGCTCTCAACCGCCGCCCCTGTGGCTAGCTGTCCGTGAGCGGTAGCAGTTGCTTTCAATGATGCCTTCTCTAGCTCGATCTCCAAGTCGTCCTCTCTGATCGAGCTCTTCTTGCTACTCTTCGACACGATCGATATACACGGCTCTGACGACTTGATCACCGACCGTCCGCCGAACTCGTTGAAGAGTAGCGTTTGAGATATGTCGAGTGAGATAATCCAGTCCAGATATGATTTCACCTCTCCGGTTGAGGAGAACTTCAGCTGCCGTTGAGGGTCATGTTCCAGGTTCAACAGCTGAATGAGAGAGGGTGGTAAGGAAATCTTGTGCTCAGTGCCAAAGTGGGGCGGGCCAATGTATGTTCTTGTACCAATCGTGAGACTTTCTGGTGAGCTCTCGGTCGAGGAGGGAAGCGACAACGCGGCTCTCCCTTCGAAAGGCCGAATGAGAGACGCTAGGAGCTGATCGGTAGCTGTGAGATCTTTAGTTTTGGCCTCTTTAATTGTTGCGGTCAACTTCTCCAAGGTCAGCTCCCTGGTTGCTTCCAAAGTCACATCCAGTCCTGCGCTCTTGAGTGTATTTGCGACTGCTCTAAGATAAGCATAAAGCGAATCGACAGCGTTCAAATGACTGAACATGGCGAGTAGAGTACGCAAGAGCGGGGGAGGAGGCTGTTGGTGCTTGTGTTGTGTCATTGGAGGTGGGAGTCGGGTGCGCCTGAACAAGCGCATGCGATGTTCGTGTGCAAGCAGGATTCGCAAACCCTCGGCAATATCGTGCGCAAGCCAGTCCTGACTGCCGCCGTGGATCGAAAGGCTATTATCATCCTGGGCTATGCAGTCAATCAATAGTTTGCGATGAGTGGAATGTTCGCCCGGCACCGTGACGTGGATGACTGTGTCACGCAGTTCCACACCATAGGAGAGTAAGTTCCGACTCTCGAGGGACATTTCGTAGAACATTTCTTCCTCGAATAGGGATGCACGGGCAAGTTGAATCGATTTCTCGATGGCAAGTTCGTTCAGGGCGCCACGTATAGTTGCTTGGGAAACGCCTACAATCTTGTCGTTCTCGCTGATGCGCACGCGCAGCGTCTTTGGCTTGAGAGTGAGGGCGGGATCGAGGATAATGTCGCCGTCCTTGTCCATACGCAGCGGAGCCAAGCCGCGTGCTCTGAAGTGGTTGCTCGCTTCTGCGGGCCCGTACTTGACCGCGAAGGGCGCGTTCCGCACACCCCTCCGGGTGCGTTGCATCTGCCAGCCCTTGTCGGATATGGACAGGATCTCGTCCCAGTACTTGGTCTCCTTGCGGATGCTGCTCTCCAGGTCGGTGGCAGCCTTGAGCAGCGTGTCGGTGGCCCAGTCAAGCGCCCCCATGCGCGAGCCCTTCATGGCCAGCACCTTCCTCCGCTGGGTATATTCAATTCGCGCCCTCTCCTCGGGCCGCATCTGCGACGGATCCTGCTCGACAAGGGCTTCCTTGACCAGCCCCACCGAGCTGCGAGGCACATTCTGCGCCTGGAACATGGGGGTGTAGATGTTCTCGGACTCTTTCCTGCCCGGGTGTTTGGCCAGATCGCGGGAGAGGATGAGCGAGACGAGATTGAGCGCGTTGCCGGCTGCGAACGAGGCCCATCTGGACATGATCAGCGAGCACGATGCGGCAGGAACGGCGGACCTACTCGAGCTTGCTGTGCACCTCGACCCTCGCCTTGCCCAGCTTCTCCAGCATCGCGGCGTGCGACAGCACCTCGTCCTGGTCGCGCTGCTTCCCGCCCTCGACCGACTCCAGGATGGCATCGCGCCCGGCCGCGATGTCGTCGAGCAGCGCCTGCTCCTTGATGTCGCGCATCCATTGTTTGCGCTCTGCGGTGAGCTGCCCCACCTGCGCGAACATGTCCTCTGTGCTCAGGGCCTCCTTGGCGGGCGCGGGCCACGGCCGCAGCGCGACGGACGACAGCGGGTCTGCGCCAGACATTGCGGCGGGACGGCGGGCAGCGGGCAGCGGGGAGCGCGCTGAGGTTGCGCGTGTGCGGTGCTGCATCTGATGCAAGGGACGACAACGGGCGGCCGCGGCCGGCGCTAGGCGAGCTGTGGGGACCAGCGGTATCGATTAAGCTACCCCTGCCCGCAGCCTTTCACCGCATCGCACCGGCCTGCAAAAGACAGCTTGCCCCTCTCCGCCGTAGTCTGCTCACACCGCGGTCGGACAAGCCCTCCGCAGCCCAATTGACTCGCTGCGGCGTCACTAAAGTGCTCACGTGGCCCCTCGTCCCTTGTTTCTGCTTAGCGGCCTGCTCCTCCCACCTCCGAGACCCAGCCCTCTGCGCGTTCTTCTCTTCTCCGCCTCTTCTCAGCCCACCATGACGACCAGATACCGCGTAGAATGTAAGTCATGCGCTCAGACTTGGTGTTTGGCTCCAGTTTCACTGACACTGGCTCTCCAGATGCTCTCAAGGTTCGCTTGCTCACGTAGCTTGATGCCTGCTGACCCTGACATGCAACTCAGACACATCGACGAGACCAGTTGGTGCGTGCAAGAGCTATGGCCGCGGATGAAAGAACTTGGATCTGACGTGTACTAGATTGAATGGATCAAGGTACTAACATCACGCACTTTCAGAACCTCATATAGTAATGCTTGACCAGGGTCTGCTAGCAGTCCCATTCGTGCTACACTCCCAGCCCACCGCCGTCTTTGAACCCGATGGTGAAGCCGTCGAGGCCACTGCGACCCGGACGCAGCGACGATATGCGGAAATCATGCGGGATGTCGAAGACATAGTGAACGACCACAGTAGGATTGTACCACACCACATACTGTTCCAACCACTGACCACGTGCCCAGTCACCCACCAACAAACCGGCACCCAGCACCGCTCCAAACTCAAGCTCCTGGTTCCTCCTGTCGCAAACTTCTTCACCCCTCTCGCTCTCCACGATGCCTTCATCTGGCAAGACCAACGCCGTTTCATCAGCATGCGCCGCTTCGTGCCCCCCTCTTTCAACGACGTGCGCCTCATCCTCAACACAGCTCAAGTCATGTCCCTGGTTCGCAACGGCCCCATCGAGCTCGTCACCTTCGATGGAGACGTCACCCTCTACGACGACGGCCAGTGCCTCACGCCCGACAATCCCGTCATCCCGCGCATCCTCAACCTCATGCGTAACGGCTCCAAGATTGGCATTGTGACGGCAGCCGGCTACACCGAAGCGCACAAGTACTACGAGCGCCTGTATGGCCTGCTCGACGCCATATACGCCTCCGACCTCCCGCAGTCCGCAAAGCAAGGCCTGATCGTCATGGGCGGCGAAAGCAACTACTGCTTCCGCTTCGACGGCGGGGTCCCGGACATGCTAGCACTAGTACCAAAGCAGGAGTGGCTGCTCAAGGAGATGGTGTTGTGGGAGGAGAGCGATATCACGGCGCTGCTGGACATTGCGGAGGCGAGTTTGCGGGATACGGTGAAGAATATGCGCATGGAGGCAACGGTTGTGCGGAAGGAGCGCGCGGTGGGGATTATTCCGCGCGAGGGGCATAAGTTTTGTCGGGAGACGCTGGAAGAGACAGTGTTGATTGCGCAGAAGATATTGGTATGTCTCTACACAACGCCTTTCCTGTCCCTTTGCCTGATCCAAAACGTTGACTGTGCAACAGGAAATGTCCGAGGTAGGCACACGCCTCCCCTTCTGCGCCTTCAACGGCGGCAACGACGTCTTCGTCGACATTGGCGACAAATCCTGGGGCGTGCTTGCGTGCCAGCAATTTTTCGGCGGGATAGAAGGCAGCAAGACGTTGCACGTGGGCGACCAATTCCTCTCCGCCGGCGCGAACGATTTCAAGGCCCGCTTGGCGTGCACGACGGCGTGGATTGCGAATCCCTCCGAGACGGTGGGCCTGCTGGATGAGATGGCGGAGCTGGAGGAGGTGCAGGCGCGGAAGTTGAGATAGACGTTTGATACTCAGTAACAGGCCTAAATTCCGTCTCATATCCCTGTTTATTACAGACTCTCCACGTGGGCTCCTGGAACAACACCGAATACAGACATACCCTGGCCGTCACTTCCCGAAGTACCAGCTTAGAGTGACTCAGCGTACCTCCCCCGCCTACAACTAAGCCGCGATGCCACATCCTCGCTGGCCATCTTCCTTGTTTCACCTTTTTATGCGGCCTTCCATAATACACTCCTAGCACGTACATTCGTATCCAGACCGCTTATATCCGATATCAATTCCCCAAAATTCATGCAGTGAAACGCACGGGCTTTCCGTCATATTTGCTTTGGAATGTCGCTATCAAACATGGCAAATACTAGCTCCTGGAGAGGTTTCTGCACTGTCTACATAAATCTGGCACAGGGCTGTGCGTTCTGTGGCTGCACACAAAACCCTCACAACGTACTCTCTCCTTGGGATCCACCACACAACCTATTTCCTGACACCCTTTCTCAGCCACTTGAAATCCCAGCTTCGCACACTTTCTTTGGCATTATACGGGTTTGTCGTGTCACTCGTGAAGCACAACTCGAGCAGGACAACCTGCTGCATACCACCACAGTGCATCAAGAAGCGGCGAAAGCTGCATCACACGATACCCAAAACCGTCGCAACCAGCGGCTAGCTATGCCGCGCCGAGACATCGCGGTCCGTGACGAAAACATCGCCGAGAAGGACGTCCTCATCGCGCAGCAAGAAGACACCATAAAGGCTCGTGAGAAGACAGTTGACTAGCAAGACATGCGCATCAAGATGTACGAGGAATAGATCTAACTGAATGAAGAACACGAAGAGTCGCTCATCAAATTGTATGGAGAGGACAGGGAGATGGTCAAGAAGATCTATAGAGAGGACAGAGAGGCGAGAGAGTCGCTAGTCAGGGCAACTATTGAGGCGGTGGATCGGGAACTGAGCGCGGCCATCTATGATGGTGCTCTGAGCAGCGATGGAGAGCCCAATGACGATGGAGAGGGTGTCATAGCCGCTGAGAGAGACGATGCAGTGCTTCAAGTCGTTGCTGGACAACAAGTCGAGCCACGCTACGTCAGTCCCACCGCGACACACTCTCCGTCTTCTTCACTACATGTACTAATCCCGACAACAGAAACCCCACCGCCAACAACGATGACAACCTGAGCAACCCCACCACCAAGGAAGACAAACCTAACAAGTCTGCGTGAGGCCCGTCCCGATAGACTCTTCTTCACCGCCAATCACACATACCGATGCGCTTCGGACAGGAAGCACACTGCCGCCACTTCTTGAGCTGAGTCCGCGCGCTGGGTACGGAGTTGTGACAAGTGTCGGCCTAGGCTACCTTCAGCAAATGAATGTAGTAAGATATTGGGCGAGGCCAGTGGTCTCTCGCACTGTTTTCATGTGACCCCAAGAAGGTCGTATGAGGATGGGTGCCGGTACTGCTGGAGTAAGGAGACGATCTCACAGGTAAGTACAGGGTTCAGAAGTTACTAATTACTAATTGAGTAGATACTAAGTAGGGGGCATGGTATTAGGGGCCAGTAGTAGTAGAAGCGTGTGACCCATACCTAGAGTAATAAGGTAGACAGCAGTCTGGATTTGTCATCGTCATTATACCTAAGAAGGTCGTGCACAGCGGCTTGTCTCTACTTAAGTGCAATATCACTCCTCCCGTATTGATTGATACATAGTAATCGAACCTTCTACGGAGTACCGGAGTACCTTGGGGAGTCGAGCCGAACCGGGAGGATGTTACCTGTGGTTCATAGTCACGCCTGGGATGGAATCAACGAAGCATAAGAAAACACAGAATAGATACTCCTACGCTGCACTAGTTCTTATTGTATAATCGGTACTACAAGGCGCGCGTGAAAGTTATCGGTGCAAAAAGAGTCAGTGAAGTGGACGTCATGAGTCTTTCCGTACACACGACGCTTGAGAACATAACAGAGAACAACAGCCATGCACGCTATCGTCGTCCAAGTCCGTAATGTTGTTCCTGAGCTTCGTGTGGAACAGTGCAAGTGCGCGCGCTCTTCGTGACACAATCTTCCATGCTAGATTCACGCGCTGTTGCTGTACTACGCTGCTGCGTTCTCCCGTTCTAGAGGTGTCAGATGATGTGACGGCGGGGAGTGGAACCGAATCAGAGACTAACTGGCTAGTCCGTGTTATCCCGATCGTCGTCCAGAGCAGCGCTGGCGGCCGGGACGGTAGATTCATCGTTCCTACTGCCATGTGTCGCGCTATGACTAAGCTATTCAGGAGGCACGGAGAACGACTTACAATGCTCCAGCGCCCGCGTCTCGGCTGGTGGTCTGCTGTGAAGCAGGCATTGTAGTAGTCCTGCATATATATTAGAGTCTGGTATACGGGGTGCATGGCTGCGAGTTGTGCATCGACATACCCAGTCCCAGCGTCAATCCCCTTCGCCTCAAGCATCCCCTTCAATCGCGCAATCTCCTTATCCTTCTCTTCTCCCTGCCTATCCTGCTCCGCCACAATCTGCTTCAACAGCGCCTGGATTGTTTCATCGTTCGCATGGAATTGCGCGAGGTCGGCAATGTTTGCGCGAGACCGGCAATCTGTTGCCTCTGGGCTGCGACCGTGGTCTCAAAGTCGTGCTTATGCGCTTGGAGTACGTCGATGAGCTCCCTTTGGGACGCGATCGTGTGGGTTCGCAGTGCAATGTCGCGTTGGAGTTCGACTGCGCGGTCGGCTTGGAGTAGGATGAGCGCCTCGAGGAACTTCTCGCGCCGCGTAGGGCGGGTGCTGCGGGGAGGTAAGGGCCGGCGGATTCCGGATGGCATGGTATTAGGAGAGCCTTGGTTTAGGGTCCGGAGGTATCGTCTCTCGTGCAATGCTTTTCAAGTGCTTGTCGAAAGGGGCGTCATTCAAGAAGAGATGGTCGTCCATGTGATTCTGTGGAGCAGAGATGAGCAGGAGAGCGGTTGATGCATGGGCGGCAGCGCGGGAACTAGATCTGAGGCCCCAACGTGAGCTTTGTGCGTGAGATTTGGTGAAGGTATGGCCGAGCTGTGGTTAGTGGGGAAATTTTCTTCACGAGTCTAAGTCCACCTCTGGCACGCACGGTAGCCGAGCTTAAGAGGTTGAATGTTGCTTAGAAACGTAGGCTGAACCTAGGAAGGCGGACGGCGTCATATAATGGCTTTGATGCTCGGTCAGGTCCGTGGTGTAGAGCTGCGCGCTGAGCGCTTGTACCAGCGACGAGCCCCGACTTTGGAGCAGATTGAAAAGTCGAGACACAGTCTTGTCTCCTCGGTGCTGCAGAGGTGCAGATAGAGTGTCCTTTTTTCCACAAGGCCCAGGAGCCTGTCTAGATAGGTATGTTTGGTCGTTCGTCACGCCGTAGACTGTTTTCGGAAATCTGTCTTCTCACCTCACGACGTGCAATCACGAGATTTCTGGGCTGTGGCCGTGGCATGCCGAACGATACAATGCTTCAACATTCTATACACTCCTATATCCCTATCACGTCTTCCCAAATACGAACACCCCCTTCCCCTCCCGGTATCCCTCTAGCGTATCCTTCACCTTCCCAATCAGTTCTTCACCCTTCGTCTCCCACTCCCATGCAATCTTGTCAACTGGCGTATCCTTGAACGTCCCTCGCCTCGTCATTTCCAGCACGTCCGCCACGGTCTTCTTCTTCTCCTGGGGATGCCGCTGCGCCCACCGGCTCACCCAGAACCCATGGAAGTGGATATCCTTGAAGATAAGCATGGAGGCCGGGATGGTCAGCGGCTGCTTGCTCATCGCGCCATATGTGACGAAATGTGCTTCGGAGGCGAGCAGCTTCGCCATGGCGGTGGCCGCCTTGCCGTTGACACAGTTGAGCGCGAGACGGATGGGTACGCGGCCGCCGTTCGTCCACTCCTTGGCCATGTCGCGGATCCCCTGGGCCTGCAGCTCGGCGTCGGTGATGACGATATCCGCGCCAATCTCCCTGAGCTCGTTCTTCAGCTTTTCTTCTGCCGCCTTGTCATCCCGCCCCCGAATCACGTTGATGCTTTTCAGCCCCCACTGCTTCCCGAGCTGGATCGCTGCGCGGCCTACGCCAGAGTTTGCGCCGTTCTGGATGAAGAAGTCGCCTTCTTTGAGGTCGACAAAGTCGCGCAGCATACGGTACGCGGTGCAGGGGTTGATGCTGACGGTGCCGGCCTGCACCGCCGAAATCCCCTCACGCATCGCGTCGTCGAGCTTCACGACGTCTTCCACGCGCGCTGCTGCGTGTGTCCGCCATGTCCCGAAGCCAGGCCCGTTCATGATGACCCAGTCGCCCTTTTTGAAGCCCGCCTCTTTGGGTTTCGACCCCAGCGCGATTATCTCTGCGACACCCTCATTCCCTGCGACGGCAATGGGGTTCGGGGTGCTCAGCGCGGTCGTGAATGTGGGTTTGGATGGGTACACGCCCTGGATTTGGTTGATGTCTGCTGGATTGATAGGCGAGGCGAGGAAGCGCAGTGTCATGAGATCACCGTGGGGCGGCGAGATGGAGTGCGAGTGCAGCGAAAGTACCGCAGGCGGATCGCCGTACTCCTTGAATGTGAGTGCTTTGGCCTGTTCGTAGCCATACGCAGCGATGCCCCGTCTCTGCGCGTGGACGGGCGCTTTTCGGAGGCATTGAAGTGGCCGAGCACCCGCTCTCGCAACCCGCGGAGCTGTAGATAGCGTTTTCGATGCCATTGTCGTGGATTGAAAGCCCACTATGCGGCGTCGGTGGTGGCTTGCAGAATTGCAGCTCGCATGATGTTCGCGCGACGTTGGAGCTATGACGTTGACGCGAGCCGAGGTTGGTGGGGCCGCAACCTCAACACCACGCCAAGCATCTAGAGCGCGCATCCCCGAGCTGCGGCTTGCTCGACGCCACCGAACGCCAGCGACTCCGCGGAACCCCAAGCGATTTTAGCCTATTGTAGCTGCTAATTTGAGTGCAGCTGCGGGGGGGAAAGCGTACATCTTCTACCCTTCTAGCCCCCAATGACCAGGTTTTCGAGCACTATATATCGCAGATCCTCACATCGTGAAGATGGCTAAATTTTCGCTTTGCACATCGATCTGTAAAGACCCACTCGAAGAATGGCTCCCATAAAAGTCGGCATTCTAGGCTACGGCTTTGCCTCTAAGTCCTTCCACCTCCCCTTCATCCGCGCCCTGCCATCCTCTTATACTGTCACCGCCATCCTCCAGCGTGCCGAGGCCCCCTCTGATCCGTCCTCTGCCGCCAAAGGCTCCCATTGCACTGTTGATTTCCCGGATATCAAGCACTACCGAAAAGCAGAAGACTTCTTTGCGGATGCAGAGATAGACTTTGTGGTGGTGGCCACGCACGCGGATACGCATGCGCTCTTTGCGGAGCAGGCGATGAGAGCGGGGAAGAACGGTACGTGAGTGCTGGAGTAAAGATGAAAAATGGGTGAATATCAAGTCAAGATGAAAGCTAATCCTTGTGCCCCAGTCATCGTTGACAAGCCCTTTGCTCGATCCACGGCAGAGGCAGATTCCGTGATCAAAGTCGCCAAGGAGACAGGCCGCATCGTGACTTGCTTCCAGAACCGTCGCTGGGTAGGGTTTTACTTCTATAATTCCAGGGGTCACGCACGTTGATAGAAAGGGTCATAGGACGGCGACTTCCTCACACTCCGAGCCCTCCTCGAAAACTCTATGCTCGGCACCCCTGTCGAAGCAATAATCCACTATGACTTCGACCGTGCGCCTTGGCTGCACCGCATGACGGCGAAGGAATACACGCCTGGCTCAGGCCACTTGTACGGTCTCGGTACAGACCCTCTCTTCCCCATTCCCCTGCGTTTCATACGAAGCTAATGAGGACGTGTCGCGTAAAGGAACCCACTCCCTCGACCAAGCATTCACGCTCTTCGGCCGCCCCGCCCACGTAACCGCATTTCTCCGCTCCCAGCGGGCCGTCGAGAACCCGGATGCGCCCAGCGCAGTTGAGGATTCGTTCACGGTCATCCTGCAATATGGCGGTCCACAGAAGGACTTGCTCGTCACCGTGAAGACGGCCGTCGTGTCGCCAATGGACAAGCAACTAAAATACTGGATCCGCGGAACGAAGTCGAGTTACACCAAATGTCAACAGCGCAGCACGTGTCCTCAGGAAGAATCGATATCCGCCAATCTCGCACCTACTGATGCCGATTTTGCGCGCGAAGACGACCGTTTCCGTGGAACTTTGGCTAGTTATGAACAGGTCGACGAGAAGATTCAAAGTTTCGACGAGGCGAGTCAGCGCTGGGTTGGCCGGGTACCAAACGTGAGAGGCAGGTGGATGGGGCTATATGAGAATGTCGCGGGGTATATAAGGGGCGAGGGGGAGCTGGAGGTCAAGGTGGAGGACGTGCGGGATGTGTTGAGGTGCATTGAGTTAGCGAGGGAGAGCAGTGAGAAGGGGATGACCGTGGCATGGCGTTGAACTAGGTTGAGCTAGTCGTGGAACTGAGGGTACAGACCGGATAGAGAGGCGGGGATGTGTTGCAGCAGAACGAGAGGGCAAGGTACGTGGTGAGCGGCGGTGCGGTAAGATAGGGCAATTCAGAGGGAGATAAAACACCGAGTCTTCTTAGGGTCATCTGCTCCTTGTTTTGACGTGCAATCTGCGCGGGAGGGGTGAGAGTATGGGCGACATAGGAAGTTCGTTGATTACCTGTAGCACAAACAAGTTGTCATATAACATATATCCGATCTATCCGGAGTAATTAATTCGTTAAAGCAGGGCAGTCAAAACGGGCGCAAGAGCGACTATAGTAACGCGCCCTGTTTATGTAAACGCCTAGAATGGAGTCGGGGTAATGTTCAGCGTAAATAGGCTTGTGCGGAGAGTATACACAGTAACAAATACCCTTAGTGTTCATAGTATGTGAATGCACTCCCCTGGACTCCTCTAGCCGCCTTGCTGCGCTCCTCGAATCCATCCAAGACCACACAACGCATCACAAAATTGGGACAGTGCAACACAGTACAGAGTGCCTGTTACTATCATTCTGCTGACTTTGCAGAGTCGAATCCAATTTATCGTCGACTTGGAGTCTAGCGAGAATTTGGGATATTAAGTAGCTGGTCTTATGAAGCGTAAAATCTGCGGGTCCAAAGCAAGTCTCTGATGACAGTCTTCTTGGCCCCCGAGCGGATTGATAGATTAGATCACACATTATACACATACAATACCCATAAACAAATCCATGCCCACGAGCGTTCTCGCACATAGCCGTGCTCCACGCTCAAAAGTACAGATACAATCTTCAGGGCATAACAGGTGGTTAGCTCCACATAGATGCCTTTGGATTCACGCCTGCCGCACCCTCTCTAACTGTCCCGCCAATTCTCTTATATTCCCAATTTCGACCTGCACCCTCAAATTTTCAATCTCGGCATTCTTCTCCTCGACCTCTTTTGTGCGCAGCATGAGCGCATGCCGCAGTCCGCCAACCTCTCTGCGCAACCGTTCGAGCTCGGTCTCTTCGTCCTCGCTCCGTGGGACGGCCTCCAGGGCGGAATTGCACTGTGCAATGAGGCTGGGATCGATCTGCGCGAAGCCGGCGCGTACCTGGTCATTATGGTCGTGCGCTGCCGATGCGTAGTTGTGATGGATGTTAGGATGCGCATGCGGCGATCCTTCCGCCTCCGACAGCTCGTTCTCCTCGTCATCCGAGAGCGTGAGGTTCTCTCCCAGCTGCTGACCCGCCGCCTTCCGCGCGCGCTTGATCTGCGCCCGGATATTGTACACGTCGCGCTTGAAAATGTGGATCCCTGGTAATTTCTCCTCGAGGATCTGTACAGTGCGGCCGACGCCGCGGTCGCGGCCTTGCCCCGCGACATTCTTGCGCAGCATCTCCTGCTCGACGATCTTCCAGACTAGTCCGCCGCTTTCGAGGCTGTGGCTTGCTTTGCGGTTGCTGCTTCCGTTCGGTGTTGAGAGTGTATCGTCAGGCGGAACGTCATCATCTTGAATAGGTTGGCCTTGATCAACGCTGCCCATGCGCTGCCGCTCCTGCTCTTCCAGGGCTGTCACGCCGCCAGTGCCGACACGGCCTCCTTGCACACCCCACGTCCGCTTCCGCTGCACCGCCCATCCTTGGGTGACTCTTCCCTCATGATTATGTGCACCCTCGCCAACACGCAGGGCCCACAGCCCATCCTCGCCCTTCTTGCCCTCGATCCACATCTTGCAGCCCGTCTTGTAGCTCACCCTGTTCTTCCTCACTCTTGTCTCAGGCGTCAGCTTGTGGGTGTTCTTCGGGGCGCCGTAGCACACGCAAGCGAGCTTTATGCGAGATCGATTCTTAGCGGTGGTGTTGATGGAGAGGGCGTAGCCATGAGCCGAGGCGTGGGTCTGCGCGTACGTGTGAAGCGCTTGCCATGTAGGGTGTGTAGATGGCAAAGGAGGAAGCATATCGAATTGTCCCGGAGGAGCGGTGTTAGGCGGTATAGGAGGCGGTACGGCTATCGCTCTGGGTTCGGAGGGTGTAGAGGGTTCGGTGAAGTCATGGGAGTCATGGTGTGCAGCGGTCGAAGGACCTGGCTCATTCAGGTGTCGGCTAGACTGTGCTGATAGATTTGGATCAAGATGCAAGCCGTTTTGGTCTATGTGTGAGGGTAGGGCGTGCTGTTCGGGCGGTGAAGATGCGCCAAAATTGGACGTGTTGTTCTCGGGGAAGGGCGGGTACGCGGCATTGGCCAGGTGGTGCGAAAGTGAGGTGTACGCATCCTCGGGGATGGTATGTGAGGTATTAGAATGAAGAGCAGTCCGCATGGTGATTTAGGATGGGGGCGAGCTGCTCCGGATCGTGTGTAGATTTGGAGCGACGTCGCCAGTGAGCAGCGCTAATAATTAAGCTTATTTTAGCGCGTGCACGTGCATTTTCTCTGCACAACGCGAAATCTCCTTATCCTCATCTTGAACGCTTGCCAAGTCGAAGCGTTGGCCTCGTAATGTGGTCTTGAGGCAAGACAAGCACGTTCCATAGACCTCGCTGACCTCATCCAGTTCGTCACGGTCTGTGCGATCTCTCGACACGACGAAGTGTCCAGCACTAGCCGAGACGACGAGAAGGTGCGCAGTGTCTGTACCAGCTTGCATCAGTATTGCGCGTAGCACGCAAGCAAGCATGTGCATGCTCTTTGCAGCGGCACCAAATCTCAAGGCTGCTTCACGTTCCTGCGCACTATTTTACCGTATGAATGAGAGCAGCGGCGAGTAACACTAATCAATACCTGAACTAATCGAAGGCTATTGCAGTGGAACAAGTTATGTCTGATTGGAAAGTGCAACGAAATCGATCGGCTTCTGCATTTATCCAGTATTACTTCGAAGTCTTATCAAAACAACGATAGGCCAATCTTGATCGGCTTGGAAAGCTAAACAGGCATGAGGGCAGAGGCTCTCGATTTCACTCCGTAGGTATCGGCAGGAGGAGTTTTTCAAAGTCGGCAAGCCCCTGACTTGCGATAGACCACAAACATATAGGAAAAGAGATACACGGACAGCGCATGTGCCCTTTTGCGCAGTGGCTTCGAAAACGCAACTCGACCTTCGCTACATGCACTCATTATATCGGTGCTATCGATAGCCCTCAGCTAGTATGTTCTTTGGCGCGTGGGTGTTGGCGGAGGACTCAGGTGTGTAGATGGCTTCAAGTTGACACACGTCCATGCGTACACATGACAAATGCTCCTGAAAGGGAATAGAAAGGATTGGCAAGACTGAAAAAAGCACCGGCAAGATATGAGGCTAGGCATACAGTAGCGGCAGCGGGCGTGCAGGCTGTGTCATCGTAGCTTGCGGAGGGTGAAGTGGTGCAGGATGTGAAGCTGGAGGAATAGGGGGTGGAGCTGGACTGGACGGCATGAATATCTTGTAGCAACGCATGTATCATCATGATATTCGCTCTCGAAACCGGGCTCGTGCTTGAAACATTGTCCGATTTCCTCTCATCTTTGAGTCACTGACTCCACGCTACACATAGATTCCCGGTGTACCAAGTTTCAGGTTCCACTGTACGCGTTCACGTCATCTGGAGGTACACTCCTTCTTACAAGACATTCCCTTGGCTTGCACGCCATTAAGGAACGCCGAAACACTATAGATTCTTAGGATCATATTTTCTGGCGTGGAGTTCTAAAGTGCAGGCCTCTAGAACAGAAATAGTCCTCATAGGAAGGTAAATGAGAAGCTTCGGTAAGGAGCCAGAAGGATGACTCTCACGTAGACGAGGTGGCGACGGATTTAGGATCTTAGGCTAGCGCTCCACATCAGAGAGTATGGTGAGGTTTCCGAAACGCTTCTGGAAGCATGGATTACTGAGATCTTCTTGTATAAGTCTAATACTTAAAGTTATAAGTGTCAAGGAGAAAAACTACCAATGCTGTCAGATGCGAAAGTGTTCGGGCAGGCAGGCGAAAGACGACTCCCATACATACCATCTGTTGAAACCCTTCGACCACGGGCTCATAGCGTCGGCCGGACATTCACGTAGGATGCGAAACTTTGGGGGCGAGGAGAAGGCTCGATACCACACCTAAATTCGGTACAACAGCTTCGAGAAGACAATGACAAACCGAGGATTATTTGCCGACGTGTGTTTCTCGATAGTGGGACATAATACTGGACATGACCATGTTGCTATTGGATTTTGAAAGCGAAGGCCGAGAGGTTCCACATCAAATGTTTTGCAACGGTTTTTGAGGTGAGGGAAACACTCCGTAAACATAGCCCTATGGGCTCGGATTCTCAACAGAAGTAGGCTAGCAGGCATGTAATCGCTATCCGTGCATTTGCGGCCACTAGATTCGGAAGGGAGAGGGATAATTTCACATCGCGACGGCAGGGCGCATCTTTGGAAACAGAAGAAACCAGGCATATATATGTTTGATGAGCCCATTCAAAGCTTAGAACTCCCTCTCCAGACTCATGATGCAAATATGGGACAGAGGGCGAGGTTCCATATCGATAAATTGGTCAAGTCTTTTGGGAAGAGGAAGATAAGCTTGACATAAAATGCACCTTGAGTCATCTATATTCTACTGGGATAAGGCGCCAAAAGTACGCTCGCTGCAATCTATATGCAAGATTACCAACGCCACCATGAGATGTACATGGCAACACTCTTCCACTCGCGCCCTACAGCTTCGCCTCTCCCTTCCTAAACTCCTCTTCCAGCACCATCCCGACGGGCCCACCCCGCGACCCGTCTCCCGCCCACTCCTCCTCCGGTACCCGGTCCTCAGGCCACCGCCATCTCTCCTTGAACTCCTCAGGCGTCCTTCCCTCCACACATTCCAGGATACTATCTCCAATAACAGGCAAGAACTTGAATCCATGCCCACTGCCACCTGTCGCGATGAAGAGCCCTTTATACTTCGGGTGGTACGTGATGAGGAAGTCGCCGTCACGCGTATCGGTGTACCAGCATAGACGCGTGGTCGTGAATGGGCGCGAGGGCACGGCGAGAGACGGGTGAATGGAGGCCAGGAAGTCGTTGCAGGCGCGGCGGCCTTCGGCGGGTATGACCAGGTTAGGGTCTGTGACGTGTGTGTAGGGGAGCGATACGGTGATCTTTTCATTGGGGTCTTGTGACTCAGGGTGTGGGATGGTAGTGGGGTTGAGGTAGCCGTGGCCGTGGCGGGCGATCTTTACTTTGCCTCTGCTCGGGGGTATCATGAAGAGTGCGTTGGAGAGGTTGAGAATAGTGGGCCGGTTCGCAAGGGCGGCTTCTTCATCCGCGGAGATGGGCTTGTAGCAGAGGACTTGTCCTGTAGACTTGCAGATGCCGCGCAGGTCGATGAGGGAGGCGGACCAGGCGCCTGCAGCTAAGATGGTGAGATCTGCGCGGAGTTCGGAACCGTCGCTCAGGGTGGCGCCCGAGACGGTGTTGCTGTCGAAGTCGAAGAGGAGTCTCTTGACCGATGCGACTACGAAGTTCACGCGGTTGAACTTGTTCACTTCCTTCCGCAGCCAGACCATCGCGCCTTCCGCATCGGCCCAGCCAGAGCTCCAGTTCACGTATCCTGTGCTGCCGCACGCATCATCGAGGGTGCGTTCCAGTCCGCACACTCTTGCGATGTCTTTTGCAGAGTCCAGTACTTCGATCTTGTCGGTCCCGATATTCTGGACGTTGGCCAGCGAGTCGCCCACATACTTCTGCTCGGGGCCACATGCAGTCAAGCAGAGGCCCGTCTCATGGTAGTGTTCAGGGGCGAAGTCGGTGCGCCAGCGATTCTGTGCAACACTTGCGAGGCGGGCGTAGGGTGCGGCGGCATAATCGGGGCGGATGATGCGTGACGAGTCGACCTGGATGCGCTGAGCACGCGATCAAGACAAGGGTGCGATGGAGTGGACTGGACTGTTAGATCAGTTCACATGCCACTTACACTCGAGCCGTCCGTGGAAGGGAACGAATTCCTGTCTACTACGGTAATTGAAGTGTTTTTGTACTGAGGATTTCTGCAGAGCGCCCAGGCGGTGGAGAGGCCGAAAGCACCGCTTCCGATGATAAGCACAGACGAAAGGGTATCATATGAGGACGGCATGATGCAACATTAATATATTTGGTTGGTATGTACAAGTATATACAGACTAGCAAGAGGACAACACAATTTTTAGCCCTGCATCGAATCGTCTGATGGATGTTGCGGAGAAGCCGATATCGCGCAGTGCGGCTCTTGCCGGTCTAAAATTCACGCCCTACCGGACTTCCCATCGGACTTAAGGTGTGGAGCTTGGACCACAGCTTGGCATGGACCCTGCCAGGAAGAACATTCGAGGTGAGCGACTTCCTTACTTTCATATCGATATAATTCTTCTACGACTGCTTGTGCCTCAATTGGGTCGAGATGGCCAAGCTCCCAAAGGTACCGAAGCGGATACCGCCCAAGCCGCGCGTGGCACTGACCCATTCGCCGCGGTCACGACCGCAGTATCCAGGACCCCGACCAAGTCCACGAGGCATCAATCCGTCTGACACTGAACTGCGAAGGGTCGCGAAGGAAGTATGGGCAGAACGTCCCAAAATATCAGACATTCGTATGCTGTCTGAAGAGCAGAAACATGCACCGTCGTACATCAACAGGTTGCAGCGCTGGCGGCAAATACCCATCTTTCTCGGTGGGCTAACAGCCTTTGGTTTGGGCGTGTACTGTGTCCAGCTCTACTATTCGGTATCCAATGCGGAAGTACCAGAGAACCTACCGGAGGACTTCATCGACCGATTCGATAAGGAGGCCGACGGCTACGACGAGAAAGTCAACACGGCAGAGACGCTGCTCCTTCTCAACAAGCGGCGGAAGGACATGATGAGGAAGGTGCGCGGTCACGTACTGGAAGTCGCGGTGGGCACGGGCAGGAACATTCCATTCTATCCCACCAAGCAGTGCGCTACAGTGACGTTGCTGGACTACAGCGCGCCTATGCTGGCGGTTGCGAAAAGGAAATGGAAGGATACGCATCCGGAGTTCTTCAGTCGCGTCTTCTTCAAGCACCAGTCTGCGCTTGAGCCTATCATTCCGCCGTTCGATGCACAGCAGGGGTACGATACTGTGATCCAAACAATGGGGGTCTGCTCAACGCCGGACCCCGTGAAGCTCCTGCACAACCTCGAAGCTGCGACGAAGGAGGACGGTGGGCAGATATTGCTCCTCGAGCACGGCAAGTCGCACTACCAGTGGCTCAACAACCTGCTCGACAAGACTGCTCCTGGTCACGCCGATGCTCATGGATGCTTTTGGAACAAGGACATTGGGAAGATTGTCGAGGAAAGCGGGCTTGAGGTTGTCAACATGAAGCGATACAACCTCGGCACCACCTGGTGGATAGAGCTTCGTCCCAGGCAAGGGCGAGGATACAAGCAAGCGCCTTCACCCTTTGTTGGGGGCGAGAAGACTGTTGTGTCACAAGCGCCCGACTCAGTGGTTCTACAGCGGCCGTGGTGGAGTCTTTGGGGGTAACTAGCAAACACAGCATGTTAGCTGTGCAGCTGCAGTGCAGCCGTTGAAAAGCGGATATCGTCGTCGGAAAGACGACAGCTCGTTTGTACACTACAAGATACCTGCGGAGCCAGCTCCATCGTGTCGCCTCCGACACTGTGGGGAAGATGCGGATGAGGGGCAAACCGCCCCGATGAGAACATAGTTGCAACTCAAGCGAGAGATCTGGAGATCAAAGATCCTCCACATTCCAATCCAACAAGACTAATTGGGTGGACTGCCCACCCGCTTCCTCGACGCGACCCAGTACCGCTGTTCGCGCGGACCAAGAGGATAGTCCCTTATGAGCTCACCTCAAGCCTCAAGACAAAGACAGGGCGGCAGCGCATGCAGTAGCTTGCCGTCCACTAAAGGCCTCCCTGTAGCTGACATGCATGACTCAGCCGCTCTTTATCTCTGGATATCAGCGTAGCAAACAACCAGCGCGCGATGGTTCTGAAGCTTGAAGCTCGCTTGGTCGCCGCGGATGAGACTCCGCATCCGAAGCGCAGCTGGTAGCTAGCTGCTGGTGCGCGCCCGGTCGCGCCAGACCTTCCCACATTTTTGTGGGGAAGTGACGAGCAAGCAGCCGCCTTGTGTGATGCAAGCCGCCCGATCGGGATGGGATGCGCAACGATTCGCAAGGGGCAACGAGTGGGCTCGCGTGCGTTGTCATAAGCGATGGATGCACCGGCTTGTGAAACAGGGATCCCGGCAGCTTTCCAGAAGCAGGCGCGAAGAGCTCGCCGTTTCGGATGGCGTTGATCGCACCACTGCTGTCCCTCGCCAGCAACAGCGCGGACGCTGCGGCTCCGTTCATGCTCGCGGGTGCACGGTTTGCCATCGCCATGTGTTACGGAAGAACTCGGCATATGCGCCGCCGTTTGCGGTGGGTAGAGCCGAGGAGCCAGCTGAGTTTTAAAAAATCTCTAGCAGAAAAAAGTTATAGCTCACCGCCCGTCGTTGACCCGGCACGGCGTTCAGGGCTAAATTATCCAAAGCCTGGCCGCTAGCAGGCCTCCCCTGTATAACTGAAGATCGAGAGAGATGCGACACCAATATCATCACAGCCTGTGGAAACCTGCCTGTTTGGATGCCCGAGGCGGTCAACGGAGGATCTTCGTCCTCATCAATCTGGAGGTTGGAGGTGACGACATGCTCTGCAGTCTGGCAGCTCTCTCATTCTCGCTCACTTAGGGGCTGAGGATGAGGCAGAAGTGAAGTAATGACAATGCCCCTCAGCGGGCGCCAGCAGAGACGGGCGCATACGTAACGTGCTGCTGTGCAGGTACTGCGTGTTAGCGCAGACGGGAGCAGCTTCGGAGACGACAGCTCGTGGTATCGATAGAGGCACATGAAAGTTTGGTGTCTTGGTGGCCGTCTAGCCACACTCCGGTGAGCCAGGCCAATCACAATTGGCCCGTTCAACGCCAACAGGCTCTAAAAGTAGTATGCTGTCATATGCCCAGTCAGGACATCCCTGACATACATTCACTGCGCACGGCCTTCATCCCTCTTCCTCTTGAAACCGTCCCGCTCCACTCCACTCCCTCATCTCTCACGACTTCCCCTCAGAACCCATCCAGGGACCAACAGCAATCCATCTGGGCTGTATTCTTCCGTTGTCCATTCGACACGATCACATCGCAGGTCTCATTCTGCAACTTTATTGTGTCAGCGCAGTCCACTCAGGAGGCGACAGCAGGCTTCACTTGGAAGCACCCGCACACACACGACGGCTGGGCTGATCGTGCATCCCGCCATCTTTACTTATTGGATACGCCAACCCTTGGGCTTGAGCAGGCAGCAACGGTACAGGCAAGGACGGGAACGGCATTCCGCGTCCAATCACAGCCACTGGTATTCCTAGCACAACAATTCGCATCCCTCGCCCGCGCAACTCCTCCTCTTCCACCAGTGGTGAGCACTCTGCGTGTTCGCAGTCCCAAATACCTGCATCGCCATGGTCTCACAATATAATACGAGGCGAAAGAGCCTGTCGCTTCCATCACTCGGCATCGCACTCCCTGGACGATCCGTACGCTCGCCGCCCTCCGACAGCCAGCACATCGCAAAGAGGCAGAAGCGCTCACATTCCGGCTCTTCGTCCTCCTCACCGAGCTCGCCGCCGCGACTATCTGCGTTGCGTTTCGACGACAAGAGCAACGCCGGCCGCGTTCCGGATTCGCCGCCACCGTCGCCCGGCGGCGAGGCAACAAAGGTCGACACCCAGGGCATCGACGATACCATCGTTGTCGGCGTCATCGAGCAACTCGAGAAGACGGGCAATCGTCCCCACCTCCTCAAAGAACTCGCCACCGTCCTCTCTCCCACGATTCCCATTGTTGAAAGGTATGTTCGCAGCTCATGCGCTAGCTTTCCATTGCCCATCCTGACGCGCCACAGCTCCGCGAACCCTGCAGCCATTATCTCATCACGCCTTGCGACATACTTGAAGCGCAACTGGTCCGCCCTGTCGCGGTGTCCCCTCGACAAGAAGCTTGTTGGCACCCACCCCAAGCGCGTGTATTATTTCCTTACCACCAGCCCGCACCAGCCCATACCGGAGGATGCAGGTATCATCCCCTCCGCTGCGCGCATCATCTCGCCGTCGCTCTCTTCAGCAGCATCCGACGACAACGATGCAGATTCGCATACGCGCGACGTGAGGTCTCCCTCACCGGAGCTTGACCTCTCAGACTACGACGATGCGGTTAGCGATCCATTCACTAACGCGACCCACCAACCGACGACCCACAACATCGCGCATAACCGACGAGCCCAGTCGCCTCCGCTAGAAGTCGATGAGCGCGAGTTCACACGCACGGCGTCCTCGCTGCAAGAGCGGCGCCGCAGCGCGCAGGCGGAGCGCGAGCGCTCGAACAGCGCCGTCGTTGAAAACACAACGCGCCTCGACGTCGCCATGGATATGGACGGCATCCCCGAGCTCGTCGAGACCGAGGAGAGCGCCGCACGCAAAAACTCGGAGACCGCGGCTGCGCTGTTCGGCCAGATGCAGCACGCGGCGTTCGACCCGGTGCTCGCCATCAGCAGCCCGCTGCTCAAGCCTGCACTCAACATCGAGATGCCACCTTCGGTGTTCAAGGCGAGCGACTCGTGGTCTGAGAAAGACGACGACGAGTGGGCGATGAAAAGTCCGGAGAACATCGAGCTTGATGAGCTGGATGATCTGTTTGGCAACTACTGAGGTCCATCGACATGTCAGCACGCTAAGGACGGGGCATTTTGCAGAGCGCGACGAAACCATTTGACGAATCTCCTTTTCGCGGGGGCAATTTTCCGTGGGATTTGCTATCTACCTTCCACATTCCGTATTTCTATCTCTCTCATACTTTTTAATGGCGTCGATATCCTAGAAGGAGCAGCGCGAGCGGGAAGCTCAGGATCTGGGCGAAATTGGCGTTAGCAAGGAAGGCGTCTTTCTGACTGTTTGTACGATAGCATGTGTGTGTTTGGGATATTGCTGACACTGGGTGTCTTGTTTACTGTCCTGGCGCACATTGGAGCAAAGCGAGGGAGTGCGAGAGGAGAGCAGAGGAATCAGATCGATCAAGGCGAACAACAGAACAGATAAAAGTGTTTGGACAAATGCAAAAAACAGTTCATATCTTCTACTCAACTTCACCACAGCCTCACCGTGCCTGCTCAATTTTCATCATCCTTTCCTCCATTCCATTTACCTTTGACAATAAATTGTTTGTTTGTCTTCCCTGACCCCTCTTCCCGCGGCCCTACTGGGATTGCTCTTACGTGCATGCATTGCGAACATGCACATGCAGGACGGCAGACGATGAGGCGAGGCGGTGAAGAGCTGCACGAACACCGCAACTCCTGACCAATCACCACACCAGCGCAAAGTATTCTCAGCATCCTCTAACCCATCGCTTGTGTATAGTCTAGGCCGGAGGTGGAGGACTCCGGGGACTATTGCAGCTGTGTGGAGGTAAAGGTCGAGGGCGGTGTGTAAGGGCTACCTATGATACGCGAGTATCTTGCTCATTTGTTGCGGAGCGGTACAACCGGCAAAACGAGGTCGACAGAGCAAAGTGTGAGGCCCAGTACAAATCTCATGCGCTGCATTTTACGAGCTGGCTGCAGTCTGTGTAGATGGGTCTCTTTCCCCTGGCGTTGTGTAGACACACGAGGACGACTAACAAGTAACCTCGAACGTCCCCTCCCTGCTATAGTACAAAGTAGTATTCGAGCCAGTGAACCATTCGCTCCACCATCGCTCCAGGTACAGTGATACAATGAAAAGTGTCCTAGCGGAGGGAGGAAATACTAGTGATTTCGCTATACGTCTTCATTAGTCCAGAGTATTAATCTCAGCCAACAAAGCGCAGCTCCACCGTCGTTCCAGGTACGGTACAGTACGTCCAGCGATACGACGGCGAGGCTGCGATCTAATGCGATGCGCCCCGCCCCGCTGCATCTCTACACCGGCCATCAAGCGCTCTTAGGTGCAGTGATGGCCGGGATCACCCTCTGGGGCGCGGTGAGCTGGCACACACGCGTGCCTGACTTAGCGGCCCCATCAGAAGATGCGAGATGCGCTGGACGGTGTCGTTGCGTCAAGCCATTGTTTACCGCCATATCGCCGCGACGACGCTGGCGTCGACGGTGTACTGTGACGAGTTGCCCTATTCGGACTCCTGGACGGTTCGCGGCGTGCGAGATCGAGACTGAGGTGAGGCGTGCCTGTCCTTTCCAGCCACCCCCAGCCACCCCGTCGAAAGCTCAAGCGAAGATCGTCGCAACGTCGACGCCCAAAGCCCAACGGACGGGGAAATCGTGCACAGTTTGTCACGTCACTCTCCTTTTGACTTTTCTCGCTCCTTACGTTGATTGCGCGCGCATCCGTTGCTGGAGAAACAAACTATCCGCTGGAATTGCCCACGCTGCTGTGGCCTGATTGAGTTGAGTTGACACAGGGTCTGGACTTGGTGCGACCGACTTGGACTTGCCGAGGCTGGGAAAGAGCTGGAGGCTTGGGAACATCCCGAACTGCAAGAACGAAAGAGTTTGGAAGACGCTTTTGGGTTGCTGCAGGGCTTCGCAACGGCTCGGGTGACGGTGGATGCATGAGGCTTGAGCCGCACGTGGTTGTCTGCGGCAAGCGTAACGACTACCGTGGATCACCACCACCATTAACCCACCTCCTGGACCTCCGGCGTCGGGATAAGCTTGAATAAGCTCGGAATCAGCCACACGTGATTCTCTACTACCAGGAAAGAGCCGCTCCAGGGCCATCTACACCACCGCCACAGGCGGACTATTACTACCAAATACTCACCCCCCGTGACCTCCACGGTGGATTCCTCGGACAGCAGCGACTCGGGGTACTTCCCCTCGCCCGAATCAGACAAGGAAAAAAAGCGCCGCCACCGCGCCTCAGTCTCCATGTCGCATGCACCCTCGCGCGCCCGCAGCCACAGCAGGGCACCGAGCAACGCGCGCGGCTCTGCGCCCATCGTGGTTCCCGTCCCGCCCAAGCCGCCGCTCGAGATCGTATTACCAGCTTCTCCGCGGCCCCGCAGCAGAGGCCCTGTATTCGTTGATGCGCCGGGGCTCAGTGGCGGGAGAGGCATGTTCAAGCGGCTTATCGTTGCGTGCGACGGGACGTGGCTGAACAGCGATAACGGGATGATCAATGGGAAATTGTCTGTCCCCAGCAATGTCACGCGGATGTCGAGAGCGATCAAGGCAGTCAGCCAGGACGGGGTGCCCCAGATCGTGAACTACCACTTCGGCGTAGGCAGCTCGGGCGGGCGGCTCAACCGCATCATCTCTGGTGCCACGGGCGAAGGCCTGGGTGACAATGTGCGGGAAGCGTATTCCTTCCTTGCGAATAATTACCATCCGGGCGACGAGATCTTCTTGCTGGGGTTCTCGCGGGGGTCGTTCACGGCGAGAGCAATAGGGGGCTTAATCGGGGAGGTGGGACTGCTCACGAAGAAGGGGCTTAATGCGCTGCCCGAGGTCTTCGAAGACGTCCAGCATCGCAGAGACCCAAAATATGTCCCGAAAAACCCGGACATGCCGTTCCCACACAAGCCGTCGGCAAGCAGCCCGCGGTACGCGGACGAGCTTGAGCGGCGAGGACTCACACGGCTAGATATAAGGATCAAGGTTATTGCGGTGTGGGACACGGTGGGTAGCTTGGGTACACCGCGGTTTGGATTTCTTCAGAAACTCGGGCTGCAGAACTCCGAGAGCAAGGAGATGAGCTTCTACGACACGAAGCTGAGTAATTGCGTCGAGAACGCATTTCAGGCGCTGGCGCTGGATGAGAAACGGTCCGCGTTCAGCCCCGCCGTCTGGGAGAAGCCGCCGGGAAACAAAACGACACTGCGGCAGGTGTGGTTTCCCGGCGTGCATTCGAATGTTGGGGGCGGATATGACGACCAGCAAATCGCGAATATCACGCTCGCGTGGATGATGTCGCAGCTCGCGCCATTCTTGGACATGCGCGACGAGTATCTGTTTGAGCTTGACGAGGAGAACGAGCGATACTACCGGCGCGAAGGACAGGATATCCGCCCGTGGTCGTTTGGCGAGATCTACAACTCCGCTACGGGGGTGTACGCTCTGAGTGGCACCGCGGTATGGACTCCCCCTTCTTCTTTTCCCTTCAAATTCAAAAACCTCCGTGCTGATAGACAGGAAATAGCTCCGCACACCCGGCCATTACATGGAAACAGACCCCTTCACCTGCCGCCCCACCGACCGTCCCCTCACCTACACGAACGAATACATCCATGCCTCGGCCCGCACCCGCGTGCGTCTCGGCGGCCCCGGCCCCGCCGACAAGTCCTTCTACGAATGTCCCGCGCTCACCCAAAATTACCGCCTCGTCGTCGAGTACCCACCAGGCCCCAACGCGGACCCGGACATCCACTGGAAACTCAAATGGAAGGACCCCCTCGCGGTGAAAATTCTACCTGAGGCGCCGCTATGGGGGATAGAAAAGGAGCTGTGTCGCAGGGATCCCGAAACTTACGATTATGCTAAGAGACCACCAGCGACGAAGAAGGAAAAGAAGAAGGGGCGGCCGGTGAGTGCGAGTGTGGCGAGCCCTACGGCGGTGCGGTCTAGCAGGAGGAGTTTCACCGAGCCGGGCGCGGGGCTAGGGCGCAGTTCCACTGTCGTGGAGAAGAAGGGGAGGAGTAAGAGTAGAGTACGCACAGCGGAGTACGAAAGGGGTGGCACTATTGGGGGCGGCGGAAGGAGTCGAGCGGGCAGCTTTGACGAGAGAAGCACGGTTATCCGGGAGAGTATGCCGCATCGAAGGGAGAAGGATAAGACTTGGTGGGAGGGGGCGAGGAGCATTGATCCGCGGGAGGGTGATGGGGGAAGGAGTCCGCGGAGGAGTAGTATGAGGGTTTAGGGTGGGTGGTTCAAAGAGAGGCGTGCGGAGCCATGGCTTCGGCTTCTTTGTAGGATATGGATGTTTCAGCGAGCGAGCGAGCGGATTGAGCGGATTGGATACCCTTTAGTAATGCATCGCGTGGCACTTCATTTCAATGTCTCTCTCGCCCGTCTCTTTTGTTTTACTACCAATTTGTCTACTAGCCGGAACGGGATTGTCACCAAGGTTCGTTAAATCTGGGACTGTTGCTTCAGGCAATATCTGAAGTCTTGGCTTTGAGGAGGCGAGAGTTATATTGATTCAGACAGTGGCTGCATGTTCACAAAGTACAGATGCTCAACACACAACATATTTGCACTCCATACCCCAGTCGAGCATCAACAGAGAATTACCCAAGTAAGCTCAGAATTCCTTCTCCGGTGCCTCAGATACCGGCGCTGACTTCCTCGTTCACTGGAGTCATACTCCCGCGGGCGTTGTACGAGAACACACCGATAGTCTCATTTTGGCCATCGACAACCTCGGTCAGAGAACAAACAGCGTCTGGTGTCTTCCGCGTCTTGCAAGCTCGCAATCTCGCAATCCGATCCCCAGGTCGGCGAGGGCCGCGCACGTCATGAGATCTGGATGGTAGAAGCTGATCTGCGCCTTCAGGATCTGCAGTACAGACGGTATCGCCACTGAAGTTGCTGCTGCAGTTGTTCGACGTATCGTGCTCGAGTTTGGACGCCGCCCAGGTACTGTAGCCGATCTCTATGTGGACATTCGGGTTCTGAGCCGGAAGTCCAAGACATTGATAGCTTGTGTCAATTCAGTATACTCCGTTCAGAAGAAGCGATAAATACGAGAAACTTCTGTCCATTAGCGAAGCAACCGTCGTACATACGAATAGGGTGGAAAGAGGTGGCTTGCCGTAGCAGGCTTCATCTTGGACTGGCGATCCGGGGATGTTTTCTTTTACTTTCGGTCTATGACTCTTTTTTTTTTTTTTTTTTTTTTTTGGTTTTAGACTGAATGGCGTGTATCGAGTGTAGAAAAAAGCCTTTGATTCCATACGCTGAGGAAGCATGTTAGAAACATGATCAAGCCGCCCCGTATTCTCGAACCTCGTACAATGGCATTGTATTGCTCAAGAACCGTTATTTTCACCGCCGAACGCCGTCGATGTGTCATGGCTTGTCACCATCTCATACTTCAGCTGGAGTCTTGCTCGAGTACGGCGACTTTCTCCACGTGGCTGCCTGAGACTTGCGACATGGGCGCTGCTACAGGAATAATGTACAGGGATCGTAGGAACAGATAATCGTTCTGGAGGCTTTGCGCACGAGCTAGGCTGCAGCGCGGTGGTAATGATTTGGCTAGACGATTAAAAGAGCACTCATTCCGTCCTTACTGCTAGCTTGATCTGAAGAGGAGTGTAAGAGCTGTCTACGACTTAAAAGCACTGGGGCAAACTCGAAAAAGAAACATCCGGAGGTGCTGGTCCGCATCACTTTTAGTACGATATCCTTGTTCGTTTGGCGTAAATCAAGTGAGGATACCGGTTCAGCTCGTGATGACGGACTAGTACTCGAACTTCTGCCACGGTCAATATCAGCAACGTTCACTAAGTTACCGGCACTGTCCCTTCCGTTGCAGGCCTAGATTTTCGATCATCGTGATGCGATATTCAATCTCACTGATAACAGCGTATGGAATCTGCGGCGCGGAGAAGCACTCATCCGCCCCTGGTCCAGCCAGCCACAACTATGCATGATCGCTCGTCTGAGGCGGTATGAATACATTATTTCAGGCGATTATATTGTTGTGTATGGATGTGACATTGTGGCGCGGTGGACAACTTGCCTGTGCTGCGTTTGCTAATGCTTGTAGCCTGACAAAGTCAGTCCGGCCACCGCGCTTGATGACGATCGAATGGATCAGTCTAGAACCAGTTGGCGGTCTGAAGATTACTCTTGTCTCGGAACCATATGAAGGCCTTGTATTACATCTATCTAGTCTACGGGTATAATCAGGCGTATACTGCGGTGATGCGCAGCATGGTGAGGGCACCTGTCGAGACATCTCTGTCCTGCTCAGCGATCTTCATCATACCAACCTGTTTCACCGACACGCTACACACACAGTTAACATGCAATTCGATAGAGAGTTTTCTTCGTGGTCGAGCGCGCCAAAAGCACAGCATCTTGTCTGCGCCTGCGCTATTTGCAAGTACTATATAAGACTCTAAAACGGAGTGACAAACACATACGACCATAGGACACTGAGAACTAGGCTTCCCGTCCGCTCAGCCATATATAAGCAGTGTACCGGCGGATTAGTAGTCGAGTTCGTGAGAATCGGCGAATCCCCGCTGTTGTATGTTTTTGCCAGCGTTGATTTTTAGGCAGTGGGGCAGTGGTGGAGCTGGTGGAGCAGCGCGGAATGAGCGCCGCGACGTAACGGTGGAGGAGCCCTAGGACTAATAAATACAACAGAGAAGGGCTGGAAGTGATGCGCGGGTTCTGCTTTTGATAGGGTAGATGATGAGGAACATGTTTTGTGCCTGTTTGCGTACGTTGGAGGCATCTGGGTCTCCTCTCTTATTCCAGTCGGGACAAAAATCGTGACGAAAGCAGCAGAGCTGATCGATCGGAACGAGGATCTGCGTGCATCTTGCGGAGCTTCTTGAGTCGACCATGTGAGTTGAAATAATTTGCCTGAACGCTGAGCCTAGAGCAAATGCCTCAAAGAATCGAAGCATTGCTCTACGCAACCAAAAACAAAGAGGATATCCACAACAAGCTACTCGCCGGTGTTTTGGTTGCATAACTAATGACTCCTATCTGAAGCATACAATCTGACACAAGTTACAGACCCGATGAGGATGCACCTACAGATTCAGTATGCTGTTCTGCAAGGACAAGGAGGCATATTATTCAAGACAATCTTTGCACGCCCGCCAATTCACAATTTTACAAAAGCTATCTATACTCAGACCTCGATCATTCAAAAGATGAGATACGAGTCTTGCGACTGTCCCCAGTTCAAAAGGCAAGAACTCTGAATGCAAGTCTTGTGGTCATCAGTCTAAACTCTTTAGAAGCCCACGAGGATAACGATTTCATCGCTATCTCCTACTCAGCAGGAAGCTACGAAGAGAAAGAAGTACTGTATGTCAATGGAACTCGTTTCAATGCCTTCGCCAACCTTGCTCGTGCTCTACGCCAAGTCGCTAAAGCAGCACATAAGGCGGAACTACAACATATTCCTTAATTCATATGGTCGGACCTAATTTGCATGAACCAAACAGACCAACATGAGAGATCTTATCAAGCGGGCTTCATGCGCGATATATATCAGTCTGCAAAGGTGGTCCTGGCTTGTTTAGGAGAGGATCCTAGCAATGGCCGATGCATAAGAATCGCCGAACGCTTGGAGCTCTGGTCCGCCCTTTCCGTTGAGCCAGACGATATGAAGGTGCTCATCGAAGGTTTAATCTCAGCAGATTTTCGCGATGAGCAACTCCAACTTGACTGGAGCGCTCTCCATGATCTGCTGGATTGTCAATGGTGGCAAAGAGGCTGGGTCACCAGGATGTTGTCGTCGCGCGTCAGGTTTATCTGATATTCTGTGAGTGTATCATTGGCTGGAACATTCTCTCAAAAGCAGTGCAAAGTGTTGTGCAGTTGGAGCAAGCTCTCTTCAGGCAGTCTTTGGATGACAACATGAACATTTGCCAAGACGAGCTGCACAGACGTGTCCTCTCAGGACTCACCAGCAGATTTGCCGAGTTCATGGTCGATGGTCGAAAAGACTGGGCACGTATGGGAAAGAAGAATCTGGTTGGGCTACTTGCGCAAGCTCAAGTTTGCAAAGTCTCGGACCCCAGAGATCGAAACTTCGCCCTCTTGGGACTTGCAGATCCTGGCTATGAGATCGCTGCCGACTATACAATCCTCCCGGAGCGGCGTGCTCCTTAGCCTGTGAGTGCATCATACAGTACGAAGGGGTATTCAACATACTCACCTGTTGCAAAACGAACTCCGCAACGATGGTGCACTTACCTTCCTGGACAGCAGATTGGTCGCAACCCGATATGTTATCATTCGACGTCATCTATGACCCAGTGGACGACATTCCTCCGTTCCGGGCTACTAAAGCACTTTCATCGTCCACCGTGTTTCTCGCCAATAGTACGCATATGAACGGTTTACTGAGGGTACAGTCCGCAATCCAACGGCAATTTTCAAAGCCTCGAAGACTGGAAACGGATAGTAGCGTCAAAGGATGATGAGTTCAGTTCAAGATATATGGATAACTAAACGAAAACCTTTGCGAAACCTTCATCAGTGTCATTCTGCCAGGAGGAAGATTATATTCATGAAGGAAGTGATTTTCGCCCCGGGCTATCACACATAACCAATGATACCAAGTAGTTGGGCCGTATCATTCGATCTCCTGCTGGTTACGCAGGGGTAAGTAAAGGAGAGGCTGATGCATGGCATATAGACCGAATATGCGTGATACTAGGAGCCGCGAGTTCTCCAAGGTCATCGCGCTCATTCACTGGGTGTCAGTAGTGCCTCTCAAAGGTCCTATATCTAGGGTACTAAGGCGGCATCAGGATCAGTACCAACGCCTACAAGCTTGTGTTCTGGATGACCGCCTTCCCCAAGCTCAACTCATCCTTCGTCGCAAATGTGCGCGAGGAGCTCCAGTCATCTGTCCGCGGAGATGGTGCCCTGATCATCCCATCTCTCCAGACCCAGACCACGTACTTGACTGCACTTCTCCAAGAGTCGATGCGTGTCTTTAACTCTTCGTCATCGGCTCGTTTTTTGACAACAGATACGCAAATCGGACCCATTCACGCTCAAAGCAGGCCGTCGACTCCTTATCCCATTCAGACAGCTGCATCTTAACAGATCAGTATTTAGTGATAACGTAGCAGAAGTTCACATCAATCACTTCGCTGATAACAAGAAGTTTTCCTCGCATCCGAGTTATAGGCCATTTGGCGGTGGCGTGATGTATTGCCGGGGGTCGGTTCCAACCGAAGCAGAAGATCTTTATGGCGCTGGCTTATCTTATTTGTCGTTATGACGTTCAACTCATGCCAGGCAATGAGCAGAATTTCCAGAAGATGGATGAATTGAAGCCTGGCATTGCGATCATCGAGCTGATTGAAGGAGATGATTTGATTGTTCGGGTCACTCGAAAACAGTAGTCGGACAGCGTCTAGGCAATCGAGGAGGATTTAATCAATATTCTGACGCGTACAAGGAAGAGTCTCTGCTAAGACATCGTGGCCGCAGTAAGACACGTCTGAAATGTCATTCTGTCCAAGAGCGCGTGGCAATTCAGACTTAACACAACGGACTGGCGGATGCTCTCACCCGTAAAAGAAGGACGCTCCTATCCGGGAGCGATAATCGTGAGAGGGACCTCCTCGGAACTTTATCTCCTGAACGTGTCTTCCGATGCGTGAATCGTTCTCATGCGAAGACATAGCTCAATCCCCATCTCCGATAGCAACCGTGTTGTTGTGCGCACGCATTTCCTCACCGCCATGGCCTAAGAACGATAGGCGGCAGAGATCTTGGAACGCGATGTATTTGTCGAGAGGGATCAAAGGCTAGGCCAGAAGGCGTTAGTTAGCTAGCGCTTTCACCTGACAACGACGTCTCCGAGGGACATTGACATAAAAACAAACGCTAATGCGCACGGTCACGATGTTGTACTCCTTTTCTCGGCTAGGCATCGACAAGCTTACGCGCTTGGTCGTTGTCGCAAACTGTTATCATCCGCAAGTTACGTGCCAAACATCACAGGCAGCCTCTCGAAACGTTTGACGTGTTGATCCAACGGCTCTCTAGACAAATCCTGCAAGTACAGGGGCGCACATCCCATCTGCCGACAGGACGGGCTTGCCGATTCGCTATCTCGCCTGGCTTGCAGATCGCGACCTCCAGGTCCTGGGATAAGCGGCTACGAGAACGGCGCACTTTCTGACACTCGCTTGAAACCCATTATCCCCAATTTGCGATTGAAATTTCCCACTGGATGCACATGGATCGTACATCGCTCTACCTTCAATATCAGCCTGTGCTCGCAATATTCGTGATAACGCATGATACACCAGAAGAGCAGCGGAAGAAAAGATCCATGACAGAGATCCAGCAAAGGGCAAGCATTGCAATTATGAAGCCGACAGAAGGTGCTCATTGGTCGGGCGACGGTACGGGGATTTTCGCTTGCAAATCGTTGGCCGCTCAGGGCGCAGGGCGGGTATAATGGGTGGCCGTGGCAAAACTTTGTGCAGCACAGCCCGTTAGTCGCGCACGAGCAATGTCCGGGTGCAAGGTTGCTCAATGCGCGTCCTTCAGCCTGGAAGCGAGCGACGTGAGGATGCGGGGAGGACACTCATGGGACCTGTCCTTTAACTCTCGGCGTGAGTCTCGAACGGACACACAGCTCTGGCCAACGGTTGGCGACGACTTTCCGTTTCATTGATCGACTCTGTGACACGCCTTTGGCACGTTGCTGATCCTGTGTGAAGTCTGAAAACACTCATAACACACGCGGAGGATACTGACTCAAGGTCTTGCGGATGAGCTCCGGCCTAGCAGCGGATCTTTGCTTGCGTCGGATACCCTGGGGACACGCGCAATCTTGAGCTAGGGTCGGCGGGCTGGCTGCTCTATATGTGGCCCAGGCTAACCATCTGGACCCATTCAGTTCTCCTGCAACGACACCGAACCTCCGCTCATACAACTTGTTCCCATGAACGGGACCGCCCACCGTTTCGCAGCGCCGTAATCGACCCGTCATGGCGGCATATGGAACGCTCGCAATTGTGGTCGCTTTCACGCTCTCCAGCCTCTCCACCGTTGTGGTAGCTCTGAGGTAGGAAGCACTGCTCCAGTATTTGTAGCGCAGGACCCTGACGAGACCAGATTCTATGCTCGCTACTATCTCGTTGGAAAACTCGGCCCTGCCGACTGGGTTATGCTTGCTGCGCTGGTCAGTCTGGTGTTGTAGCATGATGTCAATGGTGCTAATTCCGTAGATCGCGACTTGGGGAACGCCTGTCCTGAACTACTACCAGGTACAGTACACGGACTACAGTACCACCATCGACTCGAAAGGCAATCTAGTACGCAACTCTTTCTGCACAAATATACCGGTGGCACACTAACGCGTTCAGATTGTGGATGAATTCAAGCGCATCGCAAGCGGCGGCCTCCTCACCATGTGGATTTTCCGCCTCAACTATATCATCAACCACCTGCTGATCAAGACCTCCATCCTGCTCTTCTACAGCTACGTCGTATCTGCGTCCCGGGCGTACTACTGGACCGTTCGCATCATGCTTGGCTTCAACATCATGTCTTGCCTCGCTATGGCCCTCGTTAGCGTCTTCATTTGCAATCCTCCGCAGCTCTCGTGGGACGGCGACGTCTTCTACAAAGAGTTCTTCGGCATCTTTCCCACGCAATGTATCAACCCATCGCCTCTGTGGCTGACCCAGGCTTCGTACAACCTTGCTACTGACGCAATCCTCTGGCTGCTCCCAGTTCCATTCTTCCTGAATTTGCGCGCCATGCCCGTTCGAAAACGCGTAGAACTTGTCGCCATCTTCAGCATCGGTATCGTCGCCATATCCGCCTCGGCAGTCCGCCTGTCAGTCACCATCCGCTGGCTATCCGGGTTCGACGAGCTAGGGTTGCTGTTTACAAGTATCCTCGTTTGGTCTCAGGTCGAACAGCACTCGGGTATCATTGCAGCTTCACTGCCGTTCCTGCGCCCGATATTTCGGAAACTAGTCAAGAAGATGATTCCCAGAAGCCCGAGCCCAGAGTTCAAGCTTGTTCCGAACATCAGTCCTCAAGGCCCGCCGATGCCACCCCGCCCTCCGATTATTCCGAGTCCTGTAGCTACCTTTGGTAGCGATGAATCTTTTCGACCGCCTCCGACACCGTTGTCGCCTATTAAGCCGGAGATGGAGATGTTTCATACGGTGTGAGGAGTGAAGAAGATGACGTATCAACGCTTCAAAAGCCTATTAAAGGAAAATACGAACATGCAAGGAATGCGACGCCTCGTTAGTATCTCCGACACTGCGACAGAAATCCATTCTGATCCCATGGAAACCGATGATTTGTTTCGTACATGCGGCGACTTCTTAACGGCTGGGCCGCGTGAAACCGCAGCTCAGTAATGGTCATACGACGAACAACGCAATAATACGACTACAAAGGATACAACATCCCTTACGGAGGGCATTCCATTGAGAATTTACGCCAGCAACGAGTCTCCTGAGGACGCCATGTGCCTCCAGCGTAACTCAAGGAGCAGCCGGACCGAGAACACGCAGTCTCCCGCACATTGATTCCGTTACGACGTAATGCGACCACGAAAATACCTATCTAGGGACAGTGCGAGGTTCTAGAAGTGAGGATGCAAGAGCAGACGCGGCAGAAATATGGGTTCGGACGGGGAAGAGATGGGTGGCATACGAAATCGATAGAAGACGCATTGGGACAACCAAATAACCAAATTACATCAACGTACACATCACGAGGCCAAACCACACCTCCACCACCTTCGTGCCTACCTCACGCCTCTCCCCTCAGCCCATCTCTCTGCAACCTGCTCACTGTACCAAATCTTACCACTCCCCTACTATACCTATATCGCGACCGCGTGCGCGCTGCACCCCGCAAACACAAACGCAACCTTTCCCCGGCTTACAACCCAGATCCATCCAGCGCCCGGTTCCGCGCATGGCTTGCTGCAGTGCTATAGGCCTCCCCATGTGCGATATAAGTCTCTTATGCGTTCAGTCCCCAGCTGACATGCTCGCTAAACCGGATTCGGCGCGGGGTAGCGAGAGGGGAGGGATGCCGGGGATAGGGTTGAATACAAAAGCAGACAATCACCGCCATTTTCAGCCACGTAAGTACAGTCCAGAACGCGGACGCCAGACAAGCAGATGTGTGCCTGCGCGCGCCAGGGGAAAAGCACGGCATCGGAATCCGAGCCCCTTCGCGCAGTCAACATTTGCGATTACCAGTCTGTTCTTGTCGAATCTGAAGGAGGAAATCCGCACACCCACCACTGCTTGCACTCTATGCGTCACTACAACGGGCGCATTGTACGCGACGCTTTCATGTGCTATCCCGATGCTATCCCGTATCCCATATCCCAGCCTCCAAATTCGATACTTCTCCATCCTACTCAGCTCGGCGCCCAGCAAACATCACGCCCGTGCTCCGAGCCCAGCCCCATATGTTTACCCGCTCCCCCGTCCCGTCAACCAGTTCGCGCACCACGTGTACGCGTCGGAAGCTTAGATGCCGGATCTGCCTAGGCAAAGCGAACAGAACGAGTAACGCACGTGGAAGCAACGACAACAACACAATAAATGAGATTGAGTCAGTCAGTCATTCTCGACGTGAACTATCCTACAGTATATGCATCCGTGCTTGTCTGGTCCAGCCCACCCACACAGAGTCAGACCCAGCCACACCACGCACCCATCCACGCCACTCTACATCCCACCGTAAGACTCGAAATGCTATTCTACACGAAAATCGCAAAACTCGCAAATCCCCTATCCCGCCAGACACTCCACCCCTGTGCACGCTCGTGATGTATAAATGAAAAACTTGCACCCAAAAGAAAAACCTGAACAGAGAGAAGCAGAGCCGTACAACGCCGTGCTTTTTCTCTTGTCCTCATTCATTTGACTCGCACCAGACATGCGACCCTGACCCTCGCAAAAACACAAAAGCAATCGATTCCAGGTGCAGCAGACGCACCGGAAGGCACGTTCTACTTCGCAATGCAATAACTGAAAACCCGTGACCCCGTACGCACGCAAATGCAGTGAGTAGACATTACTGGTCGTTGTATAGTTCTTGACCATATACATGTATCCTGGGACGCAGGAGGGTGATATGTGCCGCCGCTATGGCGTCTAGGCAATCGGTCGGGGACTTTGCTGCGCATTCGTAAAAAGCGCGCTGAAGATGCGCTCAACCTGACGAGGTTGTTAGACTTGTGACGTCGAGCAGATCGAGAAGCAGGGAACGTACCTCTGGCGCAGCCTTCACGAACGGCAGATCCCAGAAACCGTAAGTGCGGTTCTTCAGAATCTCAAGGAGCGTGATGATAAGACCCCATGGATGCGGACGATGCACCAATAGGCGCTCCATGAAGACGCGTGTGATCGTGTGCTTGACGTCTTCATTGTCTTGGGAGCCGAAAAGGTGAAGAAGCGCGCAGCTGAAATACTGCGTATGGGAGTTTGGCCAACGAAGCTGGTTGGCAATAGCGCTGATGAAATGGAACTTGGCCTCCGGACGCAAGTCCCGGGCAAGCCTCTCAATCAGTTTGGCTGCGGGGGCAGTACCGTCGAAGATGGGGCCCTTTGCGCCTTGCATCGCCAGCGCGCTAGTTCCAATGTAGAGAGTGATGGCGTGGATCAAAGCAGGATCAGCTGTTGTTACGTCTGCCTCAAAGCCAGCAGGCTTCGGCTCGTCATAGTAAACGGCATTGCAAAGCTGTTCGACATCTTGAGCTCGTGGCTCAGAGGCTCGCAGAATGCCATCAATAAGATCCTTGACGCCGCCCTGACGAAGCATCTGGTCGAGATCGGCGCGGATGGTGGGCGCCTGGCGGCTGTCGTCTAGGCGATCCACCTTCACGCCCGTAGTAAAGGGATCGGGCATCTCGAGGATGTTCGAGGGGTAGGCACTGACGATCAAGTTGCGCAGTTGCGTGCAATGCATCGGGATGCTATTGCAGAAGCGGAAGTGGTTCTCCGCCAGGAACTCGGGATAGTCGTGGTGAATGACGAGCAGAACGCGCAGTACGCCGCGGTAGAAGGTTTGCGCCATGATAGTCTCACCGGCAGGTCTAATTAGCTCACCCGTGAAGACCAGGAGAGTCTCCATAAGCTGTGCAAACACGTCCCAACCTTGGCTATGGCTGTCGTCCAATAAGGCGGGAACGAAGATCCGATGCGATACCAGAGTCAACCACGAGAACGCAAATCGCGGGAAATGCGTGGGCTGAAGGATGAGGAACGCCTTCGCGACAGCGAGGAAGATCTCGCTCTTGAATCCGGCGAAGACGTCTTCTTTGGCGGCCTCGTTGAGTTCGAACAGAATCGAGGAAAACAAGCGGAAGAAAACTTTCTGGCAGAACAGTTCGCTGTCTCCGCGTGCCCCTAGATTGTCTCCACGTCCAAGATACCTGTTAAGGACAAGAATTACGACCAGCAGAATCTGGTCGAGGTACTTCGCCTTGCTTTCCTTGACGGCTCCCTCTTGTTCGCCTTGGTATACGATGAGATCCACAATGAGCTTAGCAAGCGCATCGACCTTAACCGTGGCAATGTCAGGGTTGCCACTGCCGTACGGCAGAGACTGTTCCAGCCCGTACGCAGCAACGGAAGCATCGATACAAGTGCGGAAAAATTCGATCGATTCCCGGGGACTCTTGATAACCTGTGATACGTGCAACTGGTAAATGAATGCAGCGATGGACTTATTTGGTGTGTCGGGATGCTGTAGGTGGACCCATTCATCAAACACATACTCCAGTTGATCCTTTTGGCCGGTTGAAGGTGGTGTGAGCTCTTGATCTGCAGTATCAATTCGCAATTTGTTGAGCAAGTTTTTCCCAATCTCCAAGCTCGGATCTTCGGCGAGCCAGTTGGTAAGAGCGTCGATCGAGAGAGCGAAATCGGCGCGAAGGGCACTGGGATGCTCGTTGAGCAAGATCTCATCCATAAGTATAGAGAGCATCTCTAGGGCAGCCACGCGGCGATCTTGAATGGCCTTGGCGAGTATTGTGTTCAGCCGATGCATGTCCATCAGACCTACATCCATCAGAGCAACCATGACGGTGGCGTTAAAGATGCGGTCATCGTCATTGAGAGTCGCAAGCCACATGAGCACTTGCCTAGAAGTTGATACCGACATCTCGCAGAGGCCGCCCATGAGATGCGCCAAGGTCTCGATCTCCAAGCGGCTGAGACTGTCAGAGAACAGGTGATTCGTGACTTGACCAGCGATACGGAAAGCCCAGGCCTCCTTGTTAGGACCGGCAAAAGAGATGCTCGACACGAGCTGTTCAAAAGTATGATGAATTGGGCTCGTTGGCTGCAGGTCGCTGATGCGCTCTTCTGGGGCCTCTTTAACAAGGCGCATCATCTCGCCGAGCAGGTCCTCGACACCACGCCATCCACGTTCCAGTCCTGCGGGTTCCATGTAACCGTTGATTTGTTGCGGCGCAGGCACATGGGCAGCCTGAAGGCTTTGCAGTCGGGGCTGTTGAGCTGCCTGACGAGGTTCGGCCGGAGCAGCAGCGGGAGTGGGCAGATTCGGTACAGTGGCGAATTGATCTTGGAGTACGTCGGGTAGTTGTCTTCCACTGTCCTGCGATACGTTGTTGGCGTGGGGTGCATTGCGAGACTGCCTCCCGAATTCCTCGTAGATGGCCAGTTGCTCTCGGTTGAGACCTCCAGTGGTCTGCTTGTAAGGCTCGGGGATATAAAAGGCCCAAGGGCTAATGGCAGCGTCCTTGAACGGCTCGTTTGTGCGTTGCTGGCGGTAGTCTTGGCGGGCCTGGATTGCCTCTTGTATCTGCTGGTCAATTTCTGTTCGCGAAGATACCTCGGCCGCTTGTTCCACAGTGTTGCAAACGAGGTCCAGATTGTCATTCACAAACATGACCACGTGCCCTTCTGGTATGGCTTGCTCAGGTAAGTCGCGTGCCATAACACGGATATTGTTCTGGATGCTCATGCGCAGAGGTTCCTTGCAAGTGACAAGAGCTAGAGCGCCGGACAGCGACTTGACGACTGTGTAAGCTGCATTGCGCAACTTTTCCTCGTCGGGTTCCAAAGCGAAGTCCTTGCTGACAAGCTGAGACGTTGATATTGCTGCAATGGTGACAGATCGTTCAACAACAGGTGCGATGATCTCTTGGATTGCCTGCTGCACAGCAGTCTCAAAGATTTTCTTAATGGTGCTGTGCGGCACAACATTTGTGCTTGAGGGAGGATGTTGAAGCTGCGGACGGAAGTCTGGTAGAGCGGCCGTAATGGCAGCAGAAGAAAATCGTTCGCTGGGACCACGGGCCCGTTGAAGACTCATCAGGCCTAGGTCACCGAATGGCTCCAAGCCATCGGGCGGTGGCATTTGACCGATGAATTCTTCTTCAATCTGTGGCCTCATGCGGATGCAAGTCGATGCCTCAATGTCTTTGGGATCGATGTTTAGTCCTTTGCAGAGAACTTCGATCTCGAATTTTTGGTTAAGTTTAAGCTCAGCATGCTCATACAGCTCTTTGAGCACACTCAGAATCTCCATCAGCCATGGGTTCGGAGGTTGGAAGATGACGGACTTGGCTGCTTGCGCAAGGACTTTGCATGTGAACGGGATCACCAATAGCAGACGATCCGTGGCGTAACCTTCAATGAGCAGATCCTTGAAGGAGATGTTGCGGAACTTGATCGGCTGATTCCGCGCGATGGTGAGAGACCCAAGCCAGCCGCCGAGGTTCTTCAGATGCCCGCGCTCCGTTGAACCCAAGGTTCCTTCGCTGTTGAGCATGGCGACCACGACGACGTACGTTTCTCGTAGCACTTCAGCCCAGAGGATCTTGTTGTCGAAAAGGTCCAGCATGTCGAGGTAGAGCTGCTGGAAGTTGGGCTGCATCTTGGCACGTTCTTCCACGAGGTAGTTGGCGAACCACTGGTGATGTCTATCCTCCACAGCACCAGTGAGATCTCTAATCTTGTCTTGTAGGTTGCGTTCGGACACGTTGTTGAGTACAAACAGGACGCGGTCTTGAACTTCCTCGTCGGGGTCTTCGTACAGATCCGGCCGGAGCGGAGGGTCTACGTGAAGGCAAGTGAAGTTGGGAACAGCAGGCTCGGCCTGGAGCTGTTCGCCTGCGTGATTGCCATTCGTTAAGCCAACGGCATTCTGGTTGTCACCATTTACCTCGCCCATCTGTGAGCGTACCACCTCCTCGGCTTTGGTGTATATTTCCGTACCCTGGAGACCTGGGATGTTGAGCAGTTCTTCACAATAGGTCGGCCACTCGTGAAGTCGAGGAGAATAATGGATCAGTGCTTGGAGACCAAACTTGTACATGGAATCGTCCGGGCGATAGTCTTGAACGGCTTCGAGCACCATGGACAGGCCCACCCTAAGAGCCAGTCGCGAGAGCAAATTGTAGTTGATTATCCCACCAAAGAGGACTGCGGTCGTTGCCAATGCCTCCAGGGGGTATTCACCGAAGCAGTTGTATTCGTCGAAGAGCCCATGAATCATGCAAGCAAAAAGATCTTGCTCGGCCGGATCCCGAGATTCCTTGTACTTCTTCAAAACGGTAATGATCTCCCTAACATCACTCTCGCTGCTGTACATATTCTTGAAATGTTCTTGCATCTTTTTGTCGGCCTCCTCTGGAAGCGCGTTCCCATTCTGTCCATTGGCATCGATGATGTCGTCCACGCCCTCGCCGTAGTTGATCAGGCGTGGGTACGCCTGGATGCATCCTCGCTGGAGAGTCATCAGGTCTTCATCCGCGAGATTACAGTCGGCCAGGAACCAAAGAATGGGATAGACGGTCTTGACTGGAAGAGGCAGACTGTTTGACATATGTCCATCGTCCCGCGAACGCTGCATCTCCTCATTTGCTCGGGCGTTGAGAAAATTTTGCAAGATCTGGCGGAACAGAACACCTGCTTGATCGTAGGTCTGCTGTAGCCAAGGCTCGATTTGAAACAAGCCCTGCGCATGTGCTTGTGCTGCCAAGTCCAAGCTTATGTCCGTGTTGCTGCGAATCAGTGCCTCCAGCCACCCGTTCTGTTGTGCGTGCTGTAAGATGACGTTGAGAGACATGTTTTCGCTGTTATAAGCGTCGTTGAAACGCCCGATCAGCCATTGCGGATCTTGCTGCCAGAGCCCGTAGATGACGAACTCGTGCTTGGGTAGTTTCCTCCAAAAGTACGGTTCGAAGAGCTGCTTCAGCGCTTGCTCTTGTAATGCGCCCCAAGGCTTGGGAACAGCAGCAGCGGCAACAAGGAACTCAGCCGTATGCGGGTTGATCACAGCGTCCGGGATGCCCAGGACTTGTGCGTCGGCATAGGACTCTGCCGAGCGGAAGATCATCCCGAATAGAGCTCGAGTAGCATCGAGCGAGACGTATGGATGCTTGACCGCTTGCTCCGCAATCGCTTTGACTTCAGGGGACCCATTCTCGAAAGTGGCTAGGGAATAAGACTCTCGCAGTCGCGGAATCTGAGCAACGTCGAGCTCTTCGGGGGTGCATTCGAGGAACCGGGAGAGGAAGCTCAGCTGCGTAAGTTCGTTCTGCCAGGCACCGCCCCACATCAATTGGATATCGAAAGCTTCGGACTCTTGTGCGACAGGCAAGAGAGCATGGAAGATGGTCAAGAATTGCGCTTTCGACACGCGCAGGTTCTCGCGATCGAACGCGTGTACAACCTCCTGCCACTCTATGCGCTGACCCGTTCGATGTTCCCGCAAGGCAGCTACAAAGTTCTTTGCATTGTAGCCTGAAGATACAGCCAGGAAAACCAGCACGTTTGCGACCTGTTGATAGCTGATGTCTCGTGTTTCGGCGGAGGCAAGCGTTTCTTTGCACGCTTCGACCGACTCGGTGCCGCGGGGGCCGGCGCGTTGAATCAGCTTGACGAGCGGATTTTGTGAGGCATTGGACAATTCGACCAGCTGCAGCGCGGCCTCGACCTCAACGGGCATCGCGCTGTGTAGGTTCTGGTATCTGTATGTCAGGGCCGCGGTCAGCTTGACCACGCTCTCTTCATTCCAGTCAGACGGCGGATCTTGGAGAATGCGGTCAACCAGCGCGGCGAGATAGGTGGGTGAGTCTGGCAGTTGCGTGGGGTCGGGTCGCGCGATGGCCATAAGAAGGTCGTCGGTTATGGCGCCAAGAATAGCGTCCGCTATGTACAGTCAGCATTGTTGCGCGCGTTTTAAGCTTGAGCACCAACCTCTTGACTTCAGCTCTGCGTTACTGCCTAGCTTACACGCCGCAGCGAGCATGGCTTGGGAGAACACATCAAGCTGGAAGTGAGATATGAATGCAGTTAGATCGAATTCGCGGAAGAGGTCGCCTTCGGGCGAGTTGAGCGACTCGGCAATCTTGAGAGCCTGTTCAGGGTCCGTCCGCAGCTTCTGCATCTCCGTGACCAGTATCTGGTAGTTGCCGTTGGGGTCTGCGCTGCGGCCGCCCGTTGAGAAAATGTGCGCGGCATTGTTCTGCAACAGGCGGCGGAAGTACTTCGTAAATACCTCCATGCCGTTCGAATCAATCAGCTGAGCGAGTCAGCATGGCCGCAAAGAGTGTGGAGGAGCTCAGGATACGTACCTTCCGGATCTGCTCCGCCTGCGTCTCCCACTTTGCGCGGTCCTTATCGTCCTTCACAGGCCCAAACTGGCTGAGCAACAGGAACACCTGGGCAATGACAATGCGTGAGAGGTTCTGATTATGCGCCGATGCGCTGGCGGGATTGGCCGACGTGCTGGGTGAACCCACTGTGCTTGACGTGGACAGCGAGGGCGAGGCGCGTACAAGTCTGGACACTGAGGCCCCTCCGCCGCTGCTCGACGCACCACCTGCTGCGGCGGCGGAGGCCAGTTGCGAAGGCTGCTGTGAAGTTATGGTCCTCGACCGGGAGGACAGCAGCTGGCCGACGGGGGGCTGCTGTCCCGCGTGCGAGGGCGAGAAAGGCGCCGAGGTCGACGATGCGGCCGACAACTTGCGGCTTCCGACGTGACGCGCCGTGGACGGAGGCAGCGAAGGGAAACTTGACGTAGCTGGCGAGAAGCCCGGCCGCGAGCCGCTGGGGGAAGGCGTGTTGCGCTGTTCGTTGGTGATATTCGTGGAGATGGGGGTCAGACGTGTGCTCTGAAGGTGTCTCGGAGGGCCCCAGGGTGGTTGCTGGCTGCTCATCTAGGCGTTCCCATGAGCAGCGCGTGCGCAGGGAGATGGGCCGAGTATGGGGGTTGGGATGGGGATGTAGGAGGATATATTGGGTCGTCGCGAATGTCCCGCTCCCACCACCAAAGCGATTCGCGACCGAATGCTTGGCATGCCCCAGCCCGCAATGGGCGGCTACTACTGCTGACTCGCCCGCTACCCAAGTTCAGGGGGCAAGCAGAATGCCCTCGCACGGTGGTTTCCGCTTCTACGTCGTGATTCTGACAATGAGTGCAGCCATGTCGCCCTACATCATCGGTGAGCACATGGGATGCAGTGCATTGTGCCTCTTTGGCGGTAGCGACTGCTCCGAAGCGCGCCTGCTCCCAACGAACAGCCCGGCCTACAGATGAAACTGTGAGTATGTCTGCACTTTTATGACTTCAATTCATCACGGTTGTATCTAGATTATATGCGCTCCACTCCCTTACGCCAGATGGACGGGTGGCCAATGCCGGGGAAAACACTGCTTGGAAGCATCCTTCAACCCGAGAAATCCAACACCCGTCTAATAATTGAGAAAATCGACTCGCAACCCCATAGATGATTCCAAAAAAATAATCGAAGAAAACCATACCGACCATACTATAAAATCAATAGACCAGAAATCAAAACCCTCCTTCAAAGCGACGCATCTTACAGTCTTGCTCTCTTACGTACCCACCCCGCAGCATCCCTTCCAGCCTCTCAACAATCGCCTGAGCTGTGGAAGTGCTTCATATCCGGCCATTGCGAATCGAACAAGTCCTGGAAGCATTTGTGACTATGATGCGCATGCTTACAGTCTTGATACAAACCCTCGGCCTCGCCAGGGAAAAAGCATTCCGTTAACTTCCGTAGTTTCGACATTCTGTGGATTTCCTCCTTGCAGTCTTGCTTGTCACGACCATGCTTGCAGACAGCGCCGCATGCGCACTGGTTGTGTACGGAGGTGCTGGGGTCACAGAGGTACTTGCAATTGACCTGGGTGGTCTTGCGTGCTTGGAGGCGGTGCAGTGTGGCGTTGGTGGCAGCAGCAGATTGCTCGACGGCACGCTTCTTATCACCATAGTCGTTGTTGTCCACGGGGCAAGGGGCTCGACCCATGTGGCAATCTTTCCACGTCTTGAGCAGGCCGGGGATCGATAGCCAGTTAGGACCGAAGTACGCAGTGAGGTAGGCATTCATCTGATCATCATTCATATACTCGCACTGCAACTGTTAGCGTATATCATCCAGTCACATCAAGCTGCACCGAGAGCGATGAGATGGTGACTGAAGATAGAACACTCACCTCATCGTCCTCCTCGCCATCGCAAACGGTTCGGCACGCCTCGATGTCTGCCGGGCGCCGGTACCTGTACCCATACTCGCAGATCTCCCTACAGTTGACGCAGTGGCTGTCCTTGATATCTCCAGGCTCGTCGAAGATATCCCAGCGGCGGTCAAGGTGGTGGCGCTTCGAGTCCGCGAAGAGGGAGCGGTCGAGGTGCTCGAGAAGGTAGTCCTTGATACCGTGCCTGCTGAGGGTGTTGATGTGGTCGGCGTCGTCGGGGAACAGAGCCAGCGCAAGGTTTTTGCGCTGCTTCTTGTTGAGGTGCTCAGACTGGAAGTGTCAGATCTGTCTTGGGTGAAACGTTGTCCTGGTGTAGGGAAGAAGGAATAGGCCAAGAAGATGGTGACGATAAAATAGAGTGTAGGGGAAGCCGGAACAGGGAAAGCGGTGACAACAGTAACGAATTGGGAGGGATGAAAAGGGGAGAGGAATCGAGTCCTGGATCATGCATACCTCGTCATTCTTGTTGCCTTGGCACACAGTGTTGCAAGCATTACCCTCTTCCCACCTGGGGCTGGCGCACAGAAGCTTGCAATTGATTATGATGGAGGACCTTGCCTCTAAGCTCCTCCTGATGAAGGGGAACGCGAGTGACCCTGTGTTGTTGGTGGGAGCAGCATCGACAGCAGGAATAAGGGCGGCAGCAGCAGCCCCTATAGCGACAAGCTTGATCAGCATGGTGAACGGTGCTCAATTTGACAAGTGACGTGAAGAGTGATGGTGAAAATGGAACGGGATGAAGGTGAAAATAAGACAAGGCGAAAGGAACCAGGGATATATAGGGAAGATTCGAGTACAATTCTGGTTGAAAGTGTGGAGATACTATTCTGCGTTCTTCATCCTCATAGGCCACTATGAGATGGTTGTCGATAGGAACAATTTCTCCGTTTTGCTAAAGAGCGCGCTTCATTATAGCCCCCCGACATGATATCAAGTAGATTTTGTTCTTGTGGGTTGTTGCTGCACCGCGGTCTCAACTGCTCCTCATCTTAAGATTAGCGTGGGATCCACATAGGCTGCTGTGGAAACGCGGCGCACTACATCGGTCTGGTTGAGAAGTTCGGAAGCCTCCCGGTGAGATTTGAACCGAGCATCGAGGCGGATGCGAGCTGCTGATAAGTTCAAAGCATCCCAATACGAAGAGTGTCCCCGCCGAACTGCCCATCTCTCCAACATGTCTTGAGTTCATCCAGGACGGTGACATTCTAGCGGGAAACTGGTCTGTGGATGCGGCGTATCGGTCTCTCAGCGAAGCAGTGTACAGGATAGTCTTGGAGATGCGGCAGTGGTAGTGGCCGGAATCTAAAGTCGCGCCTCAACGCATGGGGAATTCCAATAGAATGTAGCTTCGCAAGAATGCCTCGATTAATCAAGCAGACTACTCGTAAGGCGAGGACGTGCTGCGGCAGTGATATTTAGTGTTTGAGTGGTTCTTCGTGGAGGTGCGAGGCTATGTGGCTCGGTCGGTGCTACTGTTGATCTCAAATCAACGGCCACGGACATGCTCATTATCTGCTGTGGCCTTTTCTTTGCCAGCGCCATTTGGTGATGGGGCAGATGGTTATTGGAAAACGGACACTGCCTAGTGCGAAAGACATGGTCTCTGGTTCGCTGGCGCCGTTCCGGGAAAGGACTCCGAAAGAGCGAGCGTGAACGGCTTGGCTTGGGCACGTGATGCTGCGCGAGCATAGGAACACAGCAGCTCTGTCTTTCTCAATCTCACAGGACAAAAGGGCGACCTAAACAAGCATATGCAGCCTTTATCGCCTGAAGAATACACAAACATGGCAGAGTGTTCTGAGGCAGCGCGGCGGAGAAAAGCCTGAGCTTCGAGCGAACATAGAAAGCACAAGGAAGTGGCTCATTCAGTGACGGCCCTTCGACAATTACTCCCGCGGGTTTCAAGCATTGCTAGAGGGTGCATTCTGTAGGCTGCCAGTGCACAGGATGCAGATGATGACGATGGCGGTGTTCAATTCCTGGCAGCTGGCGGTTAATCGCTAGCGACGCGTGTTGTCCCTCGCAACGGCGGCGATCCCGCGTCGTAAACACGGCCCTCCACAGCCCCATCCCGAATCCCTGCGCCCCGCGTCGAAGCTCACGAGCTCACATCGCACTCGCAGTAATTACTAGGGAATATACTTACTCTCCACGCGTGCTGTCTTTCGCTACTCTCTCAGTGCAGTCGTTCCGCGAACCCCACTCGCTCCCAACATACACATCGGCGCCATGGGTGCGCCAGCGGCGACAGAGCCGCCTTCGGTCACGCTCTCGTGTATGATCACGCAGAACTGGGTGCAAGGATACAGCTGATAGAACGCAGTTGCCAACAACTTCTGGGGCAAAGATGACGCGGGCGTCTCTCCCATGCTCGAGCGCATGCACAATGCCAAAGTCACATCCGACGAGCTCAAGTCGTTCTACGCCGCGCGGGCCGCCATCGAAGACGAATACTCGCGCAAACTCCTGAATCTCGCGCGGAAACCCCTAGGGTCGTCGGAATCGGGCACGTTGCGCATGTCGTTCGACGTGATCCGCGGCGAAGTCGAGTCCATGGGCAAGGCACACCAGAGCGTCGCGCAGCAGATGAAGACGGAGCTAGAAGAACCACTCCAGGCGTTCGCTGGAGGTATGAAAGAACGAAGGAAGATTGTGCAGAATGGAATCGAGAAGCTGCTCAAGATGAAGATGCAGCAGACGGCCTCCGTTAACAAGGCCCGCGATCGGTACGAGAATGACTGCCTCAAGATCAAGGGCTTCCTCGCACAAGCACACATGGTCATGGGCCAGGAAGAGCGTAAGAACAAGGCAAAGCTCGAGAAGACACAGATACAGCTCTCCGACACGGAACGGGACTACGAGGCGGCGGTCAAAATCCTCGAGGAGACAACTGGCCGGTGGAACAGAGACTGGAAAGCAGCTTGTGATGTGAGCAAGGTGCCTGTCATCATATGGGGTCATGCTAACGCGCACAGAAATTCCAAGACCTGGAGGAAGAGCGCATCGATTATACGAAGAGCAGCCTGTGGAACTTCGCCAACATTGCGTCCACCGTATGTGTCAGCGATGACGCTGCATGTGAGAAGATAAGACTCTCGCTCGAGGACTGTGATGTCGAGAAAGACATCACAAATTTCATACAAGGCCAAGGAACCGGCCAGGAGATCCCCGATCCGCCCAAGTTCATCAACTTTGCGCGAGGTGACGCCGACACGGCTTCGCAGACCTCCGAAGACGAGAACTTTTCAGTAGCTCAGTTCGCCAGAACTATGAATCCTGCGTACCGAGCATCGTCACCGGCACCTTCGAGTTTCGATTCACACAACGACCCGAACAATCCGCTCGCTCGTGAGCTGCTCGGGAACAACACCAAGCCGGTACCGCAAGAACAGATCAACGTTGCACCGCAACAGGCACAGTCTACTCGGCCAGCTGCTACGTCGAGAGCTTCGCATCATTCCGGCCACTCTGCGCACTCGAATCGAGCACCACAACCCGATCCTCGGCTGATCCAAGCCCAGCAACAGGCGCACCAGCAATATCAGCAGAATAAGGTCCCTCTGAACGACTATCCACAAGACGGGATGACTCAATTTTGTCGCGTCGGGCCACCTGCAGAGCAAAGCCCGGCCCCGAGCCCCGTTCGCCCTTCGAGCAGAGACTCTCAGAGCGACTACTCCAATCCTACTTCCTTCTCAAGCATCGAACCGCCGAGTGGATCCGCATCGCCAGGAAAGCCCATGTTCGAATCACCTCAGCCGGTAGAGGATATGCCCGTGCAGCAGAAGAAGGGCTTCTTCCAAAAGAACCCCTTCGCGCGAAGGCAGAGCAAGCCAGAGGTTCAGCCTCCACCCTCCATTACGCCGAGCGGCCGCAACACCTGGGGCCCTGCATCTAGAGTAGCGAATAACGAGAACGTCAGTCCCACACGACCACATGCTGGCAGAGAACGAGGCCACACCCTGAAAGATGTCCCGACTCCCAGCCCTGAGCCTGTAGACCCGCGAGCGAACTTTCAACTCAACATTGGCAACAACGTCTTCGACGTGGCTTCTCCGGACAGTAAGAAGGAGAAGAAGTCAGTAGATCCTCAAGAAGAGCTGGACCCCATTGCTCAGGCGCTCGCCGAGCTCAAGGGCGTCACCAAGCAGACCTCTCTGCGCGTGTCTGCTGACCGCTATCACGGCCTTGCAACACCACAGCCGCCTGCTACGCCCGCCGTAGGAGCCAACCTTCCAGGAGGAGCTCCTACACCACTTGTCAATGCCAGTATGAATGCTGCTAAACGTGGAACACCACCTCCCTCGTACGACGCACCGCCAATGTCCCGCCTTGGTGCCCCCAAGCCAGCACACACCGCGCGCCAGATGCAGAAGACCACGGAAATGTACGTCCAGCAGAAAGCCAGCGTCTTCAACACGGGCGCCTCATCGCGTCCTTCCACCCGCGGCGGCGCCCAACAAGAAGCCCCCCGAGCACCCTCACCCGCTCCTCGCGCCGTCAGCCCTCAGCCAAGCATGTACCGCAGCCAGCAACAACAAGCTCCTGCCTCCCCCGCCTACCGTGCCGCCTCTCCCAACCCGTACGCCGGCGGCCGCCCGCGCGCCCAAACCGCGACTCAACAACAAGCGCCGAACCCCTACGGCACCCCCACGGGACGCGGCTCCTACTCGCGACAAGGCGGTGGCGGCGGCGCTGGCTCTCCAGGCATGCCCCGGGCGGCCTCACCTCAACCACCCCAGCCGCAGTACGCACAGGCGCAGAGCCGTCCCGGCTCGCGCGCCGCACCGTCGCAGTCGTCTCCCCAACCAGCCTACGCCAACCCCAGACCCGCGTCCAGAGCGGCACCCGCCTCCCGTGCTGCGAGCCCAAATCCCGCCTTCCGCTCAAGCTACGACCGCCCGAGCAGCTCGCGCGGGAGCGATATGGCGCTGCAGCTCGCGCCGGCGGGGAGCGAGCGCGGGGATGGGAGTGTGTATGGGGGCAGTGTGAGGGGGCGGAGTGGGACTGGACAGGGTCAGCAGAGGCCTCAGAGTAGTTACTACGGCGGTGGTGGAGGAGAGGGATTGCAGCATAGCCCGAGTACGATGAGTTCGAGGGTGCGGAGTAAGAGCGTCGCCGAGCCAAGGCAGTATACGAGGGATGGGCGAATGATTGTGAATTATTGTAAGCTGAATCTCGCTTTGCTTAGGGGTTTTTGGGCTAACACAACGAACAGCACGAGCGATGTATGTTTACAACGCGCAGATCCCCGAGGAACTGTCTTTCGCGAAGGGTGATATCCTCGCTGTGCTGAGGTTGCAGGACGATGGGTGGTGGGAGGCGGAGGTGGTGGGCAAGGATGGGCGGAGGGGCCTTGTGCCGAGTAATTATCTGCAGGCGTGCTAGTCAGAGACACAGAAGGGGAAGTAGGTGGAAAATGAGGAATGAGGATGTCAGAGGATGGATATGCGGATACCCGATTATTGCTGCGTTCCTTGCGATGAGTACCAGTATGCTTTTGTGCATTTTTGGCGTTTGGAAGGTGGGCTGGGTGTTTGGGAATTTCTTCGATTCTTGCACTCGTTAGCGAAGGTTACGTGAGATGTATGTATATGCGTGGAACGAAATGAGGACAGATTGTTACACGTATGTGTGAGATGTGAGGGCTGTGATGATGGTGGTGACATGCGTTTTCATGAAATTGCCGGTTTGGGACGGAGATGGGATGGCCCGTTGGCATGAAGAGAGCTTCTCTCGCCCATTGCTTTGATTCTTCGCACTTCTCGCTCCTTGGTGAGGGGCACTAGAAATACCTACAGCGGGACATCATGGCTGTCCTCGTCTGGGGCTTAAACTTGACTACAATGGGACCGTGGGATCTGTTGTTTGAAGACTAAAACGAGGCGTTTCAACGACTCATGACGTTTGTTGGCTGGGGACTATCAATCGACATCCTTCGAGTATATGGCGCTGCTTGCCTGAGAGACCAAGATTGCCTTGACCGGGAGTATACGGCGCGGCTTGCCTTGGAGACTCAGAACTCAGAAAAGCTCATTTACTTCAGCTCAGCGTTCTTCCTCGCTGGCCACTGAAAAGCACTGATCTGTCAAATACATGCGTTTCGTTGTCTGTGGGATAAGAGAGCCATTTCGGTGGATATACGGCTCTCGTCATCCGTGGACTCAAAACGCCGCGAAAGAACTGCACGGGTTGTCCTGTCTGGGGACTCGAAAAGCATATCAAACAGCGAGATAACTCCTCTCAGCGACTACGAGATCATCGGTTTGCAGGCTATAGCTCTTGGTCGCTGAGGACCAAAACATCTGCACGACACTCAATACGACTTTCCTCGTCTCGGAGATCAAATATAACGAATCCACATTAATACGTCTTCTGGTCTGGAACCAAAACTCCTTTTATCCGTAATCACGGTCCCCTTCGTCTGTGAATCAAAACTTAGACTCTCCTATGTTATGTCCTCTTTGTCCGGGAATCGGGATGGCCTTGCTACAATCAAATGGCGCTCTGTTTCTGTTACTTAAGAAAGGAAATCCTCCAATGCGTCTCCTGGTCTAGGAAAAATGAAAGCGGACGTAAAAGGCATGGCTCCGAGGTTTTTGTGGCCTAGAAAGACTGACTGGAGCTGATCACGGCTCTTGGTCGCGGCATACAAAAGGAATTGAGGACTTTCGTACTGCTTCGACTCGTTTGGAGACCAAAACTGGGAGACCTAATTTTCATGTCTCCGTTGCTTTGACGACGAAAAGAGAGTTGCTCCCGCTTTATGCCTCTCCAAGCCTGTGGGTCTGAGATCACAGTCGGCAGCGCCATGGCATTTCTGGCCTGGGATCGAAGTCCGACATGCGTCGTGGTGATAGTTCCGCCGATGTAGGCAATCAAAACAACGATTCTAGTGGCAGCATGACTTTTCTCATCTGCGGTAGCGGAAGCAGAAGTCTAGCAATGGCATGATTCTCCTGTTCTTGGGACTCGAGGACGACCCCAAAGATATTCATGGCTATCTTCTTTTCCCAAGTAAAAGTCATACCGTCATATATCTGCGCTGCGCGGGGCCAAAAATCGCCGCACCGTGGACCCAATCACTCGTCTCGCCCGGAACATCAAAGATAGCGTCCAAGATGTCATAGCTACATTCCTCTGCAGACTCAAAATACCGCCATCACCCGGGACATGATTCTGCGCTGCGCAGCAACTCAAAAAGCGTACAATCCCCGACATGTTTCTTCGGCCTCAAAATGGCACTCCTGTAAATGTATGGCTCCCTTCCTTCGCGGACCAGAATGGAGCTCGTAGCCATTATATCAAAGATTTACGCGACTCATCCGCTTCTGTGGTCTCCCTACTCTTCTTTCTACCCGGCATGGTACCCAAAACTTGATTTCCCAGCTTGATGTCTCGCCTGTGGTGCCTGTCCAAATATGCCGCCCATCCGACCTATGGGTACGGAGCGCCTGTGTGTCAATATGCATATTGCGGGGGTTCACAATGGTGACGATAGCAAATTACGGCTTTGGAATGTATGTCCAAAACAAATGTCACCACTCCCCATGTGGGGCTGAGCTCTAGCGTGGTTCCCACTATCTTGACTCTTCTTAGTTCTGGGGAAGACATGTATGCTAGTAAAAACCGACTCGCCTGGGCTGTCTGTTTGAATGCTCAGTACTCAGCCAATGAGCGATTGCCAACTCGTAATCTCCTTCACTTCCTCACGAATCCGTCTCCGTTCTCTAGTAATCAAACATGGCAGTACGGAACCCTTCCTCATGTAATCCCTGCATGTACCTGCTGCATCAGCGTGCTTAGATACAACTTATTGTGGCTTTGAATCCTCACCACTTCTGTCCTCGGCAGGGGTGGGACTAAAAGTGAAGCTTGACGATGAAAATGGTTCTTGGGCAGACTCTAAAAGCCTGACACGGAAACACCATGTATCTTCTGTGCTTTCCGCTCCGTTGCTAAAACGTAATATGACCAGAGACTATGTCTTGCTCTCGAGAGTCACTCAAATTATATGAGAGCAGCTCTGATGTGCTCGCTGAGCCTCCCATGTTGACTGTTTGCGACCAAGTGGTTTATCGCGCCATCAACGTCGCGTCTGTCTAATAGTCCAGGATGAATGAGCAAGCGCTCGCCGGGTCGCTCTCCGAATGATATAACGACCCTTCGGCCGGACCAATGGTGCTGTCACACAAGTACTGGCTGTCGTTGTCCACCCAAAGTCGAATATCCAAAGTCATGCACTTTAAGTTCCGCGGGGATATAAGCAACCGAGTGTCTCAAGTCTGGCGTCTACACCTTACATCCCTTAATATGATGGGATTAAGGGCGGACGGCGTTTATTTATGAGCCCTGTCTTTCCCCAACGAGCGGTCGCCCTGAAGCATGTGCTTCCTGTCATGATGTTCGGTTTGCGAGACATCACTTCAATCATATTACTGAATTTTCAATCTATTGAAAGTTAGGAGAGGCCCCAGTCATGGAAACCCAATCCCTCCAGCGAGATGTTGCAGTCTTGAGAACCAAAAAGGGCAATGTCAAGAACAAATGTTTCTTGGCCTGGGATCTTGCGCAACGCGCAGACAGCTCTGAACCTTGGTTGAGGAGTTTCCAACCTCTTCTACCTACCCGCCCATGCCCCTGAAGCCGTGCATAAGCGCCCAAACCCGTGCACACCGTTTTGTACCCCTCCACCACATCACCAAAATTCGATTGTCGTAGGCACCATGGCTCTCGTGCTGTTCTTTCATGATATTCTGCATGCTGAGACATCTATGTACAAAATTCGGAGAATGCCGAACCATGTTCGTGCGCATTAGACAAGCCTCAGTACAAAAAGGTGATTTGCTTTTTCTACGTGCGCCCTTACGTCCACCTGGCGTACTTAGAACCATTCCCCCACATTCTTCCTAAGTGGGTTTATCATACTTTGGAGAATAACCATGACGTCAAATGATGATTGTAGAATCTGCACCGATTTCGCATGCTACGAATAGGAAATGTAAAAGTACGCTTCTGAAAGGGTTTCGAAGCGCGTGTTGTCGCCTACGCGCCATTTTGAAGCCTCTTCGCCCCTTCTGAAAGATATGCATTCAGGCGCCCGAATTACCATCACCCACTCTCCCGTTACCAATCAACCGAACATACATCACTCACAATTTAGGATCATCACCAGGGCGTTCATGACTTTCAAGAGACATGCCAGCCATGTGATACGTCGTCTCAGATCCGTCAGCTTCTTCCTCGGTCCTCAGGACGGGGTGACTTCTCAACGCCGCATTGCGTCCCGGGGACTGTGGTGACTGTAGCTGTGTCTCGCGCGCTGTGCTCTGTCTATTTCGTACGGGTGTTGTCAGCGGCGAATTACTAATGGGAATGCGGCTCGGTGTGGACGAATGGGAAGGTTGCTTAGGTGTGGGTGGTGTGGGCCCCTGCAATGGTTGGAGGCCGACAGGGTCGTGCAAAGCGTAGATCTCCTGCGTCCGAACACGGATAGGCGACATAGGTGCTGAAATGCGCAGCTGATTCCTGTTCGGCGAGTCTGATGTAGAGGTAATGCTGGCCTTTCTGGTGCGGGATGGTCGTCTAAGAGATAGAGAGGAACGGCGCGAGAATGTAGGTGGCGGACTAGCTTCGGTTGTTCTGGGTGATATGACACGAATGGGCGCCATGTTCTCATCTTCATCGTCAGATTCGTCCATGCAATCGCCTTCTCTGGCTCGATCGTTTATTCTGAACTTCTTTCTGAGACTGCGCATCCTCTGTCGCATTCTGGGACGTTCTTCGTCATTATGCTTGCTGGTACCGGCCCCATCGACCTGCATAATATCGGCCGGGTAATCGCTATCATCTTCGCATTCGCTTTCCTCGAATGAGGTAGGATGGCCGCAATCGTTGTGTTCTTCGCTAGCCTGCGATTGTATCCGATCCAAATCACTCTTTAGCTTCTTTACTGTCTGTGTCTTACTCCAGAGCTGGAGATATTTCCCACGTTGGTTAAGAAGCTCCTCATGAGTCCCGCGTTCGATAATGGCTCCCTTGTCCATCACAAAGATCTGATCAGCGTGTTGCACCGTTGAAAGCCGATGAGCGATAACTATAGTCGTGCGGCCCTGACAAATCCTGCGGAAAGATTCTTGAATTTCCGATTCGGCAACATTATCGATACTTGACGTAGCTTCATCAAGAACGATAATACTCGGATTGCGCAGGAACAGCTGTGCTATTGCTAGTCGCTGTCGCTCACCTCCTGAAAGTTTCACGCCTCGTTCCCCGACCACCGTGTTATAAGCCATAGGAAACCTCATGATCTGGTCATGGATCGCGGCATCCTTGCAAGCAGCTACAACCTCCGCATCAGTAGCGTCTAAGCGTGCGTACCTAACATTTTCCATTACGGTGTCGTTATTGAAGACTGGCTCCTGCCGGACGATGCCAACAGTCTCTCGCAAACTCTTTTGCGTTACGCCGCGTATGTCTTGGTTATCGATGGAGATGGACCCTTCGGTTACGTCGTAAGCCCGGAAGAGCAGCTTGTCACACGTTGTGGTCTTGCCACTGCCGGACTGGCCGACAAAAGCGACCGTGGAACCGGGTTCGATAGTCAAAGTGAGGTTGTTTATTACCGAGTTCTTGCCATCGTATGAGAAGGACACATCACGGTACTCTACTTTGCCCTCGTAGAAAATGAGATCCTGAGCTCCCTTGTTGTCGAAAACGGTTGGTTCTGTCTGCATAAGTTGTCGCAAACGTTCGACGTCCACAAGGATCTGGACTAGGGAGTGATAAAAGTGCGCCAGCTTGAACAGTGGATTGATGAAGAAGCTCCAATAGAACAAGAGCGCGACGAAGTTTCCAACGGCATCTTTCGTGTGAGTAGTGAGGTGCGCAGTGCGAAGGAGGACAGCCAGATACCCGAAGGTAACCACCAAGGTCTGACAGGTTCGCATGATCCCAGTAAGGTCGTAATTATACGCCTGTTCAGCCAGCACTTGTAAACTTAGACTCTTGAGGCGATTCTGCTGATGCTCTTGTCGGTTGAGATAGAATGTAGACATCCAGTTTGCAATAGCCTCGTGGAGGACGTCCCACTCGACACGCGACATTTCTCGGTACTTTCGGCGAGCAGCTGCACACAGAACTGTGCCCTTGTACGTGACTATTCCGTAGAAGACGTAAGTGCCTGTGAGTATCAATGCCACATAGACATCGAACAGATACGTTACGTAGGCGAACGCGATCACTATGTCGAGGACTAGTGGAAGAGTGGACTCCACGAAGTCGTCCACGAACTGGTTCACAACTTGACCCTGTCCAATGGCGGCGATAATTTCCCCAGTCTGCTTGTTCTCGTGGAAGGCGTATGACAGGCCGGCGACATGCGAAGCAAGTGACATAAGCAGGTCGAGGTAGCTACCGTAGAAGAGTCTAATACTCAACCATTTCCTTGCGGGTTCTATCAGGACGTCGTAAGGAACCTTTACTGCAAATATATAAATCAGAATCTGGTGAGATAGCGTGCTATCGTTGTGGTTGTTACTGATCGCCTGGACGATGTTGCCAAGAAGTCGAGGACCGAACAGCTGAGCCACCCTACCGGCAACCATGAGTACAACCATGACCAGTGCGTAGATCTGACGTCGCGCGTCTTTGAAAGGAAGCACATATGGCAGCAGGAATTTGACCTCGCACAGATAAGCCCACCAACCACCGACCTTTTCGATGTGCTCTTGTTGCTCTGAGGTTGGCAGAGTATCGTCGGCTCCGTCTGCATCCTGCTTGGTATCTTGCAGATCATCATCCAAATGGCTCGATCGACTTTCGTGCGATGCTTGCAAAAGAGGCTCACTCTCAGCATCCCGTGGCCGTGGTTTGCCTGACGCGATGATGGAAACGCAGAGGAAAACCAGGCACACGATCCGAAGGAGGCCGATGGACAACTGGATAAACTCAAAAACATTTGAAGGATATGATGAGAAAGTCGAGAGGGTGATCACTGTGTCGAGAAACAAGGCAAGTGTCCATGTTGCCAGGTTCGACATCCAGTAGAGCCGTTTCGCGTCGACTTGGATGATGTAGGTGACCAGCCACAACAAGAAATTGAGAGTCGTGTATGCCACACAGTCCGGCCGAGCTACTGCATCAGCTTCGATTGTCGCATGGCAAGACTGAATGAGTCCGTCGAGAAAGTGCAGGGAGCATATCGCCGCGATGAAGTGCTTCGACAGCGCTCGTTGCGATGCGCTGAGTGTGGCTCGTCTTGACGGTGGAACAAAGAACACGATTGCCGCAGCGGAAAAGGCTCCGCAGACAACAATGGTGAAAGGAGCACAATATCGAAGGATGCGGAGATAGCCGCTTGCGGAAGTCATGATGATTTGCACGCGGCTCATCGATAGCGCAGTGTGGATGATGTGCGCCGAAGAGAGCTTGAGAGCAAGAAAGAAACAATGAGGGTTGCTGTGATGATCATCGCTGGCACTTGCTGAAAGTCCAGAGAGTGCTGTTGGAGAAACAATGTAAGAACGACCAAGCGTCTGGCCTTGGGAATCCGTAAGGCGTTGGCACCTTCCGGGCTGCTCTTTCTCTTCTGTGTCACGAGGACGTCGCGTTCGGTTCCTCGGGCAGGCTCGGCAACATGTCAATGGCTGAGTCGGGGTTCCAGGGAGGCGTTTTGGGGGAAGTTCTGTCCACAGCAAGAGTCGCGAAGGACGCCTGAGGATTGGATAATTGCGGTCCTGGCAAGGCGAGGTCGGTGCGTCTACGAATTCTCCAGACGCGCTAGTGATCCGGCCCGCTACCCGAGCTAATCAAGCTCGTTGCGTTGAAAGGCATCCCCAAGCTCTACAACTGTCCTTCTCCAGTGCTTGCGACGATCTACAAATGCAGTACAAGGATTTGCCAACTGCGCCAATAGTACAATGACCGGTCGATAATGCAGGTGAGCTTGAGCTGAACGGTCTGTTGCATGCCGGCTGGACGTTGATACGACCGTCGATGGATCAATGAGAATGCGGGAACCTGCGTTATACCTGCATCTGCGCTCACCTCCGAGAGCAGCCCACGTTCTGTCGACCCTGGATCCGGCTTCGGACAAGCAGGTTGAGTTATGACCACCGCAAGGCGTGCAATATTCCACATGCACCTAGTGCATACAAGGCAGTGCTGTTGCGCAACACGCCATACAGAATTTCCTCCTCGATCCGACAGTTGGGTCGTTAATCAGGTGGCTTCCGATGGCTGGAGTAGAGGTGCTTAGTTAGCGTGGAATATGCATGCGAGCTGCGGCTCGTCTACGGAACAATTGGCCAATGCCAGTCATCGCATAAGCGTCCTTCTAAACTAGTTTTCGCATGTATGTGCTGTCCAACTGACCGCGACTTGCGCCGAGCATGTTCGAGAGCTGAATCAATCCATCACGAGGAAGGACCACGTTGGATAAAAGGGAATCCGACGGCTTTGCGACCAGTCAACATTGGTTACGTCACGAAAGCTGTCAACCAATCATTAGAAAGTCTGAGCTTCTAACCTCGTCGCACTTCACCATGCCACAACAGGGCACGAATTGCACATGGGATTGGACTAATCAGTATCAGCCTCTGCCGAGACAACAGCCTTGCGGCCTTCGCACTGCAATGGTGGGACTCTCAAATCAAATCAAAAGATCTCATGGACACGTTCAGTGTCTCCTTGGACTTTAAGTTCTTTGCTTGAGATTACGCCTACAAAGCCAGCATGTCCCATACTCAGGATTAAGCATCTCGCCTACCAATGGTGACCTTGCAACGGAGTCCTGATGTCAGGAGCAAATTCCTTTCTGTTTCCGACATCGCTCTGCACTATTGAAAAACATCAAGAGAGGAAAAGGCAGCCATATGATAGTCTCTGACCTCCAGGGCCCATGAATAAAAGGTAACGTCCCCTATACGTGAAGAAAAGCCCCCTGTGCCGATATGAAAAAACCATAAGAGAAGTTCATTATTCAGGGTTCGGTGCTCTGGGCAAGGCTCCCTAGGACATTGAGGCTACTTGAGCGTCTCCTCACCGGTCAGGCTGCGCCAAGATGCAGCCTGATGGGCAGCGTGCACAACCGCTTCTGCGCCACCCTTATCCTCATTCGTCCTTATATCGAGGTTCGAATGCCTTGCGCCCATATTGAAGAACCGAACGAACCGAACAAGCCACACGCGTCGCACGAGCTATGAGATCGCCTTCGATCCGTAGCCATGGCTCCCTTGCGTCTCTTGCAGCGCAAACCAGACAGCAGCCTCGTCTTCCACGAAATGAATAGCAGCAACATTCCTGCTTACGCAATGCTCTCTCATACCTGGGGGAAAGAGGAGCTGGACAGTTCACTGCCTAAGAATGCACTTCAAGCGTACTTCTTCAGCCAAGCGACTGACCCGCGCATCAATAGCGCCACGGCCGTGCTGCGAGGGCTGTTGCACATGCTCATGAGCCAGCAACCGTCGCTTTTATTCCACATCCATGACTCAATTGATTCAGGGTGATACGTGGAATACAATTACGCGATGTTGCGCAATGCTAAGGAAATTCGCAATGGTGCGATCATAGAGAAGGTTCATCGGAGTGAATGAACAGTACTACATACAAAAGTAACTGGCGGCGGTTTAGCATGCTGATCAGTGTAGAAGGAGTGGAAGGCGAGATATTACACAGAACTTGCTGGCAAGGGTTGTCGTGACTGTAGAACAGTTTGGAGATATTAATCTCCAATATAGGCACTTCCCAGCTCCCAACCCGCCCGGTGGCTAGGCAGCCTTAACCCTGTGCAAACTCCTCCACAGATATCACCAAAAGGAGAAGGGATACAAACTCCCACACAACAGCTGCACCCCCCACAATGAGTGCTGAGGCAAATAGGAAAGCCCGTCAGGGTGTTTGCCATTGACTTTAGCATTGACCCCTTGAATGATGTGAGACTGAATCATCGCCGGTCGACTTTGCAAAGTTAGCATACGACAATCTCAAAGGTTGGCTTTGATGGTCCTGTGTCAGAGATGCAGAACCCATTGATGTATTGCCGGATGTTCTTCGGGAGGCATATTATACAGTGGCAAATCTGCAAAGATGAGATTAATTGAGATATCTAAATAGTCTGCAAAAATATCTCCTCTCAATTTTTCTTCGAGATCCCACAATCCAACATCACATTGAACGAACCGTTTTTGATAGCGTCGATTATACAGGGAATTTCGAGACCTATAGTGCTTACACAGCTCCAACAAGGTCCGATAGACTCTTTCGTGGCGTTCGCATAAATTGTATTCATGAATGTCGGGCCCACTGGTGCATTGTTAGTTTTGATGAACCGCAAGTGACGCTGATTTAAGATATTTACAGCTCGAGACAGCGCCGTTCTCCAGATCGGTAGGCAATAAACCAGTGCTCGCTTTGGGTCAATAGGGACGATTAGCCCGTCACCCTCCTGATTTGTGCGGACGAAAAGGGGGGATATTGGCTCAAAACGCCATACTCTGATACACGGACACGCGTGACATCAGCAGCCACGAATTTAGAATTGTCAAGTAAAGCAGTTTCATTGCTTAGCTTTTGGTTGGGAAGTCTGGACTCAACAATGAAGATATAAGTAAGTGCAGAGCTATGAAGAGCAAAGCTACAATCAAAGGAGCGCCGTGATCAATGAATTATGAACTCATCTCCGCCATTCCCGCCTGGCACGCTATCATTCTTCCACTGAGGAAGATACCGCATGCATGCGCTCGCATGGGTTCACTCAGTGTAAGTCGCTGCTGATTTAGTCACATTCTTTGTGTGTCCCATGAGACGAGATGATGTGTAAAATCTTGTGATATTCGGACATCCCTATCCTCCAACGCTGGAGAGTAACAAGATTGAGCGATATCGCCAGACATACTAGTGCCTAAAGAGGGGGACCGCTCGAAAGGTCTAGACATATCAGGTGTTATTACATATCTGTAGGACTAGTAGCTGCTTTGTTTCAAGTGTGGAGTAGAGATCCATGAGGTTATGCGAGATCATTATGACGCCTGTTACGATGCATCACGAATTAGATAGGCCGAAAGGGATAAAAATAATTCTCCTATACGCTACCACCGGCAGAACCAACATACAACATGCCACAAACTTGCTTGGTTACAGGGTTTCTCCTAAATTCTGTCCGCATCCGGTGAAGTACTAGCCTAGTTTGGGCCGGCTCAAAACCTACCATGAGTAAAAGCATGTGAAATTAGGACATCCCCATCCTCCAACGCTGGGAAGTAACCAAATTGAGCAATATCACCAGATATACTGGTGCCTAAAGAGAGGGTTCTAGACGTGTTAGATGTCGTCCCATGTCTATAGAACTAGTAGCTGCTTTGTTTCAACTGCGGAGTAGAGATCCGTGAGGTTATAAAAGATCGTTATGATGCCCTTTACGACGCATTACTGGGTAAAACTTGTTCTCCCCTACGTTACCGTCTCCAACTATTTTAATTCTTTTGGATCTCGAACTTTTCTATTTTCCGGATTTCCACTCCCTTCCCCTGGTAAATTACACTAGAGCCTCCCCAATTCTCGGCTAATCTTATAACACTATTCGTAGGGTGCGTCTTCGTCCTGCAGAATCCATTATCTTTTCTTTTTTTTTTTTTTTCAGCGAGACTGAACGTTTAGGCAAATAGCGCATGGGATAGCTCGACACGTCTGCCAACCCAAGGATTCCGTAAAAACCACTACCATGTCCTCCCCATACGCAAACTACGGCACGGCCTTCTTCGGCGTAGAATACCGCGTCAATGGACTATGGAACAATTTGCTAAGCCAATTCTACAAGACGGGGGCGGCAGATAAAGACTTTATAATTTCTCCAGAAGCCTACCCGAAACCAGATGACACAAAAGGATTAAAAGCGGACCTCCTCGTCTCCTCGCTTATCAGCAAGGGAAGTGGGTTTTCAATATCGACACCAATGCTCGTCTACGAGGGCAAGGGAGCAAATGGGGACAGTTTTCCGGATATCATGGACCAGTTGGAGAATTGGCTGGCAGAAGCAGCTCTTCTCAAACCGTTCGACTGCTGGGCAATTGGCACTAGAGGTTCCCAAGTTGCATTTTTGGTCTGGCAGCAGGACACAATTCAATGGCTGAATTGGGGCGGTAGTAAACCAATTCCCGTTTCGTCACAAAAAGTATTTGATATCACGAAGGATGCTGACTGGAACACTGTTGTAGCCATGCTTGCTTTTTTTAACGGTAATCCCTTGCAGCGTATCGACGTGTAGCTTGCCACGCGAATAGGATCTTATTGACATTAGCTTCTACCCAAACAGACTCTGAATGTGCTTGTTGACTGGTATATGGATCAGTCATAAAGGGCCCAAGAGGCTTGAGGACGTGATAGATTTGGGCACATTCTTGTTTTATCAGTGGCTGTAGGAATGCCGGGTCTGCGGTTCGGCCATATCCTAGCGGCTGTCCTGAGGTCTGAATGACTGGTTCGGTCTATGTCTACGGTGATGGGGTTTTGATACTATGATGATAGAAGGGAACAAGCACAAGCCAGTACGGGGCACGTAGGCTGTAGCAGTCTGTTACCGAGAATAGTTAAGCATGTAAGGTCAATCCCAGGGTCGCGGAACGCACGGTGTTACGGGACAAAGCATGGATACTTTGACTATAGGAGATAATGGTCCTTCCGTAAAAGCCAATAATTATAGTACCTATACCGGAATGATTTCTTACACCTTCTCATGATATTCTTGCACCCTATTTGACGTGGAAAATTACAATCATATTGATACTTTTTAACCTCTGGCGCGATGAACCCAAGGCCAGATTAGTCCTCTCTAAATACACCCACGACAAGGCTTTCGCTTAGCCAAATCCCATGTCAAAGATCATTCCTGACTCTTAGAAACCGATTTTGATGAAGTTAGGCTATCATCAACCTTATGGCTGGCGTGGCGCGAGGATTCATGCAGTCTCGCCACCCTGGTCGGTACTTCTGCTCAAAGCAGCTTCTCTACCCGGTTAGATGGGAGCCCGCACTAGGCTGCAATGCGATGTAAATTTCCTATGTCAGTATTACCAAGCCCGGTACGGTAGCTGTCAGCTTGTGGCTTTGCAAACTCTCAGATTCTGATTGACAGTCTTGTTGATACCAATTAATCAAGTCACAGTCCCTAGCAAATGCGGCTTTGCCCTTGCACCTGGCTGGCGACGGTCTACAGCCCACTTTCTGTATTGAGTAAAGTGCCGCACTTCGGCATCATGTGATCTACACTCACATGAGGCATGCTCAATCAGATCCACAGCATTCATAGGCCACCAGATTTGCGGGTAGTGCTCGTTGGCCAGGATAGTAGCGAACATTTTGACAAGCACGACATGGTGCTGGCGGCAAGGTGAGTAGCATGTTACTATCGAACACGCGTTTCGCACACGCGAGAAGTCGCCTGTGATGTGTCCACACTAGCAAAGCCACCCGGTTCGAGCAGAGCTACCGCGACATAGCGGGGTGACAGAATCCGCACGTCAATATGTTCAAGTTGTTGCAAGACTGTACTTGAACCGAATTGTTGGTTGTAGATGACGTCAACTACGTTAATAATAAGTTATTATCATATCCATTAAGTAACGTTATTCTAACCACGATTACAGAGGACACAAGTTGCTTTCCAATTTAGCATAACTATCGATAAAATCAAACCTTCACCCCCAAAACCCTTCTGCTTGTTCGTCGAAGTAAAATTATTACCTAAAGAAAATCAATAACTTGTGCCACCTGTCCCTCGCCTCAACGTCGTGTAGCTGATAATCGACTTGTAGCTCGACTCGAAGCTTCGGTGGACATATACTGAAGCCTTGGCTGCAAATTCTCTTGAAGAAAATCCAAGATATCTTGTCCGATTTGCCGAACGATTTTTGAATACATGTCTACCAACACATTCCGCCCCGTTTCGTTGAGATTGTCATCCGGTCCTCGACAGCCTGGGATAATCTTGTGATGAGTAGCCGGTTGGACGTAATAGTGCTTGTGGTTACAAAGCCAGTTGTAGCAGAAGTAACATGCTGACTTGCTGCATCCAATATATTTGTCTTTGTCGACAAATTCTATATCCCGAGATCTGCTGAACGTGTCTGCAATTTGTAGCTCAGCATGCACCCTTGTGACAATTGTTTGTCGAGACACCATCGAAGAGTGAATTGGCCTAACAAATGGCGAATCAAGTTCATGGAGCCTGGCGAATGCATGCTTGTAATGCATTGGGTTGCGAGAAGCCGAGTCTGCAGAGATTCCATGCAAGACTTCATGGGGACTTACGCAACTTGGATGGATTGTCTTCTCGACAGTCGCCGGAGCGCTGACTGTACGTATTTCGTGAACCCGCTTCAGAGAAGGAACCGTGACCATTGCCTCGACTACTGTATTCGCCGCTTCGCGCGTTGCGCCCAGGCGCCAGACATAGTGTGCTAGCCTGCTGAACTCATCACCGGCATTGGCTGAATATCTCTTGATCTGATGGTATTCCGCATTTCTCATGTCATGACAAAGGTCGACATAGGCCTCCACAGTCCAACTTGACCGAGGCTCTGACAGTTTTTTCAACTTTGCTCGTATGAGTTTCACTTCAAGGTTTAGCCCGTTTGCCATATTACTAAAGCCTCATCATACCAGTATCATCTTTTTCTCTGTGTCTGAGAGACATCCTGCAATTTGTTGCGTACTTCTGAACATTCTCTTTGTAGAACTGGATTCGTGGCTTGCACTTCTCAACAGCGAGCTTGAAGATAGTATCTTGGAGAATCCTCTGATTTTCTAAAGTCGCGGTCCTTAAGTTTGCTAGAATGTCTGTCGCATAGACCCGAATGTCATCGCGTATTCCTTCGTTTGCGGCCATCCAAAGAAAGTCGCTATGCGGGCGCTGCTGCAGTGCAACAGCCGTGACTGTATTCCCGCCTTTTTGTACGTCGCAAAGATACGCAAATGAGTCCAAGAAATTCCTTCTGGCCTCGCATATTGGATCCTCAGATTGCTGCCGTGGCTTATACTTGTCCTTGAATCCTGACAGGGCTTCAAAGAGCGCCAGTCGAGGATATAGCTTCTTGGCTTCATTATCCTGAATCTGCTCTAACAACGAGCCCAAAGTTGAATATCTTTTTTGTACCATCGTACGAGGGGCTTTGGGTATGTTACTGGTTCCCAGGCCTGACCTCAAAATTGGCAGATTGACCGCTGGCTGCCGGCGATGCTGGAGCATGTTCATGGCCAAGAAAGTTGTGCATCCGAGCTGGGAAGAAATGTCGAAGAGATGACTGCGAAAGCATTTATAGACACAATGATTTTTTTTGGAAGCTTTCTCGGGGCTTCGTGATTGTTCCACAAATTTCGAAAGGTTTCTACAGGTTTCGGTTGTTGCCTCAGCCTTGTCCAATTGGAGGTGACGTACATTTAGCCGATTACAGAATCAATACATCCTCGCCATTAGGGCGCTCCATGGATGCTGTAGGTTTAATACCTCACTGACATGCGTCTTCTTTGCCTGTAGTTCTGATGCATTGGCTTCAGTACCGTATATTTCTGACGCGGTATTCTTGCGCTTTCAAGCACGTTTTCCTTTCCCTTTCTCCATAGAAGCACCCTTCTCTACCCACTTCGCCCGAGCCTCTACAAGATCCTAATAACTTATAGCTCTTGCCGTTCCTAGTACTTTTGGTTTGGGCGCTCGCCAGTCCTTCGATTCATTATTTATCGCCATTAAGAATCGAATGTGATTCTGCTGGAGTATGCCCTTGGCGAAAGACATCTAGGCGGCTTTAACAAGCTTCTGGATAAGCCTCTGCAGGCGCTGTCTAGTCATCCTATTCTCAGAGCAGTTCGTATTTTGCTGGAAAATCAGATATTGTAGCGATACAAGACCTTCCCTTGTCACTGGTGTCTTCGGCGACTACACCGCGTCTTGTGGTAGACTACTCTCAACCAGAGGGCAAGGCCCTATCGTCACCCCGTCGGCTTTTGGAGTTGACACAATATAATATTATTTGAGAGACAGAACTCCAGGATTTCAAGGGTCTTATGCGTGCTAAAACCATTGCATATCAGCACTTGGGGTTTAAGCGCTCCAGACTTATGCTTAGCTCGTTCCTGAGTTTCAGGGTCGAGAATACGCTTCAGCCACAATAAGCTCAGGCAAGAGCCTGTGTATCCGGACTCAGACAGCGCATACTCCCGTCCAAGGGTAAGAAAGGTAGTCCAATTACTCCAATAAGTCGCAGCTGGCCAGATAACCATAGGGTTTAGATACCTACCATCAGCACTAACGCATTCAACAGCAATTACAACTTCACGCCTAACACGCGCTCCTATATAGGTTATCATGTCGTTCTTACCTAGAAGGACCTTTACAGAGCCTAACATGGACAGCATCACCCCAGTCTCCACTGCGTTACTTTATTGTAGATGTTCTTCTTATAACGGTTCTAGTCTAGCGCCTTGACTATCCTCGCTCGATCCTCTGGATGTTCATCCTAACATCCCTTCGCCCAGTTTTTGCCTGGAGGCTTGGACGGTCTACTCAATTCCATTCGGTGCCGAGCAAGGCAGAAGACTAACGAGGGTATAAACTTTATTCAAATAGGTTATCCGAGATTGGCTAACTATAGGATAAATTTAGCGAGGGCATCTTCTTCGTAAACGGTAAGAAATTATTAGCTAACGAACAGTGTCGGACGCTAAACGATACCGTGGGCACAATGCCACTAGGCATATAATAGATCATTCTAGAACAGGAACTATGTACCATAGCTGAGATAAAGACAGGATAGCTTAAAATAGATGGTTCCATTCAATACGGCGCATGCGTAAGCAGGGTAGATACGGCCTAACCTAAAGAAAGATCTACTGAAATATGCTAGCTTTCAAGGGTCTATCTACCAACGGCGAAACTCCCAGAATACCTTAAATCGAAGTCTAAGGCCCAGAATATTTTCTATTATAACTAAAGTAAATCCCTGCGACGCGAGACGTACCCTGTCCGAGACACTTTTATAATTCGGACCTTCGGAATCTCCCTTTCACGAATATATAGTTTCATAGCGAATACATTATAGCTTATTGCTATTATGCCTTGGGAGAATTATCTCCAACACGGATCTTTGTAATACTGGCTATGCCGTTAGTTGCTCAACGCCGATAATCACTCTTCTAGCTACAACCCCCTGTTTGAACGCAATTCCAGAATGTAATAAAATTTTCGGGGGTCTATAGAGAAAGCGTAAGGAACAAACATAATCTTTCTAACATTTAAAGCTACTTTGACATGGAACAATGTAGATGTCGGGAGTTTCGCAGACCAGAGAAAATGGCGCTTAAAGCCGGCCAGGTTAGATAAAACATAATGTTTTAACTATATTCACTAAGCCATATGGCTAATATAGCATAAGACAGCTTATAACAAAAATTTTAGCGCCATTCCTTTCATAGAAGCCTAAAAATAACTATGACACATGCCGTAGGTCTAAACTAGAATGTATCCATTATTACCGCGTTTTCCTAAGGCTATATTTTCCTTACCGTGAAGGGATTCGGAATTCCCTCCCACCATCACCATCACTATCATCATGGATAAAGCCAGCTAAGTACTAGTACAGTGGGTTCCTCCAGGCGTACCTACATCGTACCGTGCCCTCACAGGCCATAGGGAGGTTCCTTATAGTACTCTCCATTATCGCGCGCGCAGCCGACGCTCAATAGAAGAGAAAGCCTAGTGTTAGTAGTACCTAATTCCTTGGGAAGAGAGTGCTCTTATTAAGTTTCTCTTATAAATGGTAGATCTTGGAATGTCCATACGAATTAAGTTCATCCCTTCGCTTGCCTTCGTCGCCACCTGCTACCGACCCAAATTCAACCGTCCCGTTAAGCCTCTCAGTAGAAGATAGGCAAGGGCTTTCGAGCACCGCCATCTAGAAACAAGAGTAAGACGGATCCAAGCGCTAGATGTCACGGTAACCCCAGGCTACCTGACAAGCATGGATATACTGCTGGCAGCAGTATATCTCAGAGATATCGCGCGCTGGCGGCCAGCCAATAGAACAGTATACGGGTGACCCGTCTACTAGCTGAGGTCGAATCATGGCGCTAGCTACCCTTGGTAAGGGCACGCGACGAAGCGAGATGATAGATCCACGTTGGCTAAGGGGAAGAGGACCTTCTCTCCTTATCCAACGTCTTGTACATACACGTAGATAACGAACGCAGTAATATTAATCTGCAGCCTACTACTAGGCCGCAGACGTCTCTACTCGTTGCTCTCGTCACATTAGACTAGAACCGCCACAATAAGAAAATCGCCGAGACGATGATATAGTGGTTTAAGGTGATAGGGTAGGTGCTAGGCAATCTAGTAATTCTACTAGAGAACATCTATAACATGGACAAACTAGGAGTTATACTATCCTTGCAAGGCTCTACAAAGGTCCTTATTGGTAAGCACGATAGATATAACTATAGAGGGACGCGCGTAAAGCGGATGATAGTAACCGCCATTAAATGTATTAATGTTGACGGTAGGTATCTAAACCCTATAATCATCTAGCCGGCTACTACCCATTGAAGTAAGTAGAGTACTTTTCCTAGTCCTAGATAGCACTATACGTGTAATGAGTTTAGATATACCAACTCTAATATTAGCTTACAGTGGGTCAAGCGTAACTTTGACGCCGAAGCGAAGAACATACTAACGAACGGCCCCGTGTACAGATCGTTGACGGCTTTGGGACGCATGATACTCTTGAGATATTAGAGCATGGTTTTGAAAACAACATCATCTTGTATAAAACCCCCTCTCACACATCCCACAAGCTTCAACCTTGCGACGCTGCTGTGTTCGCCCCACTAAAGTCAGCCTATCGCGAAGAGGTTGAACGACAGGAGAAAGGAGGTGTGAATACTATTGACAAGGAGTATTTCACATCTCTGTACTTCCTACAAGGAAGCGGGCATTTACGCCTAGAACTTTAAAGCGGGGTTCGCTGCGAGTGGTTTATTTCCATTCAACCCTAAGAGGGTTCTTAGGACTGTGCCGAAACCTGCGGCCAAACTAACCATTTCAACTACCAATGAGGTACCTTGTCGACAAGACGTAGCAGAAAGCGACTAAATACCGCAAACGCATATGACTCTAGTATTAGTAGAGGGCCTTATGTCCCTATATTTAGAGACTATCTGCTTGCCATACGTATCTCTTGCTAATGTGTTCCACCAGTCATTGGCGCACACCAGGTGTAATTCTGCTTACTAAGTTCCATTGCCTCTAACTGCCATGTTGCCAGAGCTTCCCGAAATGATAATGCGAAGGGATGTTGAGGACCTAAGACTACTGTCTGCAGTCCGCAGCAGCCCTCCATTAGTACGATCGCTTTGTTTGTGAGTCCCTGACCCTTAAACGTAAACGCGAGATTGCCCATGCTGGTCAGCGTAGAAGGATGCTCCTTCCC